TAGGATGTCCCATTTGATATGACACAAAACTGAACATCCTGTGCCATTTGTATCGATCTTTAGGTGTTCCTCAAGTACTAAATTGTTATATGTAATTTTTATTGTGTGTTTCTGATTGGCAATGCAACCTTATCTAAATGGCATATTAACGGTTTAAACACCAAAACTAAACGACACTTGAGGACAATATATGTTTTGAATAATTCAGCCTGGGTACATAATTTTAATAATTGTAAACTAGTACAAAGCTGTGGTGGATAGATAGATCAGTACATGGATCTCACTACATTTGCCATCCACAAGTTAGCATAAGTCTTTGCTCGAGAAATTGTTTAACTAAATATTTACTACTGTTTAGTAACCTACCCCGAAGCTTTCCGTGTAGCAAAACTCCAGTTGAAACATATAGAAAAATGTGTTACTAACTCACATAATCTTCTTCACCGAACAACGAGGTTTGGCATATTATACATCTATCCACTTCGAGATTTAGGTCATTGTAGGTCTGGATTACGGTGTAATATTTTAAAATATGAAAAACCTTTATTTTAGTACCAAGATTTGGGGAGATTCAGTAGTTTTTTCTTTACTTCCAAAATTTGAAGAAATTGTTGATTTTGTTCTTAAACTGTCGCTAAATCAAAAAGGGTGTCGTTAGAGCGTCACTAATAGGGGCTCTACTAGCGACAAAAAATAAATTAGCGACATTTGAAACTAAAACCAAATAGTTTTCTTCGAACTTTAGTTCTAAAACCAAACATTTTAATAGTTTGGGACTAATTTACTGAATTTCCCCAAACCCTGAAGCTAAATCATGAGGTTTCCCTTTAAAATGTTAACAATTTTATAATTTTGAGATAATTAGTTACTAATTTTTTAAGTTTACCCGTAATAAACCAAGTTTTTCAATTTTAATAAATTTAATAAAAGATATTTCACACAGATTTAATTGCTGAATAATTTTTATCTTAACTTACTCACAAAATTTGAAGTTAATTACATTTTAAAACGAAGCAAGTAACTTAATTAATTTAAAATTATTATTAATTCCAATTGAGATAGGTAAATTCTTCTCAATATATGTAGTACTCTCCTACGAAGGATTAATCGAGTCGGGTAAATTCTTCTCAAGGGAGACAACTCTCCTTTCAAGCATTTTAGTCATTAGTTAGAGGATTTACATTTTGAGATTTAAACTCTCATTATAGATTAACTGATCAAATACTTTGCATGGTGGATAATTACAGGATTATTCGACGCACAATGCCTTCACATAGGGAAAAATAGTCACATTAACTTGCCACGACATTCCCCGTTAATTTGAAATATAAGGTCAATCTTTACGGAGCATCTAAGGCTATATTTAGCTTTTCCATAACGTTATAGGATTTCATGAACACATACAAAATTATCCATAATGCCTCTCCCCTTCTGGTATCTAATTTATCAGCCACCATTTTTGGCATTGTCTCCTAAACAGTAGTTATGATCCTATGAAATATTAATCATAGTTTATAGCACAAAACATATTTTTGGTCCCTAAATTATGGGGTCACAATTTTTTGTCATCATTAACTTTTTACTGATAAAATTAGTCACCACTTTTTCGTTTATTCAACAGTTTTAGTCAATTTAACGGACAATTAACGGTCAACTTTTTTCTCCGTTAAGTTTTTTATTTTTTATTAATTTTTTACTGAACTGTGACTCGCAATGTATTTTAAACAACAAAATCAATCCCCAAATATCTTTTTTTTTAGCAATTTTAGTCATTTTCACAGAAGTTTCAAAAATTTAATGGCCCAATTCAATTTTCCTTTATATCTATTTTTTTATTGATTATTTAAGGGATTGTGAGTCCCACAAGTCTTTGATCAGATTATTTTTTTTTAAAAAATAAATTAAAAGAATAATGAAAGTGTTTCCGACAAACTTTCTAAATCCTAGTATACTGCTCCCGAACGTCTCACCATCACCTCCACGTCGGCAAAAGTAGCCCAGAAAAAGAGCTTCATTATTGATCTCATTTTTCGTTTTCAGGGTTTTTTTTTTTGGAATTTATTTCTGAGGGAGCAAAATATTTGGGATTTAAGAAGTTGGCCGAAAATATTTTCATTATTGGTGTGTAATTTTTTTTCTAAAAAAACATTCTGATCAAGGGCTTGTGAGACCCTGCACAATGCATTAAGTAATTAATAAAAAATAAAGACCTAAAGGAAAATTGAATTGGACCATTAAATTTTTAAAAATTCTTTTAACGTGACTAAAATTGTTAAAAAAAAAAAAGATATTTTGGGGATTAATTTTTTTGTTTGAAAATATATTGTGGGTCTTAGTTCAGTAAAACATTAATAAAAAATAGAAAATTTAACGCAGAAAAGAGTTGACCGTTAATTTAACTAAAATTATTGAATAAACAAAAAAGTGGTAACTAAGTTTGTCAGTAAAACATTAATGGTGACTAATAGTTGTGACTCCTCATAGTTTAGGGACCAAAGTGCGTTTTGTCCTAGTTTATATATATCATGAACTTTGTAAAAAGCTGAAGTAAATTTTCGACATTTTAAAGTTTATTAAGCCATACGCGCGGCAGCAGAATTGATTGCCTTAAGCATATTGACAAGTTTAATCGCATCAAATCCAAGTAGTATATATACTCATATTTCTCACATACCAAAATTATATCTTATTTTTAATGTTTTCTGTATTCTTGTAAATTGTTCCATTTTTTTTTACTGTTGGTGGTCTGGTTAAGATATGGGATAAAACTACGGGATACAACAAACAAAGCACTAAGAGATAAGTGGGCACCATCTTACAACTTTTTGAATTTTTAAAGGAAAAAAAACACGTGCAATTTTATTAACATTTTCGTAATGGTCGGTCCCAATGTTATTATCAGCGAGATTAGTGGATCGACTGATGCAATAGTTGTTGATGGCTTTATAAAATCACTCATTTGTTTAATTTGAAAGGTTAGTCGTTTTTGGTGTCATCTGCCATTTGCTAATTTTCCAATGAGTTGGCCACATTATTTAAATAAGTTCGAGACAAATCACATGCAAATGATGCAAGTTGTAGACTAATGACTAAAATTAAATCAACTGCAAATTAATAAAAACTTTTAAGTCAGATGGCCCTTGTTTATATGAAAAGTCGGATGATGCATGCACTCATCAGTCATCACTCCACTGTCCGAATCTAAAATTTATAGATAATCCAGTAAGAAATAAGAAAAAAAAAAACAAAAAGAAACAAATAAACTAGTTAATTTAAACAATCATCACTTATGTGAGACATGAAATTAGCTCCGGCTTGTTCAATTTTGTCCGTCTATTTAGTATGTTTACGTTGGTGATGTAGATCTCTGTAAAACCAACTAACCAATAAACAAATTCATCCAATTCTAATTATTGCTTCTTTCCAGGTAATAATTTCAGCAATTGCTAAGTGATAAGAATCGTTCGAGTCTGCAGTTCTGTTGACAAGATTTGCTCTTCTTTCCCTCCTTTTCAAATTCGACAAAATATACTCTTTTCGTCCGAAATTATTATCCAGTTTTAGATTTTATTCTTAATTTTAAAAAAGAAAACTCAATCTGAAAAATAATTTTAGAAGAGGGAGTAAAAGAAAAAAAACAGTTTCGTCTAAAGATGGGTCTGAATGGAAAAATAAAACAAACATGAAAAATAGGAAGGTAAAAAGTAATGTTTTAGGATCTATAACATTTTTATTTTTTGTAAAGAGGTTAATTATATTACCATTATAAGGAATATTTACAATTGCTTCATTGTCTTAGTACACATGATCAAAGGATCTATAACATCTTATCAAAAGCTTTAAGCCTAGATATTACTCCCTCCGGTCCTATTTATAAATCATCTTTTAAGGTTGTATTTAATGTGTTTAAGGTTTCTTAAATTTTTTAATTCCAAGTTCACTCTCTCTTAACTAACTTGACTCATACCAGTTGGCAGTCCTAACTTTCAAATGAATGCTGTATTTTCAAATTTGTTGTCGCTCAAGGAGTTACCTTTTTGAAACCATTAGGGATAATATAGATATTTCAACAGCTAATAAATACTTTCCTTAATTTTTACAAAAAATCAATTATGCCATATAAACACGACCAGAGGGAATATGAACTATTGCATTCAAGTAAAATAAAAAATAAAAAATACTGACTAGACCACGTCGTGCATTTTGTAAGAAATCTAACTCGAAGTTAACAATTAGCCCGTTAGAATAGGTAGAAAAAATCCACTAATTCTGAAAAACGCCAAAACCAAATTTAATCAGTGTCACGCGCGTACGAAAATAAAATTCATTGAACTAGTCTTTGACCAAGTTCCCAATAGGGCACAGCGTGTGCCTCAAGAAGTCAATTGATGGAAGTTTCTATCTGAGTCCATGAATTTTTCAAAAGAACTATGTGAAGGCTATGTGAAGTATGGATCAGTACCATACGAAAAATATAGCATATTAAATTTTAAACACCAAGAAAAATATAGCTCATATAATATCGATAGCCAATAGAACTATGTGAAGTACCATACGAAATGTTACAATTACATTAAATCACAGAATGGAAACCTAAAAGCTTCTCAATAAGTGCGTCGTCAGATAAATGTTAACTCTGCAGCATAGATTGGGTAGTAAAACACTAATATACTATTCTTTATGTCATACAATTATTGTCCTATTTGGGTATTCATTTTTAGTACAAATTAAACTAAAAACGAAAATCTAAACTAGACAACAATTTTGGAACCAGAAGAATATATCTTTTGGATACCTAGACTGTGATATAATTTTTGGTTTTTTTTTTTTTGTTCTGTTTTGTTTTTGTTTGTTTGTTTGTTTTTTTTTTTTTTTTTTCTTTTGCCTTAGTTTGGTTTTTTTGTTAGTAAAGGCTAGCTTGTTTAACGGTTTGCGATATTATTTTGGATACATGATCCATCGGACCGAGGTAAAAAACGCTACATCTTTTCTCATGTGTAGTTTCATTCATTCGTTTTTAAACAGTCTTAGTTCTATTTTCTCATGCAATCGTTTCTTTTAACCATGAACATTATCCAACAAGCTATTAAAGTCACATGCTTCAAGAAACAAAAGATTCTCATAAATATGAATCAAACAGAAATACAGAGTCAAATGATCTCTGGTTATTTTTTGTCCTCTTTTCTTTATAAAACAGAAGTTCATCATACCAAAGTTTTATTGATTGCGAGACAAAGAAAATCAGAAGCACAACAACAACAACAACAACATTAAATTGATGGAACTGGAAATGAAAATCCTAAAAATCAAACATGATGGCGTCACCAGATCCATCATCAAATTAAAACTTCATCTCGGTGGCGTACTCAGCGGAGGCATCAGGAAGAACGTAACGGTAGAACACGAAATGGACGTCAAGAATATCATCGCCGGAGGTGGTGTTGACCATGTACGTGGTGGCGGTGCCGATCCCATTGGCCAACCGGAAAGCCCCGGATCCACCGACTAGAGGGAACTCCCTGATTTCTCCGAACACAACGTTACGGCCCTCCATGGTGATGGTGCTACCGGCAAACTCGCCGGCGGTGAAGATGAAGTTCACGTTCATGAGCGTGCACATTTCTTCCTGGGAAGACATGCTGAAGAGACCCTGAGCGTAGCCGATGACCTCGGAATCCGGGTTGGGTTCCAAAGTCAAAGGGGCGTCCAGCACAGTTACCAGTCCGAACTTGGTCGGGGAAGTGGCGGTGCTGGCGGCCCGGGCAATCGGGGTGCTGGCTGGCGGGTATCGGGTCACAATGTTGTTAAGGTAAAAGTGAAGCTTTGTCAATGTGGGTTTTGCGTGTGAAACCTGTTTGTACCATCTTTCGACGGCTTGGGGACTTTTGTCATGGTCCCAAAGGGAATGACCAAGTGAAGCCATGGTCATCATGACCAGAAAACCAGCTAAAACCACTGATTTCATCATTATGATGAGATTTTGGAGTTATAGTAATTAACTATTTCGAAGAATATTCAAAGCTGCTATGATACTACCGTTTCTCTTGTTAGTGTGTAGGGAGTGAAGAAAGATGCAGCCACATATATATAGAGTGAAAGTAGTGACTTTGAGGATATGGAGACTGAAGTAAAGACGAGCTAGCTAGCTAGGGAGGAGGGCTAACTTTGTAGTACTACTTTCTTTTTTTTTTTTTTTTTGAAGGAATAATTAATGATCACAGATCAGACATAGTGTTTTGAAAATTTAGATACAGAGTTCTTACTCGGTAGTATTTCCTCCGTTCCAAACATATTATCCAGTGTGAATTTTTATTTTTAGTACATATGAATTAAAGTAAAAAAAAGTCAAAATGGACAATAATTTTAGGATAAAGTGAGTACACAGCTCAATAATAATATATTTTTGTCAAAAAATAAGTAAAGTACTAATAAATAATAATGACGCCCAGGAAGTATAACCCGCGCTTTAGCGGGTCCGCTAACCTTGCTGCTAATCACGTTCTGATCACAATTAACAATAATTAGCACGTGTAAATCGAGGCGTGAGTATTACTGATTTTCGCATTATTCATTTCTCTCGTTACGAAGAAAAGTAACAGAGAGAGAGAGAGAGATTAATTAGTAGCCTGGTTAACCCGAAAGATAGTTTTACCAAGTACAAAGGTATATATGTAGTAGATCCACAGGTAAACAGTCTTAGCGTCTGTAGTTAAATCTTGTACAGGATATAACTCAATATCAACATAAAAGGACCACAATGATTAACTAATTACCAAGCAGACTGATTAAGAAAAATAAAAGCAGTGATTTTCATGTAACAGACTACTTCCTTCTTATGGCGTAAGTTATTGTAATATGTTTGTTTTGGATGATAACACGGGTATGATATATAATTTGTGGTTTGTGTACAACCCGGAACTTCAGGATTGTGAAGTACTATTGCTATATGAGGTAAATTGATTTAATTTTAGGCAGTTGGTTGAAAATAACAAATTCAAATTTAGCGGGGACAAACATATTGTGTCGACTTTTTACCGATTTCTATAATATTTTTTTTATAAATAATATGATTAGGTGAAGTTCATAATTGAGATTTTAATAAATAAAAACTTAAGATGGAGAGTAGACAAAAGAGTGGGTGTGTCCATTACACCATTGTGCACTTAATTAATTAATAATTATCGTATCCACAATAGAAGAAGAGATTTTTCGGGAGTGGGTATTGGGTAATTAGCAGAGTCATCCCTTGTCCTTTTTTCCTTTTAAAAATTCTTACATAAAAATAATACGAACACAACTCGTTAGGTGTGTATTGTGTACTGAATCAATAATTAAAACCAAAAGCCTTATTACGTTTCATGTGCATGTAAATTAAATAAAATTCTCATGTTGTAGTACTGCTCGGCTGCTGACCCGCGCCCGTCTTTTTCCAAGACAAACAAGGTTACCTACCACGTACAATAACCAATATTTATGTCCCAAATGATTCTATAGTTTCTATAATACTAGTAAATTTTTTTTTTTTAAAAAAAATCAGTTACAAAAGGAAAAAGGATTTCTGTAGTCCTGAAAAGATTGTTCAGTTTAGATTTTTTTTAATTCAAAATTTTACTAAAAATAAAATATATAAACAGAATAATCATTTTAAAAGATAAAAAATATTCTTTAATGTTAAACCCTAGCCATTATATCCTCCTTCCATCCAAAATGACTCAACAAACAGGGCACAAAATACAATAACTTACTTTTTCTTTTTTTCGAAATTTTTTTTAACAAACTGCAATATGGCACAAGGTAAGATCTGGGTCAGGTCACAAATTTTTTTCTCGTTTAATGGAAAAGATGGCTGCTCTATTATTTAAAACCCATGCCCTGCCACGAGAAATTTACCACTACACGTAATGGTTTTATTTACATAATTTTTTTCATGCTCTGGATGCAATAGTGTATAGTGTGAATATTTTAGTGCCATGAGGTAGACTCTTACAACAAAGGGAGGAAATGTGAACGAGGGAATTTAATTTTAATTACACCGTTTTCAACCATCATTTCCAAGTCGTAAAAGTCCAATATTACTCGTATTGACACTTTATTCAGATCTTAGCGTTAATCATTCACAACCTTATCCATTTCTTTTACATAAACAAAAGTGTATCCTCGTGACTTTATCTGACCGGAATGATATAAAATTAAGATTAAATTGAACATGACGTACACGCAGAAATAAATAATTAAAAAAGGCTTCTAAGTTCAAATACTTTTATGCATCTAGAAATTATTGAAGGCAGGCAATTAGTCTGAAATAAATTAATTCTACTTGATGAAAATTCTATACTATACTACAGTACTAACTGCAGCTGCAGAACACCTCAGCTATTGATGATGTCGGGCACTACTGAGAATTTGATGGATCTGTGGTACACGTAGTGATTAATTACCATTTACCACCTTTCGAATGTTTATGAAAATTGACCGTTTGTGATTACTACCCTTCGTTCTTTGTTTGAAAACAGTTCATCTGGAACCAGTTTTCACCTATCCACTTTATTAGAAGTAATTCCCGAACAAAATTAATTTGGAACTGAAAAATTATTTTGAAACGCACAGAATATAATAAATTGATGATTTCAAAAAATGACCCGAAATCACTGGTGACGCATACTAATCAACAATTACAAGTACTATTAATTTCTTTCGAGTAATGCTACTTGTGTCATCAATTTTATCAAATTAAAGTGAACATACGCGTGGGAATCTAAAAAAAAATGCCCTAACAATAGGAACAAAAGTTCTTACAATTATTCACCTAGCGGTTTCCTATGAACAATTCTATAAGTTTAAGAAATTCAAGTTTACTAAATGAGTTTATTTTCTGATTGTGTTCGTCTTATTATAATTTATCTGACCCGAAGTTAAATTTAAACTTTTGTCGAAAGGAGTATCAACTAATCTAGTATGTAGCGGCTCCTCGGTAGTTATTCTTCCATCATTTGGAAACTACAACAAAAATGGGCTATTAATATCTTTATGGTGGGATACTTTTCTTAAAATGTATCTTATTATATGTGTATTAGGACATTTGCTAAAAGTGTCTTATTGAAAATGAAAAAGTGTATTCATATTATGAAACACTATCATAAGTGTACTATTTGGGGTTGCTTATGAACTATTACCTTACTTAATGGGTTACTTTAAAGTGTGTTAATGAGTGACAATCTAATAATACACTTTCAAATGTTTTATGACTTATTGTGACTCGATTATAGGAGACACTATTTAGTAGTGTCCCACGCAATTTGAGTCACATGTGTCCTATTACACCACTTATTGAGACACAAAAAAGTGTTTAAACTACTCATTTTTGTTGTAGTGGGAGAAGCTGATTGTTCATCAATTTCTTTAATTTATCCACACTTTTGGAGATTAAAAGCCTATTAGCGGAGTTGAATTTTTGGGCTTTATATTGAATTCCTCTTCTGAAAAATTGCATTCTCATGTAATAACTAGTCATTTGAAATCTGAAGGTTGGGAGGTTAAAACTTGGACATCTATTCCAAATTTCTTATATCATTGGTTGAATTCCAGCAAATTTAATGAATAAGTGTTTTCTTAAAAAAAAAAAAAAACTAATTGTGTCCATTGTTTTCAGTTTGTCTTCACTTTCGAATTAATAATTGAGAACTGATGTACATCATCAGCAAAATTAAAAATTAAGAAGCAAAAAGATTCAATCAGTTCATTTCATGCTGCTAAAAGCTCAGCAATTTATTATTACAACCAAACGTACAACTTTGACAAAAGTAAAAGCGACACAACTTCTGAGCGTAGCTGAGCAGCGGCCAAACAAAGAAAACTCCAACAAAAGAAGTAACAAAAGATAAAAAAGATCGCGGAAACAGAAGAAGAAGACTTAAATGTCCTGGGCATATTGGTCGTCACCAGAGACGTCGTAATGGAGGACATACACTGTAAACTCAACAATACCGTCTTGGGTGGTTGCATTAGCCCAGTAAGTGGACGCCACCGCGCTTCCCTTCGCCAGCCGGAAAACGCCAGATCCACCGATGACCGCCATCTCCCGGTACTTGGCTTCCAGTGGGTTGTATCCCTGAACGCTGAGAGTGCTGCCGGCGTATTTGCCGTCGTTGAATACAAAGTTGTAGGTGAAGAGCAAAGCCACGTCTTCCTGCGAGGTTAAGACATAAAGACCTTGGGCGTAACCAACGGTCTTCGAATCGGGTGACCCGGTAACGGTCAACGGGTCATCGAAAACCCTGGTGAGGCCGAAAAAGGTCTTGGAGTTGGCAGTGAGGGAAGATCTGGCAACCTCAATAGCAGTGGGGTTGGGCCCAGAAACCACGTCCTGCATGTAGAAATGGAGCTTTGTCAGCTTCTCCCTTGCATTGGGAAGCCTTTTGAACCATTTCTCCACTCCTTGAGGAGTTTGATCTGGGATGGCATTGGCAGCCATTAAAGCTGCCATAAGCACGACGGCCAACACTGTTATTTTGTTAGCCATGACGACAAAATGCTTAGTTATTATTAGTTTTGTGTCTTTTTGAAAAATGTTAAGAGTTTTTTGAGACACAAGAGGAAACAGATGGATGTAGATGAATGAAATGATGTGGGAAAGAAAGAAAGAGGAGTATTTATAGATGTACAGGAGGATATTGGAAGGACTACTTTTTTTTTTTTAATGGTTTTTTCTTCATAGACAAAGCTTTTCAGTCTTTCACCAAAAAGTTATATATTTATTCATCTTGTTTAAGTATAGATTTTAAGATCCAGCATAGATTTATGAGCTTTCATGTAAAATTTCTCTTTTTTTGTTTATTTCTTTTGTTTTTACTCTATTTTTTTTTAAAAAAATAAACCATTTTATTGTACATTGTGATTTCAACAAAATTGATTCCATTTTAGCTATCAATAATTCATACTAGTGGAATTTACGGGCAAGGTTTGAGGGAATCCATTATGTTATAGTGTCAAAGTATTGAATTGTTAGTTTTTAGTTCCAACGTTTGAAAATATTGTTCAAGTCTTGAAAGTGCCGCTAAAGAAAAAATAGCGTCACAAAAACTATCTAAAGCGCCTTTTATCAACGGTTTATATTTATTTTAGCGACACTTTGGCATAAAAACCGTGAACGTAATGGTCGGTTGCAATCTAGAACGAAAATTTTTGATGTGCCATTGACACATTACATTGACACATTATTCTTGCAAAATTGCACACATTCATTTTATTCTGATCATCATACGTAAATACCTTTCTTCATTTATAAAATCCACAAACATAATCCTTTATTATTTATATTTTGGTTTTTTGAAAGCAAAATTTACTTTTATAAGCTTGTACACCAAATTTTGAAAAATCAATAATTATTGTTCAGAGGTGTTAAATATATATATATATATATATCCATCCTCATATGTGCACTGATTAATTAAGGGTAATAACCGATAATCCCAAAATGTGAAGTCGCACATAATTAAATGGGAAGATTTATAATTTAATCATACCAACTTGCAAACTATTTTTTGGTAACACGGAAACCTCACCATAGATCGATAAGTAAGTCCACGCCCTTTACAATTACTTGTAAATTACACTTAGACAATCTCAAAGTGTAAAAGTGTGAGATTTTGAGTTTATACATAAGTTTGTCATAATTAACCGCTAGAAATTTCTGTGGCCAAAGATTTTATTTTTTATTTTTTATTTTTATTTTTTAAGAGATTAATAATAATTTTCCACTTATTCCGGAGGTGATACTAACTCATGACCTATTAATCATAAATGATGCGTTTTACTACTAGACAACACCTCGTTATCTATGGCCAAAGATTTAGCTTCACTTATGTTACCATGAACAAACACCAATTTCTAAAAAGTTGCAAACTTAAACAGAGAGATTAATTAACATATAAGATGAACATCACATGCATCATCGTTTGGACCACTAACCTTGTTGACAATCTCAGAATTAGGACCAATTACCTAGAAATATTTGAAAATATTTCTCCACGTTTTAATTTGATAATTGTATTATTGCTGGTAGTACTTTAATAGTTTAATATAAAGTGCTTAATCATTTCAATCAACAAGTTGTATTCCACATCAGTCTAATTGTACTTTAATAGTTTTCTTTTCATTTTGTCTGATTTGCAGTCTTCAAAGTCTGACCAATATATTAATTTAACTAGGAAATTAAACATTGAGATTGATGAAAAGAAATATGTGAAATTCCTATTTGTGCAAATTAATAGTGGGGTTTGGTTAATTGGTTTGGCTGAGCATTTTTTCCCCCTTTTCCAATTCCTATTTGTGCCATTTTTAACTACTACGAAATTCACAAACTCGCATTATTCGTTAGTAGTTCATTCATCTTGTAGGCACCCTAGCTTCTGTAACACATATTTTCCTTCTTTTTTTTGTTGGAAACATGAGTAATTTGTATCATAAAAATTGCCTAAAATTTATTTCCTCATTTTGGACTAAATGTACGAATTATCATTCTGCACATTGAAAAGATGAATAATTTCATTAAAAAAAAAGAAGGATGATAATGAAGGAATTATAAAGTAAATAATCAAGCTGAAATTCAACTAAATTTTTTTGAAAGGTTGTTCTTCTCACTTAACCATTTATGTATGGCCACATTTGACTAAAAAAATTTCTTGAACTTCACTTTCCCATCATGAATAATCATTTAAAGTGCAAATATGTATAGCTTGCTGTGTGGAAAATAGTCATGAATAATTATTTAGACTAGAGCAAATTAATTCCTATAGAAATCAAAGTCTGAGATTGAAATGAATTGTTTCGTAATGTTAAACTACTTGTCCTCACAAAAACATTGATTAGATAAAAACTGTTAGCATTTGAAATCACCTATTATTTCTCATTTTCAGTTCTAAGTGGGGTTTGTAATTGGTTGATCATCAGTTTTCATTTTGAAACGCCAATTTGTGTAATACATAGGTAATTTTATGCTTGAAAAATGATGAGAAGAACGAGACGCAATATGGATTAACGCGACAGAGATAGGAAGAAGGAAAAAGGTTTTGTGAGTTTCTTGAGTTGTCATTTTGTTTGGATAACAAAATAATAACAATAATAATATTGTGTTTCTACGTATTGTCAGAATTGTTAATAATTTGATTCTAATTCACAAACTTTCATAGGGGTTAAGAATTTTCTGGTGAAGAACGAGAAAAAAAGAAAGGTTTCAAACAAATTAATGTCGACATAATGGCTTTGATCAATACTCTTTAGGGTTTCGATAATATCACATTAAATTGAAACTATTCTGATTAATCAAACAACAGATTGGCAACTTGGCAAGTGATCGATGCATCGATACAAGAAATTTGAGAAAACAAAAAGATGCCATATAATGAGTCAGATTAGATACCGAAATCAATTGCTCACAAATACTCTCTAGCTGTAATGTGACTTTGGTCAGAAAATTTTCCGAAATACTACATTTTGCACGTTTAATTGATATTTATATATTGTTATTAGTAGTGCTTGCTCAGACTTTGGTCAGGAAAATAGGTCTATCACACACCGTCCAAAAAGAAATAAATAAATACTTAAATAAAAACAATTCACATTAAAAATTTTGAATTTTAGTAAAAAGAATATAATTTTAATTTACAATATAAATTATTTTTCTAGAACATAATGAATTCTTCGTAACGTGTTTTACTTTGTTTTGTAGAAAAAGCTGTTGACCTGCTTCGTGATTACAAAGATCATGAAAAGATGCTCTATATTATTGAACAAAGGTTAAGACAAATTAATCCTGAAGATTGATGAAGGTGAATTAGTGTTGTATGAAAATGAAAAGGGTCCGTCATATTTGGAATCAAACTTGGACTAATGCCTAATACATATTAGTTACATACCCGTGGGATTGGTACTGACTGACAGTGTTGCTTTATTTTTCGTTATTATGCTCATATCACAATTACTCTTAATAATCTAAGTATCAAAGTGCCTACTTTTAAGAGATCTCGATGCTCTATTTTAGAGGACTTAGGGTTTTGATGTTGCCATGGCTGTCGGTTCAATCAACCAGGGCGTCAGTGCCTGAAATAGTGCGGTTAGAACTCTTGTTTCACATCTTAATTACCAGTGCAGTATAATTTGCTTTGTGGAAAATCACATGATTAATCATTTAAATGAAGGCATATAAATTCAATATAACCAATCCTGTAGACAAAGTATAATGGATGTAACTGGAATATCATAGTTTAATGATCTTATATACACAAATTAAAGATCATACTGTATGAAGTATTATACAAACATCTTATCTTTTTTTTTTTATAATCAGAAATACAAACATCTTATCTATCTATACTGATGTAAGAATCTTGGGTCTTGTATGGTCAACTTTTATTTTCCATTTTTGCTCATTTTACCCCTCAAATACAAAACCCAATATACTATCCAAACAACATTTTAATTTATCTTTTAAAAATTATTTCAAATATTATTTTAATACATTTTTTATCCACCACCACTGGACTACCTCTGCCGCCAGGCCGTCTTGCGCCGCCGCCAGCCAGCGACCGGCCGACCGAATTCTGGCCAAACTCTGGCGAGTTAGCCGGAAATTGACCGGAATCCGGCCGGCCGGTCACCGTCCAGTGGTGGTCCGGCGGCGGAGGAGCATGGTCCGGCGGCAAAGGTGAGTGGTGGTGGTGGTGGTCGATAGTGGTAAGAAAATAATATTATTTTAATTATAAAACTATCCAAATAATTTTTTATAATTTATCTCAAAACACATTTTAAATCACATCTCAAACTCAAACAAAAAACTAAACCAAAAACTAAAATAAACCATCATTCATATAAGACCTTAATCTTCATTCACAATATTTGAAATGAAATGGCAACGTATCCTAGAGTATGAGAGTACACGTTTGTTTGTTTGTTTGTTTTTTTTTTTTTTAACTTGTCTTACTCACAATATCTTTTATTAGATAAAAACATTTAGCATTCCGAAATAAGAGTCACCTTAAAATTTACATACAATTTAAAAAACTCTAAAACAAAGTAGTAAAATTACTTGAAAATCTCTAACTAATCATATTAGAAAATGTTCATCAATAGTATTAAATCTTTGAGGATACGTTTGAAAACTTTTAGACAAAAAGTATATTGAAATGCGAGAACGACACTTATTTTGAAATTTTTATATTTTGTAAAAATAATACTTATTTTAGAAAAGATGAAATAATATTTTGATTTTTAGTTTTAAGTGGGGTTTGGTTTGGTTGAGTCGGTTTTTGAATCTTGAAATACCAATTTTGTGCAATAATTACTTTTACAAATGAAATTGGTTTCACAACTCGCGAGTGTATCAGCTTTAACATCTTCATTGGATTTGTCATCTTTTTACAGAACTCGGAGTCTCTTTTCGACGATCACCATCCATTTAGTGTGACAATAGTGGAGCTATTTCTCTTGCCTTCCATCCAGTGTATCATGTCCGAACTCGACATGTGGAGATTGATTTTTATTTTGTACGCCAACATGTTACCAATAAATTTATAGTTGAGCACTCTATTTTGGACGAATCAACTGTAGGACATCCTCACCAATTCATGAAGGTTTTTGTTTTTGTTGTTGTTGTTTTTTTTTTCTTTTTTTTTTTCCCTTTTGATATAAAGAGAGTAATACTGCTACATTGCTCGATAATCGTTAACTTTTCAAAGGAAGAATAAACAAAAATGAACAAGGGTCATAATAAAAATCGAGACCAATCAACAGTGTTATTAACCACTACGGATGAAAATTTATCGAGTTTGCCATTCAAGTGGAAGCTGCGGGAAGAGATGTGGTTTTACGTTTTTGTATAGTTAATAATGCATATATGTCACCATATTTTTAATTGTAAAATATGATTGCTTTTCTTTCACTATCTACCACGACAAAATTTCACTACAAGATATCAACCTTTTATTTTGTGTATTTCATTCGGCCTAAATATGATTGTCATATTTCTTATATTAGGATAAAATTATCACAATTTGTAGCAAAGGAACAAATGTGACGGTGGGAATTTGACATTACACGCCATTTTGTCGACATCAAGGTTTAAAATATTTGATTAGCTCGTGATTACTCTGCTCAATTGAAATTAACCACTTTTCCGTCGGTTTCAATCAATAGTACCAAACCTCTTTGCCCTTTTCTACTATAAAGTTCATCTTCATCTCAACCAAACAATTTAAAAGTAATTAATCTTCCATAATTACTATTTCACATGACGTACACGCAGAATTAAAGATTGAAAATTTGACAGGAAAGGGAATACTAACTCCAGCTTGTCACCTTAATTTCAAGTTGCATATATAGCACTCATACTTCGATACAATTTCTGCTTACTCTAAATTAATTGAGGTCAAGTGGCTTTAATTACGAGCATCCCCTCTTCTGCTGGTCTGGAGATTTCTATTTGATCAAAAACTAATTTATAGAGCAATTGTGGTCCTAATAAACCTCAAGTATTAGTTGCTGTTATAGTCATGACAAAGATTAGCGTCATTTGGAGAACATTGATGGTAACTTCTAAAGATATTGAGCTAAGAAAAATGATTTCAAAAGGAGGTGAACGTTTCTATGATAGTAAAGATGTTTCATTTATTGACCTTTGGTTGGAATTGAACCCTAGTCTATCATCATTACTTGAAAAATGAATGACAATCCCAGGTAAGGATATTTCACTTATTCTAGAAATATATGAAAAGAAAATTTTAAATTATACTCCCTCCATTTCAATTCAATATACTCACTTCCTTTTTTTGGATGTTTCAAAACTTTAGTCCCACTTCATACAATTAATTAAGTTTTACTATGAACTCTCTAATATACCCTCTCTACTTTCACTGAAATCAAGAACATTTACTAATTTTAACAATTAGTCTCTCATATCAACCAATAACTTACTAATCATTAATAGGAGTGTAGTAGGAATTTTATTTAAAATTAACCACATAAACTACATTACCCACTTTTTCTTAATCTCTGTTATATCTAAATGGGCCTATTGAATTGGAATGAAGAGAGTATATTATCTTCCATTTGTTAACATACATACTCTTCCCGTTTCAAAACTAATTTCTTGTTTGTTTAACAAAAATATGCAATGAACATCTTCTTTTGTTTTCTGGACATGATCAAAGTGTTTTAGACTATATATTGAGTCATTCATTCACACAGTTGTGATCGTGATTTATAACGTTAACATTCTTTTTAAGCAAAAGAATACAATAGTATGATTTGCTTTGGCAACCACACTAGCACGTGCTTAATTATTTGATTCTAAAATTATGGAAAATACACTTTTTCAATTATGGAAAATACACTTTTTCTTCTTCTTCGTCTTTTTTTTTTTCTTTTTTTTTTTTCCCTTTCTTTCTTCTTAGTGTTTTTATTTTTAAAATTTTTCGTTTTGAAATACCTTGGCTTGCACCCGTCTAGAGAACCCATCCAGCTGAACGAAGGTTCAGAGAAGCTATATGACAATCGATTTATCTAACCCTGCGAAATGACATAATGTGAAATCTTTTCAAACGCCGCCGCCCCCAGGGCCCAAAAAAAAAAAAAGAAAACAAAATTTAAGAGTCATTACATTATTATGAAATTTAAGCTAAAAATTTAGTAAGAGTTATAATTTTATTAAAATAACATATACACCTTTACCAAAATACATAATATACTTTCTCCATTTCAAAATAAATATCGTATTTGTGGTATAAAAAAATAATACAAAAATTATAAAATTATTTTAAAACGGAAAGAATAACAAATAATACTCTTACTTTATGATGGAGGAAGTATCTTTAATTTATGTAGAGTATCGATCATTCTTTCATAATCATTTCAAACTTCAAAGGTCATCGGTGGTAATCAAAATATCAAACATTACCCCACGACATAATCAGTGGTCAGATCAAAAAACCAATATCATGATCCAAAAAATCAAAAATAAAAAGATATTTTCATCAACTAGAATTAATTAGAAACTGAACAGAAGCTTCCTAGGTGAAATTAATTAACCAAGAGGAGCTGGATTATTTTCATGTGCTTTAGTCCGCGTGCACTTCGTGCGTATTATAGGGAAAGGTTCTACATGCATGATTTATTGACATCTGATGACAGTGTTCTCATACTACTAATTATAGCATTGGGAAGAAAACATACTGTAATTACCTTCGTTTTAATCTCTTTCTTGTGAATGGTCTAAATATGCGACTACAAGATTCAAAAATAAATCAGAGGGTTGAAAAAATGAAACTGTCTAATGTAATCTTCTCGTGTGGCAGGCAAGAAAAAAAAAAAAAGAAAATGGAGTTAGTAAAAATATTTTACACAATATATAGAGTCATAGATCTGTCAGCCGCTCCCATATTGAAGTTGGTAAACTTGATTAGATCTCCTTTTTATTATTTTTTTATGAATAAATATTATTAGTATTAATTCTTTCTTTTAACTTTTTTAAGAGATAATTTGGTTGACCTAAAATAATAAAATTTTCTCACCCATACTCTCTTCTCTAGGAATGCAGAAAACATGTGCATCCCTAAATTTATTATTCTGAAATTGATGTACATACTTGGAATAGATTATAGTATTACTCGAAGTAATTATTGGTCTTGGTTGGATAGCTAGCACATGTTCATAATTTTTAATTCCTGATAAAGATAGTGGAGAAGTTGGAACTGATTGGCATTTAGACATTCCATGCATAAAATTTTACGAAGCTTTTTTATTATCTTAATTTAATTAACATAATTTTCTTTTTGATGGTAGCAACGTTTGTTGAAATATATAGTGTTTGACGGATGAATGTTAATGAAAGCATTTAAAGATTTCAGGAGACAGTATACGAAATAAATTGCATTCATTATTTGTGTTTGTTTGTAAAGAAATAAAATCGCGTCAAGAAATCATATATTATATGTGTATATTTCTGCAACTTGAGAACGAGTTGTTTGAGGAATCGGATGAAAGCACAAACTGCGGGTGTGTTAGCGGACCAACTCCGAATTTATTTAAAACACGATACAGAATTAAGGCAGGCTTGTCCCTTAAATAATAATGCAACAACAGAAGCTTTCGGCTCATATCGTGGGTTTGACAATGAGCTGTAAGATTCTTCAATTAAATTTTGTTTAACCTTATTTAATCAATTAGTGTTTCTCTCATCGATCTCAAAGCCCAACCCACCCGCTATAATTATGGCGAAAATTTGTAATTTTAAATAAAGATATATAATATTAACATACTTATTCACGTGCACTAAGTGATTTGAACACAGAGATGAATTCCATTATTTCCCCTTACTCTTGCATGGCTATAAATAGGGTACGAACCCCAAGCTATCAAATCACCCTTCTCTCTTCATCACTTAATCTTGCATCCAAAAGAGTTTTGTAAAACCCTTTCCTTCCAACCTAGCTATTTCTGTATTCTTTACTTACCATGGAAATGTTTGCCGCTAACATGTTGGCCGGAGGACCGGCAGCCTTCATCCGCCGATCGGATTTTGGCAAAGATTTCGTCTTTGGTTCCGCAACTGCTGCTTTCCAGGTTCAGTTTGCAATGCATTCTCTCTTTATATAATTATAAATGTTACCTACTAAAGTACTCGTACAGCATTTCTGATCATTTTCTACTTAGAAAGCCATATGTAGTTTATGTTGACATCTTTGTTTTTCCGTTCTTTGGGTTCAGATTGAAGGTGGTCTTGATGATGGCGGTAGAGGAGATTCCATTTGGGACACCTTTGCCAAGGAAAATGGTACAGACTCTACTGTCTCTAAGCTACAGACACAGTTGAATAATCTTCATGTTTAAGCGAGTTTCAACATGGTCAACGGTTGTCTTATCCTTTGACCAATTAAATGCCTCATATTGTTTATGAATTTTTATTGCAAACTTGCAGATTTGTTTCATCCCTATGACGAAGATGCCGTTAATCACTATGAAAAATTCGAGGTACATTAATTTTATTATTACCACGTCTTTTTCTTTTTTTTTTCTTTTCTCTTTTTTTGTCAACATAAATTTGGACCAAAGCATGAGTTTGCTAAAATATTTATGAACACTTCAAAGTTCGAGCTCTTCCCACTGCGTTGACTAACATGGCTCATTGTTACATGAAAATTAATTCAGGAGGACGTGAAACTCATGAAGCAGATCGGATTTGATGCTTACCGATTCTCAATCTCATGGCCTAGGATTCTTCCTAGTAAGTATTTATGTTCTCTGTGCAACCTTTTCAACAGGCTTACAATGACAGTAAACAATAACTTTTTTAATTATTTGTCTATTTTCAGCTGGAAAGATTGAGTCGAAGAGCAAAGAAGGAATTAACTATTATAAGAAACTGATTTGCAAGCTCAGAGAAAACGGTAAAACACCAACATACTATTATCTTTTGTCTGCAGTGACGACCAATGTGTTACCTTTCTTGTAAGCTATCTAATAATAAAAATGATTATACACAGGAATTGAACCATACGTGACTCTTTTCCACTGGGATCTTCCTCTTACTTTGCAAGAGGAATACAATGGCTTCTTGGACCGCAGGGTTGCGTAAGTACTAACTTATTTTTTCTTCTAACTATATTACTCCCTCGTAAAAAACGATGTAGTATAGTAACATTTTTTTCCTTTTTTGATTTGTAACAAAAACACATACTAATTTCCTTTGCTTTTTTGCAGGGAGGATTTTGGTGTGTATGCCGATGTTTGCTTCCAGGAGTTTGGTCAATACGTTGACCACTGGATCACATTGAATGAACCATTCACATATGCCTATTCGGCTCATGTGGACAAAGTCCACGCTCCCGGTTTGGGAACTGTGCATGACCATCTTTTCGCAACCGGAACGAACACAGAGGGATCGAAAGCAGCCACTAAGGTGGAAGACGCTGGTGCTACTGATGAGGCGGCCGAAGACGAAGAAGAGGATGATGGAGGTTCCTTCTTCCACCCTTCTCGTTCCACGGTTCACCCGAAACAAACCCGAAAGAGAGTCATGATTTTCAAGCCAACCGAATCTTGGGCATCCGAAGCCGAGTACATTGATGAGTTTGCATACCCATACATTGTCACCCACAACTTGCTCCTTGCTCATGCTAAGGCTGTGGAAATATTCAAGAAGAAGTACCAGGACCCAGCCAAGAAGAAGAAGATTGGAATCACCTTGGTTTCCATGTGGTTTGAGCCTCGCAACCCTGATGATGAGAAGGACAAAGCCGCTGCCCTGCGAGCCCTTGATTTCTTCATTGGTTGGTAAGTAGAATACTAATAATGTGAATGATGTTGTCTTGTGACGATGATTCCTCTAGCTAGAAGAAAAGATAAATACTTGACGATTATTAATTAGTATTCCTATTGATTAATTATTTAGGTACCTTGACCCATTGGTTCATGGTGATTACCCCAAGAGCATGAGGGAATATGTGAATCCAGACCATCTTCCTAAAATGGATCATGCAGACAGGAAAGCCATTCAAGGAAGCTATGACTTCATTGGTGTCAATTACTACACTGCTCGATATGTTGGTCACTCTGAACCAAAGGCAGCACTCAAAAAAGTTGGAAGGAATTATGTCACAGATCAGCACCTCAAATACTATGGTTAGTTCACTTATATTTGTTAATGTGTAGATGCATGCGTATGTTTCTGCTCTAATAATTAATTAAAAGACTAATTGATGGTTGATATTGAAAGTATTTATGATATATATAATTTTTTGTTTTTGTCAGAGTCGCGCATTGAGGACGGAGTAGAGGTTCCTATTGGTAAAGATACGGTGAGTCATTGATTAATTAGCTAAAAAATTTGCCGTCTCTTTAGTCAACACTTCTAGTAATAGACTAATAGTGTTGTAGTACAGAAGAATTAATTTTGTGTGTTAAATCCAGGGTGCTTCTGCATGGTTGATATCATATCCTAAAGGAATGAAGGGACTTCTGCTTCACGTGAAGAACAATTACAAGGATCCACTCATCTACATCACTGAAAATGGTATTGATGATCACGATGATGATTCTTCGAGGCATTGGGACTCTTTCTTTGATGAGAAGAGAGTGAGGCACATCCATGATCACCTCAACTATCTCTTGGAAGCCAAACGGTAATTAATTCGATCAACTAAAGATCTAACCATTTTTGGTGAGTCAATGATATGATGATCAACACTAAAATGTGACATCTTTGCATATTTCTTGCAGCCAAGGAGTGAATGTGAAGGGATACTTTGTGTGGTCATTGTTGGATAACTTCGAGTGGAACAATGGCTTCCATGCTCGATTTGGGCTCATCTATGTTGACTACAAGAACAAGGGTCAAAGACACCCTAAGCTCTCTGCTGCCTGGTTGAAGAAATTCCTTGCTGACAAATGCTAAATCAATTAATCACTCCAAGTTGCTTTCTTCTGGCAACAACATCGAAGACTGATCATCAGCTGATTAAACTTCTTCTCATAGCGTTTGGCCACCATCAACAAAACAAGCATTGCGCATTGCTTTTCATTTTGTTTTTGTTTTTTTCACTCATGTCCTTTGGATATATTTTCAATAATGGGTTTTTAGTTTGCAATAACGGGCGGGGCAATGCTTCGGGTTGAAAGTATAGTGTGACAAAATGCACCTGTGTTGGTATTTTATCTCCCTTTTTGTAATTTGTTCATGTGGAATCGAGATAATAAAGGCCCCTCTGCCCTTTTGTCTTTTTACCTTGGATGTGTTATTTGAAAATTTTGTTATACTCCCTCCATTTTAAAATATATGTCTTTGTAATTAAACCTTAGTATATGTAAACTTCCCAATTTTAATAGGACCTGCGCTTAGCTCATTAAGTCTCTTACCAAAAATAAAAACAATAGAAACTTGAGGCTTTTGTGATTCAATTGCTAATAACATTTATGGATGGACAAAACTAGCTTCATATGGTTCATCGCTGAAGATTGGAACTTAAAATTATAAGTAAATACATTAACAGCTTCCTTTCTACCTATTTATAATTGCACAAAAAGTTAAACAGTAAATAATTTAACTAAGAAGAGATAGTCAATTCTTGGAAGTTTTCAGTCATTTAATGTGTAGTACTCCCTCCTTCCCATAATTATTCTCCAGTTTGAGTTTTCATTTTTAGTTCAAATTGTACTAAAAATGAAATTTTAAATTGGACAATAATTTTGGGACAATGAATATTCTTTATTGTGGTGAAAGTTTTGCAGACATTTCGCCCAATGATGACAACTACTAGCTAGCGAAGTGGAAAATTCGGACAAAAAGTTTGGAATATATTTCAACCCTGGCAAACAAATGGAATCACTATATATTAGCTTCTGGGAAAATTTCCAAACTGCTGGTCAAAAAATTTTAATTATCTTTTCTTTTTTGGTTATTTTAATTTACAAGGTTCACAATGGATCCGAAGGTCGGTAAAAACTGATAATGGGAATATAAGTAAGGATCCCCCAAAAAAGTTACTCACTTGTACACACTTCTCCAACATGTTTTGAAATTTTACAATGAATACGTACACTTTAATTTATCAGTATCGATTTTCCTAATAAATTTTTACGATTAATATATAATGAAAGAATATGATTTTTACCCAATTTTCTAGGCGCACAATCTAACCGAGAAGAAAGATAAAAATAGGTGATACCGGTAAAATGGACGTACACATTGGACATGGAATAATATTAATTCACTTTGTTATGAGCACTTAGAACAATATTAATTCAGTTTATTGAATGTGTTACAAAAATTAAAAAATTATTTTTTTCACACGAGTGAAGTATAATATTAATTATATGATGAATAATATCACACATGTTAACTATATCGTCCGAGATCTAAATTTATTATGTTATTTATGGATCCAAATTTTCATGTACCCTATATGAGATCGAGATCTAGGGAACATATAATAAAACAACGTTTGAGAACGGATAGACGTCAGCATGTGTGGCAAAAATAATTTTCTATGACAAAAAGGAACATGTTCGAAGCATTTCTATAATTGAGTATAATATTGGGGGCTAAATTGTTGGATTGCTTGAAAGTTCCAGAAGCCTTTAGTTTTTTTTTATTGAAAATACTCCCTTCCTTCATAATTCAAAATTTTTATTGTTTATTAAAAAAATTGTACAACATAGCAATTCAATAAAGAAAAAAAAAAACAAATGTACTACCAATCATTTTAGAGAGAGAGAGAGAGAGACTGTATTACACACACTTAGAAGGAAATCTGTATACTTTCAATCGATACTTTTACATCAAATTAAACATCACCAATTGTTGTTTTATTTTTTCATAATCATTTGAAATGCCATTAGTCGTAATAAATCACTACATCTCACAGTCCATTAAATTCAAAAGTGCGCAACATCATCAATTGTTGAGTAGTTTTCCAGCTGCAATTGACCTTTGAAACTGTTTAGAAGCATCCTTAAGGTAAAAGTTGGGAGCTTGATCTATTCCCTTTCTTTTTAATTAGTTATTTCTGCGTGTGCTTCATGTTCAATGTCATCTTAATTTTATATCATTCGGGTCGATGAAGATACATTTTTGTTAATGTAAAAAGAAATGGAAAAGGTTTTGAATGATTAAAATTAAGATCCGGATTAAAGTACTAATAATAGTAGTAATTGATAATTATTGGACTTTTACCGGAAGAAAATGATGGCTGAAAATGGCGTAATTAATATAAATTCCCTCTGGTCATTAGAGGTATCAAAATACTGTCAAATAAGAAATTAGTGAAATCACAGTACGTTTAATTGAAACAAATTCTATATACCTTTTTTCGTTATTTGTTATCTCATTCACGTGGGTAGAGTATATCTTTGTCGATTTTTTCTTCCATTGAATAATAGTTTTGATTTTTAGACTCTAGTGTCCTTCATTGTGAAAAATAAGTATAAAAATAAGAGTCCCTCTTTCACATTTCCCCCTTAATTTGTTGTCTGTAAGAGTCTACTACATGGGACTAAAGTATTCAACTATACAATCTTGCTTTCACAGCAGGGCAAGGGGTTCAATAGAACAACCATCTTTTCCATTAAACGAGAAAAAAAATTAGCGACCTAACACAGATCTACCGACTCCCATATTAGTTGCAGTTGTTACCTTTAAAAAAAAAAAAAAAAAAACTATTCATTATATTTTGTGCTTTATTTGTCCTCTTGTTATATATTTGAATCGAGGAAGGAAATAATTGCTACGCTTGATATATAAACATTGATTATTCAATCATTAAATATACTGTTTGAACAAAAAAATAATATTTCCTCTGTATAAGACTGATTGTCTTATTTGATTTTATTTGTTTTTGGTAAAATTTTATACTTAAGTAAAAACTTTAAATTGCACAATTATTTCAGAACTGATGAAAAATTTCTCTTCTCCCTATATGGTTTTTTAATTTGTATTTGTTTTTATAAAAATTGTAAAATTATTTTGGACAGAAATAGTGGTTATTTTATGTAAGAATTTTATATCATCGTAATGTAATCATTATCAAGTGTTAGCCTCTTTCATTGTAAAAAAAATAATAGTACGTAGTAGATAACCTTGTTTGCCTTGGAAAAAGACGGCGGCTAAGCAGCCAAGCACAACTACATGATAAGAATTTTAAATTACATGCAAATGAACGCGCAAAGGTTTTGGTTTTAATTGTTGATTCAGTACACAATATACAAAATAATGCCTCCAGACCAGAGTACATAATGTCAAAATACATTTTAAAGGTACTATTTTTTTTTTTTTTTGTATTGAACTACAGATCACATCAATTATAGTTTATCATCACAAATAGTACTACTTGAGATAAGTATTCTAGAATTATATTATTCTAATTTAGTCGTATTATTAACTTTATTATTATTTACCAGGATTTTGTATATATCATCGGTACCAATAAGGATGTATGGTCTAAGTGTTAAATGAAACTTGTCAACTAACTATGATTTGAGTTTAAAGAATGTGAGTCGAGAAATTTTACCATGAGAGATCTATATATCTGGATTAAGTAGAGCTATGTATTTCAGGTCCAAAGAATGTGACTGGACAGGAACCTAATTCTTTTCCGCTGCAAATTGAGAAAATAAAATCAATAGTTGGCTAAGAGAGTTGAGTATTTCCTTCATAAGTGCATTGAAGATGTAAATGAATTCTTCATCAGATTTCTCTTTCTTTTTTTTTTTCTTTTTTTTCCCCTCTTCTTTGTTTTTATTACTCTGCGTCTTCATTGTAGTCGTGTTCCCTACTACTTAGAATTATCTCTGAAGCTTTCAAACACAAAAGATCCATCACGAATTAGACCAAACAAAACTGTATATATGTTTTCTCTTTCATAAATTTAGAAACTAATTAACTCAAAGAAAGACAGACTTTGCCTCACCTAAACAATTAAGTTTTGTTTTCACACATTTGCCTTTGACAATTAGTAAGAATATTCCCCAAGCAACTTGCCTTTTTTTTTTTAATAAATAATCCTCAAGCCAACCACAAAGTACTAATAATGGCGAAGAAAAAACAAAATAAATCTACATCAATTAAGTATGACATAAATAAACGAATTCAACGTGGAGTTGTGATTAAACAATTGTTACCCTTTCAATTTCATAGATGAACACCGGCCATTTTCCCTCATCTTTTCTTGCATATAAATAGTAGGATATCAATGGCAATCTAGCAAACCACACCAAAGCTTATAACAAAGCAAATTAATTAGCTTCCATCTCTTAGATATTTTGCGAGCCCGGTTATTTCGTTCTGTTCCTACTAGCTAGCTACCATGGAGATGTTTGCCACTAACTTCTTAACCGGAGGTCCGGCAGCCTTCATCCGCCGCTCGGATTTCGGCGAAGATTTTGTGTTTGGTTCCGCCACTGCTGCTTTCCAGGTTCATCTTCAACGCATAAATATATATATTTTTCGTTACTATCCTTAATATTGTGTTCCTTAACTTCATCATTATGAGTTACAGCATTGTTGAATTTTTCGTAGCCATGCACATTCACATTACGAATATCGTTGACTTGTTTTAAAAAAATTCAATCAGATTGAAGGTGCTCTTGACGACGATGGAAGAGGAGATTCCATCTGGGATACCTTTGCCAAAGAAAACAGTCAGTCTCTCCCTCATTCCCTCAAGCTTCAAATGAATCGATCTTTAATGTTCATACTTGACCAATTAAATGGAATTAGAGTGTTTAAGTACTTTTATTGCAAACTTGCAGATCTGTTTCACCCGTACGATGAAGATGCTGTCAATCATTACGAGAAGTTCGAGGTACTATATATATGTATATTCCACATGATCACATTTTTGGGTGATTAGACTAACAATCATACAAATGTCACTTGTTACGCATGGCAGAATTCTTCCGATACTAGCCACTGCGTCGACTTTTGCAGCTCATTTATGAGTTTTTATCTATAAAATTTCAGGAGGATGTGAATTTGATGAAAGAGATCGGATTTGATGCTTACAGATTCTCAATCTCATGGCCCAGGATTTTGCCAAGTATAGATTCTTCAAATACTATTTTCTGTATTTTCGATTTATTTTCCTTTTTTCTGTATTTTCGATTTATTTTCCTTTCTCTAACAACCGGTTTATTTATTTATTTTTTTGGATTTGAAATTTCAGCTGGAAAAATCGAATCCCGAAATCAAGAAGGGATAGACTATTATAAGAAACTTATATGCAAGCTCAGAGAAAACGGTAAGTAATACAACTATATACGTTATTTCTATAAGCAATTAATTCAATTAGGTCCTTTGTTATTTCTTACTTTCTATATTTTATATTAATGATATTATTTTGTACAGGGATTGAACCATATGTGACACTTTTTCATTGGGATCTTCCTCTAACTTTGCAAGAAGAATACAATGGTTTTCTTGACCGTAGAGTGGCGTAAGTAACTTTTTTCTATCTCCTATACACGAAGCACTTAATCATTTGCAAAACATTTTCTTAATCTAACACTTCTTTGTTTGATTTTTCAGGGAAGATTTTGGCGTATATGCGGATGTTTGTTTTCAGGAGTTTGGTGAATATGTTGACCATTGGATCACATTGAATGAACCATTCACCTATGCCTATTCTGCTCATGTCGACAAAGTTCACGCTCCTGGTCTAGGAACCGTCCATGACCATCTTTTCGCAACCGGAACGAACACAGAGGGATCGAAAGCGCCTACTGCGGTGGAAGAATCTGCTGATGATTCCGGTGCTACTAATGAGGCGGAGGAAGAGGAAGAGGAAGAGGATGAGGATGAGGATGAGGATGATGGAGGTTCCTTATTTCATCCTTCTCGTTCAACCGTTCACCCGAAACAGACCCGAAACAAAGTGATGATTTTCAAACCAGCCACATCTTGGGCCTCCGAAGCCGAGTACATTGATCCGTTTGCTTATCCATACATTGTCACCCATAACCTACTTCTTGCTCATGCCAAGGCTGTGGAAATATTCAAGACCAAATACCAGGTTTTATTATATGACACATTGTGATAAGTTACGGTTAATTAGTTACTCAAATATTTACTACTACATACTTATATCATCATGCCTCGTGATCGTATATAGGATCCCGACAAAAAGAAGAAAATTGGAATTACGTTGGTGTCAATGTGGTTTGAGCCTCGCAATCCCGATGATGAGAAGGATAAGGCTGCTGCTTTGCGCGCCCTTGATTTCTTCATTGGCTGGTGAGTATATATTAAGTACCACTAGATTTTCTCATCATACGTACTTAAGTGTTTATGTCCATTTTTTTGGTCTAATCTTCTTAAAAAAATGGAGTATATTTATGTAACAACAAATTAACCGTTTACCTATCTATAATTAGGTATCTTGATCCATTGGTTCATGGTGATTATCCCAAGAGTATGAGGGAATACGTAAATCCAGATCATCTTCCTCAAATGGATGATGCCGATAGAGAAGCAATTCAAGGAAGCTATGATTTTATTGGTGTAAACTACTACACTGCCCGATACGTTGGTCACTCTGAACCAAAGGGAAAACTCAAAAAAATTGGCAGAAATTATGTCACCGACCAACACCTCAAGTATTATGGTTAGTATAGTTATTTAATTTTTGTTTTTGATACGTACGTGTATGTACATACTATTTTATAGAGTAATCACAGATTGGAGGCATTTTAGTGTTATAAAAATTGAAAATACTGAAGTTCAAAAACAAACAAAACTAGTTATAATATCTTTATAACTATGTGTGTTATGTTTTTGGCAGAGTCGCGCAATGAGAACGGAGTGGACGTTCCCATTGGTAAAGATACGGTGAGTAAGCTAATTAATTTAATTTTTTTAATTACTCTGATTTCTGATGAGTAGCTCATCTTAATTTGAGAGATGATTTACTCTTATCACATTTCATCGAATTGCAGGGTGCTTCAGCGTGGCTGATATCATATCCAAAAGGGATTGAAGGACTTTTGCTTCACGTCAAAAACAATTACAAGGATCCACTCATCTACATCACCGAAAATGGTATTGATGATCACGATGATGATTCATCAAGGCATTGGGACTCCTTCTTTGATGAGAAGAGAGTGAGGCACATCCATGATCACCTCAACTATCTTCTCGAAGCTAAACGGTATGATAAATATCATATCCAATAAAATTCAAGATACTTTAAATTTTGGGTTAGTTTCGTGAATCAATTAATGTTTATCAACAAACTGATAGTTTCATATTTTGTGTTGATTACAGCAAAGGAGTGAATGTGAAGGGGTACTTTGTGTGGTCCTTGCTGGATAACTTCGAGTGGAACAATGGTTTCCATGCTCGATTTGGGCTTATTTATGTTGATTACAAGAAAAATGGACAAAGGCATCCCAAGCTATCTGCTGCCTGGCTCAAACATTTCCTCGCTGATAAGTGTGACAATTAAGTGATGCTCTTTTGGTCCAAGAACGGAGACAAATCGCTTGAAGACTTCTTTTTTCTACTGTTTAATTCGCCTCCTTCTTTTGCTCCTCGTCCTTTTATTTTCTTTTTCTTTCAATTGGATAATAAATTGGGGAATGTTTCTGGTCAAAAATTTGCAATGTGAAGATTATAGTTTCTGTCGACCCCTTCTGTCAATTATTAGTGGTGGTTCGGTATTAGTACTCTTGTAAGTTCTCAATTTGGAATCAAATGAAAGCCGATCTCATCTTTTGTTAACTTTTATTTCCTGTCTTTTCTATTACCTTTAGAAAGTGCTTGAATGTCAATTTGTCCATGATTCTAGATCAATGTCAATACATTGATATGCTAAATCAGAACCTCAACCCCTAAAATTGAAATGTTAGCTTCATTTGTTAATGTACTTTCCAGCCACACAAAATTGGTTGGCTTTAACAGTTGAGTATTAAAGATCCCTAACAACTTACTCCTCCCCCTCCCAAAACAAACGAATCTTGAAAAACGAGTTTGTTTCTCTTCTGTTTATTAAAACTTATTTCGCACCTAACTAATTCACGATTTAGGGAAAGAATGAATTGTATCTCTAAGTCTCAATCAGAATTGTTATTAATCGTCATGTCTTAAAATTATTGTCCATTTTAGATTTTTATTTTTAACAGAATTAGAACTAAAAATAAAGATTCAAACTGAATAATAATTTCAGAACGGAGAAAGTTTTAACTTTTATACTTTAAGCTAGGAACGTTTAGAACTTTCGTGGTGTTTTTTTTTTTTTTTTTGGCCAAGGGGAACAAAATGTGAACCAGAAAACGCCCACATATCAACGGTATTGTATTAATGTACTATTGTTTAGTGAATGGAAGCGAGGAAGATACTGTTTTTTTCTTTCTCTCTTTTTATTAGATGAAATGAGGAAAATACGTCATTTATAGGTCGAGACGTCTTCATCTTTGTCTGTCTATATCGTGGCCCATTCAATCAATGTGAAACCATGCCATCTGTTGAAGTTCCAAAGTCACGTCATTGAACAGAAAACTCAAAACAGCCAACCATGGATTGATATTTTCCCTTTTGGGAAATCGGAAATGGTTGTCTTTATACTTGATTATATCACACTCATTTCGTTAGTTTATATCATGGTTCCTCTTCATATTTAGGTAACCATGAGGGTGTTGCCAATAAAATGATCCCATGGATCCTGTAGTTAAAAAACAAATTTAAAAAATATTTTCTTTTGGTACAATTGAAATGAAAGATTAACTATATATGTGATTAACCTGATGATTAAATCTTTACTTTCTCCTTTCCTTCTCATTATACAAGCACTTATGTTGTCTTCTGACTAGTCTTAACTCGTACTTAGCGACTTTGTGAAAATATTTTTTCAAATGAAGTGAGTTAAGTGCCAAAAAAAAACTTAATTCTCCTTCCTAGAATAAGATGTATACTTTACGAAGATGGAGAGATTTTTATTGCAGTTGTCATTATAATATTTGTTAGTGGGAGGATTTTATTTTCTGAAAAAGATTTATTAGGTTCGCATTGGAATTAGTAGAGGTAGAAATTTTGAATACTAACTGTGTGTGTAACATATAAAAAATAAATAAACAAATATACAAATATACAATACTTTTTAAAAATTTTCGGACTAATAGGAGTTGTACTTTTGAATTAGTTACACAATGACATTTGATCATACTTTAGCATTAATGATAGCAATCTCGTAGACGAAGCAAATTTCATTAATGCAACCATCAACAAGAAAGTACGAAGATAATTTTGTCTATCCCGTGAAACTCAAAAGAGTGCGGAAAATTCACAGTAAGACGATCGTTTATCTGAGTGATTCTATCCCTTAACTCAAACTAAGCAAAGAACACATTATCCATGAAAGATTCGAATTAAACAATAACCCACGCTAAGAATAGCAAGAACACCATTCAATATACTCGATCAGTCATCATTCAAGAGACTCAAGAAAGGTAGGAGAAAACAATACTCAACTATGAAGGAATACTATTGATTAGTAATCTTCATAACCAACCAAAGATATGCAACACATACACTATCTCAAAATGCTTATGCCAAAGCACAACTCATCCAACAAAAGTAGGACAAACCCCACAATGGAACTCATGAACACACTCATCATGAAATTCGAACACCAAGCCAAAAGAAAGGCTCATCAATCGAACTACTAGAAGTAGTATGAAAATAAGAAGTTTTGTTTTAAAACAATTCTATCAAGAAGCATACTTGAAAAAGAAAGGTTTCTGCAAGATCAAAAAAATCCAAGACAAGATGAAAACCCTCTTGGTTAAATCATACTTGACACGAAAAATGGACACTCCATTTAACAAAAATTCCTCAGAGGTAAAACTCTCAAAAGAGACAACAAAAATGACCACTCAAGAGTGCTTTGAAATTTCGGCCAAGCCCCCTATTTATAGGCTTAGAATTTCGGCCAACACCAATAGAAGAAGATCAATTATGACTCTCTAATCTTATCTCACAAGGAGTAGAAGTAGAAGAGTATTTGATCTCTTTGACTCTACCTAAAATCTAGGAAACCTTATCTAAATGACTTATCCTCAAGTAGGATAATATCCAGAAGGAATCTAAAACTCCTAATCAAAACACTCTAGTTTAATTCAGCCCACATGTCTTACCTAACTAAATAAAAATTCGAAAATTAACTCCTAGACTTAGACAACAACTAAATCTCGAAAATCAGCTCCAAATTTGAAGTAAAATGTCTTGAACTCCCTTCCAAAAGTGGAATATTGGTCTTGCGCCCCTTAAGTTGTAGAAAACTCCAATTTACTCCAAAACTTGTAGAATTCTCTTTATTGACTCCAAAAGATTGAAAAAACACTTGAAACAATTAAGATAGTTTGCACCCTATCCAATTGTGTAGCAATGGACTCAATCTTGAACACTTTGATCAAATAAGCCGTCTATTCAAGAACATAAATGACTCTTCTCATTAGCTTGATCAATGATCTTCATGGAGCACACAGAGTCAAACTCTCTTAATACTCTTCAGCACTTATTTCCATGAGGTCATCATCTCCTTTAGTTTGAACCCAAAATTAATGACATTCTCATCACATTGATCATAGCTCTCTTGAACCAACTCCCTATCACATAGGTAGTCAAGATCTATCCTTTCTTCCTTGATTGGCCTGCAAAGTAAACTTGGCATTCCAAAATTAGAATGAAGGACTAGTTCATTCCCCTCACTAAGAGAATCAACATGAAAGGCTACATGATTCTCATCAATTAACCTGTCACGATTGAATTATGCGAAGTTTTGTGTAATAGAGAAATGAGACTAAAGTCTAATTAAGGCCAAGGCTGGTGAAAGGCCAGCTAGTCAAACAAATTGCCCCTAACTTTAGTAACTTTATCGTGGCATCGGGATTGGCCACGTTATTGCAATTTGGTGGGTCGCCAAAATAAAATTTATTCACATTTTTCGACTTTATTGTGATGTTCTGGATTATAAAACTTTGCGCAATGAAATAGTGGTAGAGACAGGACAATAAAGCGATCTTCTTCTAGATAATAATTCTTCCGAATTTACACACCACAACTACCTTTGGTCCTCTTGAAAGAAAAATTTATGTTCATTCCCTTTTAATTTAATATTCTTTTTTTAGTACACTAGTAAATTAAAATAAAATATCAAAATGACAATCAATTATGACCTTTTTCATATTTGTGATTGAGGGCCTACAAGCTCTCTTCTTTCTTTGGATGAAAAAGGAAAGTAATGGAAAAAAATTAATAAAATAAACATCTTCCATAAGTAATTATATTGGTGAGTGTGTGTTTGTAGTATCACGTTTAATAATTTATGATTTTTTTTTAATCACAGTGGTTGGAAAGACTTTTTCTTTTTTTTTTTTTATAGAAAATTAGTCAGTCGTATTTTCACTTCTTACCAACTCTTCCCCTCTTTCTTCGAGTTTTTCCCATCCAACTTTCTCTTCACCTCTCACATCCCTTTCCTCTTATCCATTCCGAAATCTGCACGTTTCAACAATAAATATGGACGTGGTTTTTAATTAATTCGTCTTGTAAAGGCGTGTTGGATGACTTAGCACACCATTTACACATTAAAATACAGCAAAAATTATTGATACTACTTCTTTCGTTTTTTCATCTGAGGGAGTACGTATACAATAAATATGGACGTGTTTCCTGTTTCACATGCTTGCTTCCAATGTTCACATTTTGCTATTGACAAATAGTAATAATTATGATTAATATTTATTTATTTCTTTTCTGCATCTGAGTACGTACAAAACTTCTTTTGTTTTTTTCCTTTAGTTTCACATGCATGCATCCTTCCAACGTTCAAATTATGCTTGAAACAAAGACAAGAGGGAAAAATAGGGAAAAGAATAAAATAACTTATCTTTCTAGCGCTTAGTGCTTTCCAAAAAAAAAAAAGTGGTAATTAAGGGCTCTTCTTCTTCTTCTTCTTCTTCACTCTCTTCAGTGTCTTCTCTTTGTCCTTTCCTATCATAACCTTTCAGCCATCCGCGGCACCGACCACGTATAAATTGCCAGAAAAATAATAATAAACAAATCTCATCATCAATTGCACGTTGAAGTTGTGGTTCAATAATTCAATTCTCAAAGATGAAAACCCATTCCCTTCTATCTATGGAAGTGCCTATAAATAGGGTACGTTCCTGAAGCTTGCAAATCACCCCTAGCTCTCTTCTCTATCTTTTCATTACTCATCTCCAACGCAAGATAATAAGCTAGTAATTAAAACCCATTTCCATCCTAGTTAAGTTTAATTATTTAACATGGCATTTCCCGGCCACTTCTTCTCCGGCGCCGGCGCTCCTGCAGCCTTCATCCGCCGCTCCGATTTCGGCAAAGATTTCGTGTTTGGTTCTGCAACTGCTGCTTTCCAGGTTCATCTTCAACCAATGCATGATGCATTATGTCTTTATCAATTTTTTTTTTTTTACTATACGTTGTTGTCATTTTTTTTGCTGTACTGCATTGCTAATTCTTTCTTCACTTTTTAACTTTTTCAGATTGAAGGTGGTCTTGATGATGGCGGTAGGGGAGATTCCATTTGGGATACCTTTGCCAAAGAAAATGGTATATTCTCTCACTCCATACATATGGCTTTTTTTGTTTTTCCTCGTATACTATCTTATATGGATACAAGTGTTTACGGAATTTTATTGCAAAATGGCGCAGACTTGTTTCACCCATATCACGAAGATGCTGTGAATCACTACGAAAAGTTCGAGGTATAATCTATAGTACAACACTTTATGTTTGGACCTATTTCATGACGTACTAATAAAAATAATAAATAGTAGTAGTTCCAACAAATATAGAAAGCGTTGACTTTTATTCACGGTCAACTTTTTGTGTCTCAAAATTTAGGAGGATGTGAAGCTCATGAAGGAAATAGGATTTGATGCTTACAGATTCTCAATCTCATGGCCCAGGATTCTTCCAAGTATAATTACTTACGCTGTTTTTTTGCTTCTTCGAATATTTTATAAATGTTGTTCTCACTGTAACACTAAACGTTATTTTTTATTTTTTATTTTTTGAATTCCAGCCGGAAAAATTGAGTCTCGGAATCAAGAAGGGATTAACTATTACAAGAAACTCATAATGAGGCTCAGACAACACGGTAATTGAAAATTAAAACATACGCAGTTTGATTTGATTTTGATTTTTGAGTAGTGAAAAATTCATGCATAGATTACTTTTATTTCTATTTTTCTTGAGTATGTTAATTAATAGTATGACTCTATACAGGAATTGAGCCATATGTCACACTTTTCCACTGGGATCTTCCTCTAGCATTGCAAGAGGAATACAATGGTTTTTTGGATCGTAGAGTGGCGTATGTATCTTAATTATTCCATCTCTTTTCAATAGATATGATGATATCTGTGATTATTTTACTTGCTAGCCAAATATTTAGGTGTTTAAATTAATGTCCTCAGTTTCTTTTTTCAGGGAGGATTTTGGTGTATATGCAGATGTTTGCTTCAAGGAGTTTAGTCAATATGTTGACCACTGGATCACACTGAACGAACCATTCACATATGCCTACTCGGCTCATGTGGATAAAGTCCACGCTCCTGGTTTGGGAACCGTAAAAGACCATCTCTTCGCAACCGGCACCAACACCGAGGGAGCACCGGCAGCTACTACCACAGCTGCGACGGAAGTATCCGCCGATGCGGCGGCTGCTACTAATGCGGCAGAGGAGGAGGAAGAAGAGGAGGATGACGGAGGTTCCTTCTTCCATCCTTCCCGTTCCACGGTTCACCCGAAACAGACCCGAAACAAAGTGATGGTTTTCAAGCCAACCGAATCTTGGGCATCCGAAGCCGAGTTCCTTGACCCGTTTGCATATCCATACATCGTCACACATAACTTGCTCCTTGCTCATGCTAAAGCTGTAGAAGTTTTCAAGAAGAAATACCAAGATCCTGCTAAGAAGAAGAAGATTGGAATTACCTTAGTGTCCATGTGGTTTGAGCCTCGCAACCCGGATGATGAGAAGGACAAAGCCGCTGCTTTAAGAGCCCTTGATTTCTTCATTGGATGGTTAGTAATAATATTAATAATGTTCTTTTGTGATGATGATCCCTCTAGCTAGAAGAAAAGATAAAAACTTGAGGATTATTTATTAGTATGTAATTAATATATAGCTAACTGTTAGTTTTCCGATTGACTAATGATTTAGGTACCTGGACCCATTGGTTCATGGAGATTACCCCAAGAGTATGAGGGAATATGTGAACCCAGACCATCTTCCTAAGATGGATGATGCTGATAGAAAAGCCATTCAAGGAAGCTATGATTTCATTGGTGTCAACTACTACACCGCCAGATATGTTGGTCACTCGGAACCCAAGGGAAAACTCAAGAGGATTGGAAGGAATTACGTCACTGATCAGTGCCTCAAGTATTACGGTTAGTATATGTAGTTCATTTATTACGTGAATGTGTGTGTAGTATTGAAGCTTTGGTTTACTTTATAGAGCAACAACTCTGAGGCGGTTTCCGAGTTAAATTTTTCAAAATGTAGTGAAGTTCTAAGAGAAAAATATCCTTACAATTTGTGTGGTTGATTATTTTGGCAGAGTCACGCACTGAGAACGGAGTGGATGTTCCCATTGGTAAAGATACGGTGAGTTATTATGTTAAAAGAATTTGTCTTCCCTACAGTTCTGATCTTCTGAGTACGTAGTGCATGCTTAACAAAATTTTAATCTGTTCGCCACATTTGCATATAATTGCAGGGTGCTTCGGCCTGGCTGATTTCGTATCCTAAAGGAATGGAGGGACTTTTGCTTCACATCAAAAACAATTACAAGGATCCACTTATCTACATCACTGAAAATGGTAGAGATGATATAGTCATTATTCTTTTAAACTTTACGATTCTAGTCTTTTGCTTAAAGGAGGAACTTATACATTAACTTTGAAATATTGTATTCCAGGAATTGATGACCACGATGATGATTCATCAAGGCATTGGAACTCCTTCTTTGATGAGAAGAGAGTGAGACACATCCATGATCACCTCAACTATCTCTTGGAAGCCAAACGGTAATAATCAACTATAAAGATCCTTATTTTAATCTGCCATTTTTGGTGAACCATTAATGATTATCATCAACATTAAAATGTGACATCATTGTGTTAATTAATTGCAGGAAAGGAGTGAATGTGAAAGGATACTTTGTGTGGTCATTGCTGGATAACTTTGAGTGGAACAATGGTTTCCATGCTCGATTCGGGCTCATCTACGTTGACTACAAAAATGATGCAAAAAGGCACCTCAAACTCTCTGCTATGTGGCTCAAGAATTTCCTAGCAGACAAGTGATCAAACCACTCTCAAGTCAACTAGAAAGAAAGTTTAATAATAATGATTCATTCCATCGACCACCATCCACAAAATAAATTGTCTTGCTTTCTCTTGTATCGCTTCCTTTTCTTTCTTTTTTTTTTTTTGGTTGATTTTTAGCACCTTCTAGTTAAGAGTGTGCAATATTGGTTGCCAGCAGCCAATGCCTTCCGGTTTGTAATAATAATAATAAAGGCTTATATCAAATTTTTGTTGGTTCGGTCGGTTTTTCCTTTGTAAGCTGTTTATTTACTATTCCCTCCGTCCCATAATTATTGTCCAGTTTGGATTTTCATTTTTAGTTTAAATTGTACTAAAAGTGAAATCTCAAACTGGACAATAATTTTGGGACAGAAGAAGTATTTTTTTATTTTTTTTTGGTGTAAGGAAAGAGACAAAAGTCTGAATTAAGAGATTAACAAATTTGGTCAAAACGTGATTGAAAATGTGTAATGAATATTTTAATTTTTATGTTTTGCGTTGTCATGTTATCCCTTATCAGTTTTTGGGCCAGAACTCCATAATTTTTCTGATTCTAGCTCCAAGCCTCCTTATGGACCATTCGAGATGCTAAATGAAGACAAGAGAAAAGGGGAAGAAAATAAAAAAAGGAGAAGGGCGATGTAGCCTGGAAATTCGAATACTCTCATAGCTTTTCCAAGTAAAAAATTTGGATCTAATTCCATATAAAAAGGAAAAAAGAAATAAAAAAAGTCACAAAAATTGTTGGCTTGGACTTTTTGGTGTTTTTGGCGAGTTTACTTTAGGTTACATCTCTTATTCGTTATTTCTCTGTGGACTGCATTATTATTATTATTATTATTATTATGGCCATTAATATTGGAAAAAGAATTTTCCAGAGAACACCTCCCGCACATGTGTGTTCGGAAAAACAATTCCATTTTAATTAATCAATAGTACTTCCGAAATATATCAATTAAATAAGTTAGTAAAAAACTGAGAATAGGCCGCAAACCCATATCTACAACATGGGAACATATCATTGAATGCATGTGCTTAAATTAATGTTTACGAGAATATTTTAATGAAAAATAAAGAAAAAATTGTTCAGAGTGACGAAGCTCTTATAAGCTAAATTAATGGTATATAGCACGTGCTTAAACTAATGGGATCGATGGTAATACCGAATCACCCATGGCTTTTGCTCATTGCATGATTGCATTCTTCTGGAAGTCTTATAATTAAGTTCCATAAGTATAGTTTATAATCTAATAACAGAGTGACGAAAAGGTCCAAAAAGAAAGAAGCAAAACCACTCTATTGTAATATTCTTTCTGTCACAGAACAAATCACCAAATTCAATATAAGTTAATATTTTTGGACAGAAAAAATACAGTTAATAAGAACAAAGACGATGGTAAGAACCTTCCCCTTTTTGTTTTTTTGGTTGTAAAACTAATCTTATCTCTTAGCATCGCTGTATCTTCTATTTAACATGTAAATGGAATATACATTCCTCTATCAGCAAACTGGATTCCTGATACTCATAATCCGATTGGTGCTCATTCCATTTCAGCTATGTCCGACTTGACCGTGGACCGCTTTATTAATCCAAATGGTCAATGGAAGACTCGTGTTCTTAAGAATTTCTTTCTAGATCATATTATTTCTCGTATTACAAGAATCTTTATAGATCCGGCAAGACTAAATCAAAAGGATAAACTTCATTAGACACTTACTGATCATGGAAATTATACAGTCAAGTCAAAGTATCATTTGGTCATCAATGCTCTTCTTCCACAATCCGTGCCAAGTCCAGCAATTTAAAATGAAGAGAAATTAGCTTGGAAAAGACTATAATCTCTAGAGTTCAACCCAAACACAAGTTCCTCTTCTGAAGAGCATTACTCAATACTCTTACACGCTCAGAACTATGTGAATGGGGAGTTCAAGTGGACTCATTATGCCTCAAATGTGGTAGGCAGGAGAAGGATAGTTTACATTTATTCTTTAAATGTGAAGCCTCTCAGGTCATTTGGGCCTTGGCTTTTTCTCTATTTGGCTCAATTTTCAACTCTACATATGACTCCTTGCATCAATGGTTCATTCATTGGACTCAATCTCATCCCACCAAAGAGGAGGTTGATTTGTTTTTGATCATCATTTGGCGGATCTGGTTGGAGAGGAATGATAAAATTTGGAGAAACCAATCTCATAATCCGGCGGTATCTTAGACACTTATCCAAAATGAAGTCACTCTTCACAAGCTAAGATTTGGTAGATTTGGAGCTGGAAGACCTTCTCCCAACACACAACTATTGCCACCACCAAGGGGTCCGGCAGATTCCTTAGTCATTTTTTATGGCTCGTTCAGCTATCAATCACGCAAAGCGGCTGGTGCTTGGAAGATACTATCACATCATGGTATGGTAATGTAAATCAAAGCGGTGGATCTAAGTGTGCTTTCTCATTTTCAAGTCGAGGCAATGACTTATCTTTTGGCCTTGAAAGAGATGTTACATTTAGGAATCATTCATCTTTAAGTTTATACGGACTGTGAATCTTTAACTGGAGATTTACGGTCCGCTTTAATACCTTCTAAGGCCCAGGAAGTGGTTTCTTTGTTAGTTACTTGTATTTCTTTATTTCAGTCTTGCTCATTGATTAAAGTGAGTGGGCAAGATGTTGTATAATTACATAATTTAGCATTCCATAGAATGCGATATAATAGTTTAGGTACTTCTTAATTAATATACATGTAATTTTTTTTAAAAAATAAAAAATATCTTTCAGGGTTATCGGAAAAGGACTTTTTGGAACACTTGTTCAAAATGTCAAAAGCTCGGAATCAGTTTTGAAAGAACGTGTAAAACGTTTGAAAAACGTGTAAAACGTACGAGTCCATTTTTACAAATTACTGGACTATTATTTTGTAGGAGGAGACAATTGATGCTGTCTTTTTTTTGTTTTTACGAAATAGGAGGTAAAAGCATAGACTCTAATTGATGCTGTCCCCACCCACATTCAAAATAAGATACCACTTGACACTTGACAGTAACTGTTGTTTAATTATTACATAGATAACCAAGCTTAGCTGTACAATATCTTTTTTCTTTCTCATTGACTATATATGAACTCGTCTCAACTTATTGAGAAGAATAATTTCACCAGCTACAAACTACAATAATATATATATATATATTTTAAATTGGAAATACATTAATTAAGATTGTTGAATTAATTTAAAATACTCTAATTCTCGTGGGAATAAAAAAATAAGATCATTACAACTTTAAAGATAAAACAGTAATACTGTTCCAATCATTTTATTATTTTGATGAGAAAAAAAAAGTAAAATAAGAAACCAATGGAATTTAAGAAGTGCCAATGGATGCTCGGGGAATGAACACGTAGTTTCCTCATTCTTTGAATGTAGGTGTGATTAAAGTTTAATGGACCCAAGAGCCAAGATGTAACCAAACCAAAGATGGAACGGAATCACGATGGAAGGGGACGATGATGAGCCGGGACTCCTTACCCTATTCCTACCACACCCACCACACCACACCCCCAACCCCAATTAATCTTCTCTTTTTATATATTCTCAAATATTTACTTCATTTTGAATCAATTATGAAAAAGGTTGGGCATGATTGGCATTGATCATAATGATGTGTTTCATGATGTGTTTCAACTGGCTTTTAGTTCTCACCAAAAACATGCAACAATTTTTGTCAATCGATGTGACTTGGAATTCCCTTCTTTCACATATTTATCCATTGATTGTCATATTTCTCACCTGCTTCACTTCCAGGTTGGTACACTCCCATTGGATAGATATTTGATTATTAGTGTTTTTGATATACTAAACTGGTAAACAATGAACGTATTATTAACCCTTTCTAGATGAAAGAAGTGCTCTCCCCCAATCTATAGAAAGGAAAAAAAAGAGTAATCTTTCCGTCGCGAAATTATTATTCAATTTGAATTGTTATTTTTAATACAAATTGGAATATAAATGAAAATACACATTGGATAATAATTCTGTAACAGAAAAAGGGAGTATATGGCAAAAATTTTAAGTACTTGTTGTGTGTTGTTTATTGGAGTACTTAAATCACACCTAACTATAATCAAATGAGTCCTAGCTAGTCCTAACTCTTAAGGGGATCCTTCAAGTCCGAATTATTATTATTGTGGCTTACATACTGCTGTTAGTACAATACTCAGTCTCCAAAAGACCAAGAGGGGGACCCCATGATTGACAATGGATATATCAACCAAAGTACAAAAACCAAACATTTAATTCTAAAGAACGTTCTTTTGTTGAATTTCATTGTCACTCTTAATCGTACATACACAATTCAGAGAGTAGTAGCGTCAAATTTGGGGTGTTCACATGCTGCATGTGACTCAAAATGAATGCGATCGATCTGAGCAAAAATATAGATATAGTTGTGCGAATAAATTTTTGTCAGTAACCAATAATAACAATATTGAATGTTCAAAGTTATGAAACTTCAAAGTAGGTTCGTTGTATAAATTGATCGATGTCCCGCCGTGTACCATATCCTCAAAGAATAATAAGTGCCCCGAAAAATTGACTCACTTCACTTAAAATAAATTAATTATAGTGATAGTTTCGAACATGCGATGCGTACTATATATATATTAAGAAGAAAAAATATATACTCTCTCTGTTCCAAAATTATTGTTCATTTTGAGATTTCACTTTTAGTATAATTTGAATTAGAAATGCAAACTCAAACTAGACAATAATTATGAGATGGAGGGAATATGTCGAAAAAATGAAATAATTTCACCAAAGAGTACTCATGATTAATGTTGTTGCCACCAAGGAAAGGACCTTTTTCTTCTTTTGATGGATGATAATCAAAGGCACAATGGAACTATCAGGAAAATCCCAGATGGAACCAAAACCATTACCAAAATGATTCCATAAAAGATCACGCAAGAAAGTTAACTTTACAAATTAAATATATAAACTTTATTGTTTCAATTCCAAGCAAGGAAAAATGAACATAGTAAACTAACAAAAACACTCACAAAATCTTCTTGATGAAATCCCACCAGATCACCTTAATTTCCCACATATTATAAACCACTTTATACCAGAAGCACCACTACTCCAACCACTATTGCACAAAAAAACCTAATCAAAAGAGGTTCAAGAAAAAATGAGCAAACACATCCTTTATGCCGTTAAAGGTGACGAAAATTGGAGAGAAGCAATTTCCAGGTGAATTTGTTTGGGCTGAAGTTTGATTATTATTGTTGTTGGCGCCAACACCACTGTCAACTGGAATACCGCTGTTGCCGGAAGATCCCGGCGCAGGCGAGACGCCATTTTCGGCTAGGAATCGCTTCAGCCACGCCGCTGAAAGCTTAGGATGCCTTTTTGCTCCGTTGTTGTAGTCAATGTAGACGAGCCCAAATCGAGCATGGAAACCATTATTCCATTCGAAATTATCTAAGAGTGACCAAACAAAGTATCCCTTCACGTTGACCCCTTGGCTGACAGAGAAAATATGAAACAAGAGTTAATGTCTGTTTGTAATAATTTTATTAAATTCAGTCTAAGATAAGAAGAAGTAAAATTCCATTGCCAAAGGATTTCATACCGTTTTGCTTCCAAGAGATATATTAGGTGATCGTGGATATGTGCCACCCTTTTCCTGTCAAAGAATGAGGTCCAAAGCCTTGCTGAATCATCATCATGATCATCAATACCTGAAGTTCACAAATAATTATGATCAATTAACACATTATATTTTTTTATAAAAAAGTTGGGAGGTTTCTTTGAAATGACTTCAAGCACAATATATGTATGTTTCAATAGGCATTACCATTTTCAGTAATGTAGATCAGTGGATCATTGTAATTCTCCTTGATGTAAAGCAAAAGTCCCAATATTCCTTTCGGATATGAAATGAGCCACTCGGAAGCACCCTGCATTAATTGGAATAGTAGTGATTTTAGTGGGAGCAAAACTGGTAAGACTCTTTTTTTTTTTTTTAATTTATTATCAGAATACAAAATTAAGCAAAGGAAAAAAAGAATTCTGCTTACTCACCCTATCTTTACCAATTGGAACCTCAACTCCGTTCTCTATGCGTGATTCTAATCAAAAAAGAAATACTTTCAAATTTTCGGTTTTTTAAACAATTCTAAATTCTAACACTAGGAAGTTATCGATTATATACTAACCATAGTACTTGAGTTTTTGATCTGTTACGTAATTTCTCCCAATCTTTTTGTGTTTCTCCTTTGGTTCAGAATGAGCTACATATCGAGCAGTGTAATAGTTTACACCGATAAAATCATAGCTTCCTTGAATGGCTTTCCGGTCGGCATCATCCATTTTAGGGAGATGATCAGGATTCACATATTCTCTCATGCTTTGAGGATAATCACCATGAACCAAGGGTGCAAGGTACCTGAAAAGAAAATCTCATCGTTAATTCCATATTTCCATGACTAAATTACGCTGTCTATTCTACAACTTAAGCACAGAATACTGAGCACAAACCGAAGACTAACAAATCCAAATTCTAGATCGTCCGGGCCATAAACCATTTAGTATTTAATTACAAAGACAAAAAAATTTATTCGAAAACACAATTCTAGATGGTTCCTACAAATTATGCAATTATCCTTGTCATGATATGTCACATCGGGCCGTTCTGCGATAAAAATGTTGTGGGTCGACATTTGTAACATCATGAATATGGTCCCATCATTAAAATAAATAAATAAAAGACGTGCGAGATTGTATCCATAATCCTATTAACTACTGTACTAATGAATTGTAGAAATCTAGCACTAGAGCAATATCTTTATTGCTGACAACTTTTGCTGAGCATAGATAACAAAATATTCCCAAATCTTCACTCATGTACTGTTTTAATTTTTATTGAATTCATCATTAACGTGTCATTACCGAGTTGAAAAAGTTGATAATGCTAGCTACCAGTCAAATCCTACCTTTAATAAATAAATCACTGTTGTACCTGATTTTGTTTGCTTAAGAGAACCCTTATCATTTATCAAACCATTTTTTTTTTTTGCCAATAAGGTCCTACTTCTTTTCATATTCGCCATGAAACTCAAAGCTTCCTCATAGCAATGTTACTAATAAATAATGAAGCATGGGAAAAAAAAATGACTTTTCAGTGAATTACACTCACCATCCAATGAAGAAATCAAGGGCTCTTAATGCAGCTGCTTTGTCTTTCTCATCATCAGGATTGCGAGGCTCAAACCACATTGATACAAGTGTAATTCCAATTTTTTTCTTCTTAGCAGGATCCTATACAATCATTGACGTGGAAATCGTTCTTAGTGGTCATTAAAAAACATTGAATTCCAATTAAGATAATAATTGGAAAATGTTGTTTGACACTTGGAAAAAAAAAAAAAAATTGGTTAAGTAGCCAACCTGATATTTCTGTTTGAATATTTCCACGGCCTTAGCATGTGCGAGAAGCTGGTTATGTGTGACAATGTATGGGTACGCAAATTCATCGATATATTCAGCTTCCGATGCCCAAGATGAACCGGTCGCTTTGAAAACCATCACTTTGTTTCGGGTTGATTTCGGGTGAACCGTTGACCGAGAAGGATGGAAGATGGAACCTCCGTCATCATCGTCGTCATCCTCGTCAGCACCAGCATCAACCCCATTATCAACAGCATTACTAGATTCTTCCGTTTTTGTTGATTTTGCTGTATCGGTGGTTCCGGTTCCAAAGAGATGGTCTTTTACTGTTCCTAAACCGGGAGCATGAACTTTGTCCACATGGGCCGAATAGGCAAAAGTAAACGGTTCATTCATTGTTATCCAATGATCAACATATTCACCAAACTCTTGGAAACACACATCCGCATAAACACCAAAATCCTCCCTGGAAATAATAAAAAGAAAAGAAGATAAATATCTAGCACTATTATATTTTGACAATTCTTCTTGTTTGTTTTCTTATTATTAGGTAACGATATGCTACCTAAAAGTTGTATATGAGACAAAAACTTTTAGAGAAAACTTATATTTAACGTTTGGAGATTTTAATAAAGTTTTATCGAATGGAACTATTAGCCCTATAATTTTACTTACGCTATTCTACGATCAAGGAAGCCATTGTATTCATCTTGCAAATTTTGAGGAAGATCCCAGTGAAAAAGTGTCACATAAGGAACGATACCTGGATATATGAGATTTATAAATATTATTAATACACAGTGACAACCACAATGAAATCACGAATCCAATGTTAGTTATTAGTACTAATGACAGAAGTTGGGGTACCAATACCATTTTCTTTGAGTTTGGTCAGAAGTCTCTTGTAATAGTTAATCCCTTGTTGATTGCGAGACTCTATTTTTCCAGCTGAAAATTATAAGACGAATTCCAAGTATGAGTTGACATTGGAGAAGCAAAATGGAGATTAAAGTATTCATAAATATTGAAAGAAGTAGAGATGTGAATTAAAAAAAAAAATTAGTAAGAGCTGTTAATTACTTGGCAAAATTCTAGGCCAGGAAATTGAGAATCTGTAAGCATCAAACCCGATCTCCTTCATTAGTTTTACATCTTCCTGAAATGAACCCACCATATAAGTCGATCACACGTTCTAAGGTCCAAAAAATTAAATGAAAAAAATTAGAGCTGTCATACCTCAAATTTCTCATAATGATTGACAGCATCCTCATGATAGGGGTGAAATAAGTCTGCAAGTTTGCGATAAAATTCCGTGAACAATCTAATTCCATTTCAACTGTTCAAAGAATGAATTACTAACTATTTGGCGTAGTGTTTGATTCATTTTGACATAATAATTGATGATTTTTTTAGTTAGGACCAAAAAGAAGAGACTAATCCAAATGTAAATGTCGGACACTTGTACAATTGGACATTGGTACTTACGTGTAGTCTTTTAAGTGATGTGATGGTTCCATAAAATTCCACAGTTTCTCTACACTCCACTTTTCTTTCTTTTTCTTTTTTTTTTTTTGAAAAACACTCCACTTTTTTTTTATGTATACAATTAAAAGTACCTCACTTATTTGAATAGAATAATAACATTTTCGTGTTTTTCTCAGTGTGTGAGTGTGTGAGTGAGAGAGAGAGAGAAAGAGGAAGACTGACTGTTTTCTTTAGCAAATACATCCCATATGGAATCTCCCCTTCCATCTTTGTCTGGAGCACCTTCAATCTGGGGGGGGAAAAAAAAGTCAACGAAGTCCATCAAGTAAATTTGCATGGCTCCATGAATATAGAAGAAATCAGCAATGCTGTAATGACTAATGAATGTAGTTCATACAGATGAAGTTAACAAACAAACAAATAGAATAATATCATACAAGGACTAACAAACAAACAAACAGAGAAATCTTCATTGCGAAAATGAACCTGGAAAGCAGCTGTAGCAGAACCAAAGACAAAATCTTTGCCGAAATCGGAGCGCCGGATGAAGGCTGCCGGACCTCCGGCTAGGAAGTTAGCGGCTAACGCGTCCATGTCCATGATGAGGATGATGATGATGATGATTAGATAGGAATAGGAAACCGGCCCTTAATAATTTTATTACAAATTATTCAACTTTTGGGTTCAGTATTTTGCAACTCGCAGAAAATTTTAGTATTTTGCTTAAAAAGATGAAGAGAGTGATCGAAAGAAAGAAAAGGGGTGGTGGTGGGCAAACTCGAAAGTGGTGGCGAGCCTATTTATAAAGCATATATGCAAATAAACATAGGGAGGGGTGAACTGGGAGCTAGCGCAATCATTCACGAAATTTCACAAACAAATTAAACGTGCAAAAAAAAAAAAAAAAAAACTCCTTCTCACACCTAGCTACGAGATAAAATAAAATAAAATAAAAAAACTCAACGTGCAAAGTTCGCGCGTATGATGTGGCACAGATTAATTTTATTATTGATTTAGGCAACATTGACTTGGGTGTTTGTATTTGTGAATGGCCTGATGGGGGTCCAGGTCCAGTTCTATCAACCAGATACTTGTCACCTAGTTAATGCTTGCAGAGTATATCTTATACTAAAATAATAGTATTATTATAAATGAAGATAAGCAGATTTGCACATTGTTTTGTTCAAGACTTTTGGCCGCTAGAAACTAGAAACTAATAAAAATGAAAATGAATGATGAGGTAGTTCATGGTCAATCTGAACGCGGAATCTGGCACCCATGTGATTTAGTCTTTGTTCACATAGAGGACTTTGGTCAATGAATGGTGTGCGCTCCCTTAATTAGGGAGTTGGTGGGGGATTGGCCTCAAACAGGAAATTTTAATGAACCATAATTAAGACTTGGGCTGGATCTGTGCTTTCTGGGTGAAAGTGGTAGTCACAAAAACTTGGCTGGATCTGGGGGGATCAGCCCAACCCCGACTGCACATGTCATGCCTTTATTATGGCGTTTAATTTATTTTAAAGGGGTAGTCTTCCATAGGATCATAATCTTATGAGTTTGAAGAGATGGGGTAAACATTATTGCAGTTTTACTTGTATCATATACTTACATGCAAATGAGAAATATTGACGGCATGAAAAGGTCTATCAAGAATCTAATGTTACAGTTGCTTGTATATATAGCTTTCTTAGCATCAACTGCGGTGAGCCACCAGTAGATATGATACCATGGTTGAAATCTCTCTTTTGAAAACTCGACAGGACACCAAACCGACAATTTAGCTAGTTCGACTGGTTTGAATCGGCATTTGAAACTAGTGAAAACCGGTTATAAAAAATATTAAGAAATTCATCTTTTTTTTCTTCAAAATTTCAAAAATTCGATTCAACCGATATCGATTTCCAGTCGAACAGTAATTTTGCCCAAATTTGATTGAGTTTGATTGATTTTTAGTTAATCAGTTATTTGTTGGAACCGATACAGGCTTTCAATTCCCTATCAAACTGATTCCACCTCGGCCCGGTCTGACTTTCAAAACATAGGTTGAAAAACGTATTGGCTTATGTTTATTTATTTGTACCTAAAACCAATTATTGAGGGCATGAAGTAAGGGTAAAACTTGGGATAGTGTGAAATTCCACATTAGAAATTAATCTATGTTTTGAAAATCGGACCAGAAGGTGAACTGGCAACTTAACTCGTTCATTGATTCACAGGTTTAACCGGTTTGAATCTGTTTTAAAAATCGGTAAAAACCGACTGTAAAGAATATTTTAAAAAAAAATTTCTTTTAAAAATTCCAAAAGATCGGTCCAATTGGTACAGTTCCCAGTCGAACAGCGATTTCGTCTGAGTTTGACCGAGTTTAACCGATTTTTTAGTGTGCCAGTTATTAACCGAAATCGAACCGAAAAGACATCCAATTCCCTGTTGAACCAGTTCGACCGCCCGATCCGAACAAGTTTTCAAAACATAGAAATTAATAACAACAACCTATGGGTCACAAGATTGTTTGTAACGTTTTGCGTGTGTAATGACTGTTGCTATACAATTTAATTGGTACGTATACCATATATGCAAATATTTTTATTTGTTTCTATATATATTATATATATATAACACTCTATCTTTCCTTTAATAAAATAGTCTACATTGAATTTAAAATTTGCATCGTTTTTAATAAAAAAAATTTCAAAATTCAATGTAAACTATTAATTTTGAAGAAAGGTAGTAACAATGGAAAAGTTAATTTGAAGTCTATAATTAATTTGTTGCAACTGAGAAGCAAGCAACTTCGTACATAATTTATCAACATATATTATAATTAGGGAATGTGGAATTGGACTTGGTACTTCTCTCACATGATTCTCACATGCTTTTTTTTTATTATTGTTTATTTTAATTTTTAGTTTCTTTTTCTCTTTAAGCCAAACTCGTTTTTATCCCGTTATATGTATTGTGATCTTTAATTGAGATTGCTAAAATTTTCATTTCTTTTCATTTTATGTTATTTACTATAGAACGTTTCATTTCTTTTTATCTTTCCTTCATTTTATGTTCTTTTTATGGATATTGTATTTTTAATCTTCTTTAGTCTTTTGATCTTAACTACATGTGTTATGATTTTATCTCGTTTTATTTTATGTTATAGTTCCTTCATTTATTTGGAGTCTTTTCATCTACTATTTTAGCAACTATTACAATATATTCTACTAAAACTATTTAAGGATCATATTTTTTTTGGAGTCTTTCATTTTTCTCTTCTCCTCTTCTTACTTATCTCTTATCCAACTTTTGTCTCCTTTTTTCTAATTTTGCAAGTTCACTTTGATTTATTTTTCTGACAACCCAATTGGAACCTTAATATTAATTTGAATGCAATTTTTGGCTAATCACATAACATGAAGATGAGTTGCAAGAATAAAAAATAACGATGGTTCTAACATAGTATTTTAGAAACATGAATGTATTCTCAATTTCAGTAAAGTTTTAAGTCTTTTATAATTTACAATTTGTAAGTAATAGTTTCTGATGTATTTTATTGACGTTTTAGCTAAATTCTTTGAACAATAATTCATCTTTGCATACATATTTTCTTTTAAACCCGTATGTGCTTCGTGCGTTTGATTCATCTAGTTGTATGTAACTAAATTAAGCAATTCTTGGGCTACAACTTCTTTTTTTTTTTTTTGGAAAGGAAAATCATAACATTAATAACAAATTCAAGAGTTATTTCATAATGTTTCAAAATAGGCCAAACAGACTTCATCTATTCTATCTCTATCTAATTTAACTATTGATTTATATTGTAGAAACTGAATTATTATCTCTCCTATTATAACTTTGCCTCCGTTGGATCGAAGAGTTTGACCTTCTAGTGAACTACAATCAGTTGCCTCAGAGCACGTCTTCCGCCGCAATACCAAGAAAATAAAACTATATTAATTATCATAACCAAAATAAAAAATAAAAAATCAAAACAATCTTGATCAGTAATTTGCATCCTCCTTATATATGTACACCAATACACTCGATTTCATTTTACTTCAATTTCAGTCGAAATAAAAAAGTTGGCTATACAATAAAATTATTTTCCATCTATTATTAACATGAGTACTCCTCCTGGTCATAACTTCTTCGCCGGAGCTCCGGCATCCTTCATCCGGCGTTCGGATTTTGGCAAAGATTTCGTTTTTGGTTCTGCAACTGCTGCCTTCCAGGTTTTTTTTTTTTTCCCCTTCACTTCATCATTTACTGATTTATTCTACATTGGAACGCCATGCATGCATGCAACCGTAATGTTTGCGGCTTATATATATGTGACATTTTCAGATTGAAGGTTATCCGGAAAAGGGCGGGAGAGGATTATCCATTTGGGATACCTTTGCTAAAGAGAAAAGTATCCCTTTTACCTATCACTTCCATGAACAGAGATCAATCAATATCATTTTTTGTTTTTCCTTTTTATTTTTGTTCATGTTAGCTCCCGGTCTACAACTCATGAGTAATTAACGCGCATTGTGAATGGCAGATTATTTTCACCCGTATCATGAAAATGCTGTCAAACATTACGACAATTTTGAGGTACAGTGGTTTATAGATTTTTATTTCTTAACCCTAGGAAGAGTACTTACTAAGTATACGGTACTTCTTCTGCTTTAAAATAATTATCTCTAGATTGAAATTTTATTTTTAGTACCATTTGAATTAGAAATGAAAATTTAAATTTAGATAAATATTTTGGGACTGAGTGAATAATTAATTGTGTTGAATTCTTCTAACACTACCGGCCTAATTAAATTGGCAGGAAGATGTGCGACTGATGCAGGATATCGGCTTCGATGCTTACCGTTTCTCCATCTCATGGCCAAAAAATTTGTCCAAGTAATTAAACTTGCAATATGATCTTTATACTTCTTTTTTTCCGGATTTGGTTTCCCTAATAGGAACGTTATTTTTTGGTATCGAGCTTTTCAGCTGGGAAAAAGGAATCTCGAAACCAAGAAGGGATTGACTTTTATAAGAAACTTTTGAAAAAGCTGAGAGACAACGGTAATCAATACAAAAACTTTTTAATCAGCTATATTAATTATAACAAATAGATATTTAGATACAAATACTTTTTAATCACCCGTATAACAAATCGTAATTACATAATATGCATGTGTTATGATAGGCATCGAACCTTTCGTGACACTCTTTCACTGGGATCTTCCTAAAGCTTTGCAAGACGAGTAACATGGGTTTTTTGATCGTCGTGTGGCGTGAGCAATTTCTTTTCTTTCCGATATTTTCTTTATGCTACGTAATTTACCTAAACAAACATAATCTCTACAGAGGACTCACTTTAGATCGTCGTTCTTTTGTGGCGTAAAATAGGGAAATTTTATAGCCTAAAATGAGTAATATTATGTGCTCTCCTTCAGGGATGATTTTGCAGACTACGCTGATATTTGCTTCAAAGAGTTTGGTGAATATGTTGAACACTGGATCACACTGAACGAGCCATTCACTTATTCCTATTCCGCTCATGTGGCTGATGTCCACGCGCATCTTCCTGAAGGGAGATTATCCAGAGAGCATGAGGAAATACGTGAAGAAAGAGCATCTTCCTGAAATGGGTGCTGATAAACAAATAATTCAAGGGACCTGTGATTTCATTGGTATGAATTATTACACAGGTCGGTATGTGGGTCATTTTGAATACGAGAAGACCCAGGGCAGAAATTATGTCACCGATCAATGCCTCAAGTATTATGGTTAATCCAAGTCATTTCAGAGAATTAGATTCTTATTTCTTGAATTAAAATAGTACTGACTCTTGTTCTTAATATAAGACATTTTTATCCTAAGTTTCACCTAGTACGCCTTTTTAATTGACGAAAAAATCTTAAAAATATATTTTCACATCGTTGTATTCTCTTGAATGTTACGAAATATATTTAAGATTTTTTCGACAATTAAAAATGCATACTAATTTAAACCTAAGACAAATTAAAATGCCTTATATTAAGGACCGGAGGGAATATTCTACAAAATGGTTTAATATGCATTTTACATTGGTATATGTACTTTCGCAGAGAGCCGCGTGATGGAAGATGGAGAAGAGATTCCTATTGGTCGCGATCGGGTGAGTAAGCTCCAAATTAAAATTTTATGCCTTTGTCAAATTTAATTGTTTCCTAAGCAAAATATACACCAAAAATTAAGATTTATTATTTACATATTTATCACACTGATGGTAATACAAATTACGTTGCTGCTCATTTCCTTTTGTATAGGGTGGTTCTGCTTGGCTCACTGCATATCCCAAAGGCATGGAGCATCTTTTGCTTCATCTGAAACAGAATAACAATAATCCTCTCATCTATATCACTGAAAATGGTAAATCATTTGATCAAGTAATCACAATTTTTTCTATTTCTTTTTGTTCACAGATTCTTGTCATGCTAGAGGGGCAAAAAAAAAAATCACAAAATGTATCAACTCAAAAATAAAAAGTTCAAGAAACAAATGCTGAACGTACGTATAATTCGTGTTGTAGGCATTGATGATCATGATGATAACTGTGGAAGACTTTGGAGCTCATATGTCGATCACAAGAGGATCTCATACATTCATGATCACCTTTCATATCTTTTGGAAGCAAAACGGTACTCTAACAAAAACAAGAATCTCGTTTTAGTTCAACAAATATGACTGTAAGAAGTATTTCTAAATATATGCCGCCTTTTGACTTTAAGATACGCACTAAGGGGGATTTTTATTTTTATTTTTTTTTAATGTAATTGTTTTTGCATTAATCGCAGCCAAGGGGTGAATGTGAAAGGATATTTTGCATGGTCATTGTTGGACAATTTTGAGTGGAATAATGGGTTTCATGTTCGATTTGGGCTGATTTACGTCGATTACAAGAATGAATCAAGAAGACATCCCAAACTCTCGGCTACATGGCTCAAAAATTTTCTTGCATCCAAGTGATTAGACAATTTTTTGTTTTTGGTATAATAAAGGAAGCAAATGTCTTAATACGTAATCTTTATAGACCGCGGATATAAGACAACTTTGAGCTGCTTTAGGTGTAACAACGGCAACTCAATCAAATTAGTCTTGTTTTTGTTCTAAGCTACGATTTTGGGATGACTTAGAGAAGACTATTTTCCTGATCTTCTTACAATAATTCTCAGTCGACTTTTTTTTTTTTTTTTGATGCTTTCTACACTTGTCTAATATTTTGTATGTTCTGAATTATATACCGTTATGTCTTTCTGTAAAAATCTTCTGTATCGAATTTTTCCTAATATCAGAACATGATTTTAATTTTAGGAATTAGGATATAAAGGATGTTTTGTATCTATCGTTCGGGAACATTTTCTAACTTTGCTACGACTGATTTTTTTTTTTAAATTAGTTTTCTTTCGAATCTGAAATATTATAATTTATACTGATCTTTTTAAAAAAATAAAATAATTTATACTGGTCTTAAGCTTTTGAAGTTTTTCATCGCATGATCGTGAATGTGAATAAATAGTTAAACTGGTTAAAATAATTTATACTGATCTTAAGCTTTTGAACATTTTCATCGCATGATCTTAAGCTTTTGAAGTTTTCCATCCATTTCTTAAATATTTTATTCTTAAAAAAATAAAAAATAAAAAAATAAAAAAAATCGAAGTCAATCCTCAGAGACGTTGCGTTAGCGGAAAGGGGCCAAGCCCACTATAAAGTTCAGAAGAAAAGCCCATTTTACTAATTGACTTAAACCGCAGTTGTCTCTGTCCTGAAAACTTTGCCGCAGTTGCTTCTGGATTGAAAACAATTTATCCCTGAGAAGAAAGGGATGATGAATTTCTATATATCAGGTATTTTCAGACTCATTTTAGAACGTTCCTTGAGATCATTTACACTCAAAAGTTGGTTTCCAAGGAGGAGTTTAGCATAAACGTGCTTGTAGTTACTTGTGTTATATGGTCGTAAAATCGATTATAATTCCTTAATTTCTTTCTTTTAGTTTGCATTTTACGCTAGATGCGATGTGGGTTCAATCCCAGTGGTAAAATGAATTTATATCCCAGTAACCTTTTCTCTTTCGTCTTTAATTTTTGGAGAAGTGATAAAGTTGGTATCTTTGTTCATATAATCTATTGAAGATTCTGGTTTAGTACAGTGATGAAAGAAGTAATTTTGGTTATGAGATAGGAGGAATGATGATGAACTCAATAGATGACGGCTCATTCTAGTTTTAATTTAAGTGATATTCATGCAGTCATCTTGCTTTAAGTGTGTATAATTGAAGCATTTTTTTTTTTTAAACCTTGAGTTATCTTAGAGATGTGAAATTTGAAGGTCTGATTATGTTGGTAATCCAATTGAAACAAGTTAATCATACGAAATAGTTATTTCCTTTGGTTAGAACTCTAGATATATAGAGAGTGCAGATAGCTACAGAAAACATTGATGTAAATGAGAGAGGAACTCTTTTTGATATTATTTCTCTGAATGAGAACTTCTTATGTTTGCTCTGTTCTAGTTGGGGAGTTCCCCTGCATATCATCCTTATTTTTATATCTTCAGCTTGTTTGGCTAATCTCGGACAGGCTTTGAAACTGCGGAGCCAAGGAAGTAATCTCCTGATTCAGAAATAAACTGTTCGAGGATGTTTAAGGCAGTAAGAGAGTACGTGTTATACCTATATTAGTACCATGTCCGTGATAAAGCTCTTTGATGCTCATTGTCACTTGCAAGATCCAAGGATCTTTAATGTGGCCCCTAATATTATAAGGACAGCCGTTGATAGGGGTGTCGTTCACTTTGCTGTTAATGGAGTAACTGAGGATGATTGGCATGTTGTGAAGGAGATGAGTGATAGGTATCCTTCAGTAGTTCCAAATTTTGGAATCCATCCATGGTTTGTTGCTGAGAGAACCCCTAATTGGTTGAGAAATTTGAAGGAATTCTTTGATGCTACTCCTGAAGCTTCAGTCGGCGAGATTGGTTTAGACAAAGGTTCTCGCGGAAGGCAAATTGACTTTAGTGATCAAGTAGAAGTTTTTCGCCAACAACTGCAGCTTGCTAAAGAGTTAAAAAGGCCTGCTTCCATCCACTGTGTTCGAGCTTTTGGTGATTTATTTGATATACTGAAATCTGAAGGACCATTCCCTGCGGGTGTCCTTTTGCATTCCTACTTAGGCTCTGCTGAATTGGTTCCTGAATTTGCTAAGCTGGGTGCTTACTTCTCCTTTTCTGGTTTTCTTATGTCCATGAAAGAAAGCAAGGCAAAGAAAATGTTGAAGTCTGTGCCTCTTGATAGGATCTTATTGGAAACAGATGCACCTGATGCTCTTCCAAGAGCTTTTACCGACGATCAGCTTCTATCAATTGAAGCTGGAGATAATCCCGGTGATGAGAACTCTGGTCCAGGAGAAGTTTCAACTTCCAAGGGTGGCAACTCATCTGACAGTCAGTCCTTGGAAACAAGTCATAAATCAGAAGTGCAGCAAGAAATCCTTAACCATCCTGCAAACATCCACCATGTGCTGGCTTATGTTGCATCTTTGCTTGAGATGACTAAAGAAGAACTTGCTGAAAGCAGTTACCAAAATGCAGTACGGATTTTTTCTTATCATGGTTCCAAGAGATATGGTTAAAATTTTGCCTAGATATTATACTGGTTAGTACAAAAGGTTGGAATGTCCAAATGTCTGCTACTTCCGTAGTAATGCAATTTGCAGCAGTAATCGGCATCTACCGGTTGAGAAGCCTGTTAGATCTTTGATGATAGTTTTTACCTTTTTTTTTTTCTCTCTGGGAGGAGAAAATCGTTACATTGGAAGAGTCACAATATTTGGAGACCATTGGCCCACTGTTTATTGTTAGTGAAATGTTGTCTATATCTTTTGTAAACTTTCTTTCGTTGTATTTAGAGGCACTTAAGGTTATTCTTGTGTATCACATTGCAAAATAGATTGCAAATTACTATGCGGAAACCAATAACGATAGTTCATTACTATAGTTATCAACAAAAACTAAAATTCATCTCACTATATGGATAAACGTAATACATATGTAAATCGAATAGACGGATGTAGAGACTATACATTAAAGTTGCAGTAAAACTGCCAGAATAAGGTAAAGAGACCCCTAATTGGAAGTTTGCCTGTGTTGTTCCTGGTGCCATTGAGTTTTGGATCTTCGAGAACCGATCACTCATACTTTTTTGCGGATCTAAATATTGCATCCACTTGTCCACTGTATGGAGCGGCATGGTAGGCATACTGCTGGAGAATGGAGAAGAAAACCATCTCCACACAAATCAACAAATTCTGGATAGCTTCCTGAATATGCTCTACGTCCAACCAGAAATGTTCTGAGCGAATGATACCTGCTTTTACTAGAATACTGAGCACAATCCCCTGCATGTGATAAAAATGGATAAGTTGAGCATTACAGAGCGACCACAAGAAGCACAAATGAATAAGATGAAAAAGTGATGCGAAACTAAAGAAGCTCAAAGTATGGTTTCTGTTCATTCATGCTGCCAGAAGCCTTCAGTACTTGTGTGTATTTTCGTACTTCTTTGAATTATATACATCAGTATGCATGTTTAGAATTATGAGCTGATTTATGAGGCAGGTGTTGTTTATGCCCAAAAGTAGGGAACCTGCGTGACTTCAGGAGTTCAGGGTTTCAATTAGGGCCCGTGAACTACTTTGAGTGTGATCATTAAGCTTTAAAATATCTAGGTTAAGAAAGCTTTATTGGGATTTGACCAATAGATAATTTTATAGACTGAGATCCAATCACTACTTTGCTGCGAGCTACTGATTCAATCTTGGCATTTAAGCTATCTGTGTCATCTCATAGCATGCCAAGGTGAACTTAAATTTAGGGTGAGATAAAATTTACTTGGGTACAAATGCTCCAGATAACAAACTGAATTTTGAACCTACTTTCATCAATTTATGTATCATATTTGTACTGGTTAGGCTTCTTCAGGTTGAAGTCAGGAATAGAAACAGGAAAAACTAATTTGAGCTGATGAACACAGCAAAACATAATGATCTTCTGTATTCATTTTATTACAACACTACTTAATAGAAGAGCAAGGGTATGTACCTGCCAGAAGCTGAAGAAAACGATCCCTTTGATACAAATGAACTTGGAAAGTGGCTTGTGAGGTTCCAATTCTTTAGCAAATATATGGTAGAAAGCAAGCAATGCATACATTGCGACATAAAAGGAGATGTTTAGAATTATGGAGAATGTCCAGCTGACCCAACTGGGATACATTCCCACCAGTTGTAATGTTATCATCAAGAGGGAGCATACAGGGCGAATGATGACAAACTGCCATGTCCAGTACTTGAGAAGCTTCAACGTGTGATGGTTCAAATGAGTCTTGTGAGGCTGCAATTGATGCAGTATCAATGAAATAAAAATTGTAATTAATCAGCAACAGTTCTTGGAAGAAAGTGAAAAACAAATGCAAAGTACAGGATGTTCAAAGAGCTCATTAGATCATCAAATGAAGAACTTCAACCAAAAAGACAAAAGAAAGACCACTCTATGTAATTTTGATTTCTGCAGAGCCATTGTAACCCTATCATCCAAAACACTTAAGGACAATAAAATATAAATTGCTCCAATTCTTTCAACTTTCTACCAAGTTCAGTGGAGTACGCAGCAAAATAAGTAGCAACTGATTGAAAGGGAACCATGGACTAAATTGCCAACTTCCAATACATGTTTACCAATTTATCAGCTACTGATTTACTACAATACAAGTACCAAAGTACGCTAAGTCTATAACCATAAAACACCCAAACTTCTCAAATTTCGTACTTTCAGTCAGCATAACAAAACCAAATTGGAACTCCAATTAACACAAAGAAGGCAATAGAACGCACCTGAAAAAGGGTCATAGGAAAAGAATGGTGGATTTCTCTCCCTTTAATCTCATCTGGCACTCTATTCTGGCTAATGGATATGTTCAGATAACTGTACATCAAAGCCATAAACTTTGCAATGGCCTATAACACCACCACATAAGGCATAGCAAAACGAAAGCATTAGTTTAGCATTAACTTCCAAAAAACAAAACAAAAAAAAAAGCATAAAGGGGAAAACAGAATATACAGACTTACTAAGGCCTCATAGCACTCCTTAATAGAATCCAAAAACATGAAGAATGCCTTGCTTCCTTGAAAATCCAAAAGACCCACAAAAGAATCGATGGCATAAATAGGAGCCATGAGTATGATAAAGAGTATAGCTTTTTGCTCTTTGGGATTTTTCCAGTAAAATAGATGCTGCGATACGAGCTGTACCGTGTAATGAATACTCAACAAAGTACAGAACCCAGATGCTAGAGTTGTTATCTGGCCTCGATCCATCTTAGTTACAATGCTTAAATCCATTATTGGAAAAAGGCTTGAAACCTTGAACCCAGAAGCTAAAACTGAAGGGTTTGTACAGAATTCACTGAGCTCAATCAGAGTCAACCTGCATAATAATGCACAAGAAAAACCAATCAAAATCTCAGCTTTATGACAGATCAATTCAGAATGAAGATAACTGGAAAGTTTAAGAGCTTAGAATTCAAAAACTTACTGGGCGAGTGGAAGGTGAAGATCAACGGGCGGAGCAGAATTGAGTCTTTCTTCAATTGGTTGCGGGAAAAGTCGTAAGATACTCCTCTAAAAGTCTTTTGCTGTTCTTGTTCCAAAAAGAAAGTCTTTTGCTGTCAGGAAAAACGGAAAAAAATAAAAATAAAAAATAAAAAAATCTTACCTTTGATGGTTCAAATGTTCAATTAATGACCGACTTACTAGTTACTACTACTATTTGACTGTGAACAAAAGAAAAAAAAAAAACCTTCCAACCATCTACTATTTGAGTTAATTTGTTCTCTCTCTCTCAAGAAAATAAATAAAAAATAACAATAATAATAAATAAGTAAAAATAAAAATTAAACCTATGCATAATTGAAATGGCTTCAGTTACTGACTTACTAGAGATTTTCCCCCACTTTTTGTTTTTACCCGAGCAGAGTCTTCAGTCTTCACTTTTTTTGGTGTATTGCAACATGTGTCTGAAACCCTGACTAATCCAAATTTGAAATCTCTCGCTAATCGTATAGTCAAATTCTCATTCATCACTATGTCTTCGTTTCGAAATTATTGTTCAGTTTGAATTTTCATTTTTAGTACAAATGGAGCTAGAAAGGAAAATCCAAACCAGACTTATTGGTGTTTAGAAGGTACCCGGCAATATGCATGGGTCTTGGGGCGTCTAGATAACATAATTTGGACAAATATCATATCTTTCAGGAATTATATTGCTAGTTTTTTTTTTTCTTCTTGTCTCGAGATGATTTATGTTTCCACGTTTATGGGGATTTCAATGAATATGGTCTTCTTGGAGGACAGCTATGGTAGTATAGTTTGTAAGTTAGCGGTTATATTTCTCTCTGGATCCAACAAGCTACCAACCAAAACAGAAGCCAGAGTTTCTAAGGGAGAGAATGACTGCAAACATGAATCATCAACTTTGACATGACCTAATCAGTAATCGAGAAGTTCACACCACTATATTAAGCCCAATGGCACTGACAAAAATGTAGTCTTCTTGAAAACATTATTCAGGAGGGAGGAACATTGAGAATTGAGGGATGTGGATAAATTAAGGATTTTAGTATTCACCGTTTTCAGACAAACAAACCGTGCAAAACAAGGCCATTGATGTTTATGCTGTTTGGCATATTTTTACGGTTTTGGGATGCTGATGGTTTGTCCTTTGTTCAAACTATACTATTAGTAGTTGATACCAGGTAAACCTAAAGTACTTGTGGAAAGAATGAGTATGAGATCCATAATTGGGATCTTGTTAGTCTTATTTTTTGGAGGGTACTTCTGTGGAACCGTGGTGTCAACAACGGTGACGTATGATCGTAAGGCACTCGTTATTGATGGAAGGAGGAGGATTTTGCAGTCAGGATCCTTGCATTATCCACGAGCTACACCTGAGGTGAGCGAAAGCTTGTAACTTCGAAGTGGATATCACGCCACACGAATGATTGTGTTTTTACTGGATTATGTGCGATAATGCTAGTGTTTTGGTGAATGTAGATGTGGCCTAACCTTATCAGAAAAGTGAAGGCAGGAGGGCTGGATGTGATCGAGAGTTATGTTTTCTGGAATTACCATGAGCCTGTCAGAGGCCAGGTATATTAATAAAACAATGTGTTTTATGCAGTCTCATTGTTTTAATATTCCTCAGTATTGCACTTTTGAGTTTTCTTGGATTGATTCACTGATTCCATGTCCATGCTTTTTGCAGTATTACTTTGAAGGCAGATTTGATCTTGTAAAGTTTGTGAAGACAGTTCAGGAGGCTGGCCTATTTGTCCATTTAAGGATCGGCCCGTATGCCTGTGCCGAATGGAACTACGGGTTTGATTGCTTTACAGATTTTTTTTCTAATACTATTTCATTTTCCTTGCTTCTGAATGTTCATCTGATATCTATGTCATGAGTGCTGTTTTTCATTTCTCTTTGCTCATGTATAGGGGATTCCCTATGTGGCTACATTTTATTCCTGGAATTCAATTTCGGACCTCAAACAATCTCTTCAAGGTACCTTTCTTGATAGATGGCGACAAACAGAAATGTCAAGAACTTAATTTGAGCCAGTTTATTTTTGCTCATTGCTGTCTGCAATACAGAATGAGATGAAGCGTTTCTTGGAGAAAATTGTCAACTTGATGAAGGATGAGAAGCTTTTTGCATCTCAAGGTGGTCCAATAATACTTGCTCAGGTGATCATCCTTTGTGAAAGCAATGTTCTATAAATGGTTCTTCTCCTTTTTATTCACTTTGGTGTTTACAGGTGGAGAATGAATATGGCAATGTTGAGGGAGCTTATGGAGTTGGTGGAGAGAAGTATGTCAAATGGGCTGCTAAAACTGCTGTTAGTCTTAATACCACAGTCCCATGGGTGATGTGTTCGCAGTCTGACGCCCCTGATCCAATTGTACGTCATTCTAATCCGACATGATTATTTAATATCCTTTGGTTAATGCTAATTATCCCTCCTAACGACTAATTTGTTCATTCTTAATACCAAAAGCTACATGATATCCATCATTTTTTTAAAAAAAACTCGAATTCTGGACTGCGAAACAACGCTTCATCTCATTGATCATTGTTGAAACTCTAAACATGCAGATAAACACATGTAATGGTTTCTACTGTGATGGATTCACCCCGAATTCCAAATCCAAGCCTCCAATGTGGACTGAAAATTACTCTGGATGGTATGGTTTAAGTCTTTAAGACTCTGTCATGTGATGCTAAGGCCTGGGGGCAGTTATAGTCCTTTGTAACTTGTCTCCCTTGCATTGCACTTGAAAACCTCGTCTTGTATACAGGTTTCTTTCATTTGGTTATCCCATTCCTTACCGACCGGTTGAGGATCTTGCTTTTGCTGTGGCACGCTTTTTCGAACAAGGTGGCACTTTCCAGAACTATTATATGGTTAGTTCTGACCACATTTGTTCAGTTTACAGCCTTACTATAATCTTAGAGATGCTGAATTGGATATTGATAAGATTTCATGTTAATAAATGTCGTATAGTATTTTGGTGGCACCAACTTTGGGCGAACTGCAGGTGGTCCTTTAATTGCTACAAGCTACGACTATGATGCTCCACTGGATGAATATGGTAAGGTTTTGCATACCAACTTGTTTTACATTTTCTTTCTTTGCTGAATGATATCAACACCATGCGTGTTGGAATTCAGCTGGTTTGCTTGTAAGATTATGGACTGAGTCATTGATGCAGGTTTTCTTCGCCAACCAAAATGGGGACACCTCCGTGATTTGCACATTGCAATTAAGCTTTGTGAAGACTACTTGGTTGAAGCAGATCCAATTAGAGTGTCACTTGGTGTGAACCTTGAGGTCTGCAACAATGTGCTATAGACCTTTCCTAGATCACATTAGGCTTCAACTGAATCCTGTTCTCTAACTCTACCAGATGTGCTATATTCTCGTCTCAACTCTTGACACAATTACTTTGTTTAATTAGGCACATGTGTATTACAAAACTTCCAACGATTGTGCAGCCTTTCTTGCTAATGTTGACAGTAAATTAGCTGCAACTGTCACATTCAATGGAAACTCTTACTTTCTTCCTGCTTGGTCTGTCAGCATCCTTCCAGACTGCAGAACTGTAGTTTTCAACACGGCAAAGGTAACTTTTTGAAATATGTTTCCATCTTTGCCAGCGATCATAGAATAATACAATTTTTCTCCATTTTGCTAAATGAATTGCTTTAAGTCAATGGTGATCTTAAATATTAAACATCATCTGCTGTAATTTATGATGGAAAAGGTCACTTCCCAAAAGACCCTTGAAGTATGTGATGCTTCACCTGCAATGGATACTGTCATGGTAAGGCAGTCTTATTTGGATTCATCAGAATGGAGTTGGTACGAAGAGAAAATAGGGGTTTGCGGCAACAAATCATTTGTGGAATCAGGTTTACTAGAACAAATAAATACAACCAAAGACACGAGCGATTTCCTCTGGTACACCACAAGGTAACCAACAGTCTCAGATGTTTACTGTTTATTGTTGATCATGAGAAGGTTTCAGATACACGATGTAGGAATATTTCAATAACCTTCTACGATTCAGTATCAATATAAATGACGACATGGAGATACATAAACCAATAGAGGCAAGCTTGAAGATTTCAAGCTTGGGGCATGCAGCTATGGTTTTCGTGAACAAGAAGCCAGTAGGTAAGCTCTGGTCTAATGCTTCAGTTAGTTACCTCAATGTGTTTTTCTGTGAAGATCTAAGCAGATAGCCAAAATCTACATATGCATATCTACTTGTTGAGGATTCTAGTTTGGAGTGTTTTACTTGTAGGATTTGGTTATGGCATTCATGATGGTGCCAGCTTTGCGCTGAACAAGAAAATTAGTCTCAACCCTGGAACTAATGCATTGGACATCTTAAGCATGATGATTGGCTTACAGGTATATTTTTACAGGATACTGCTAAGGATATAAAACTGATTTCTTAAGTAGTCTGTTATTAGTAGTTAAGGAATGTTCTAAGGCTAAAGGAAAAATCTACAGAACTATGGACCATGGTTCGATATTCAAGGTGCAGGAATTGATTCAGTCAATGTTACTGGTTTGAAGAAACATACAGAACATCTTTCTTCAGCAAAATGGACATATCAGGTTCTCAGCTGTTGTTCTGATGGATTATCTGTTACTAAAGTTACTTTTTGGATGCATTTATTTCTATTGAATTTGGCTCCTTCACGAATATAAGCTAATTTTTAGGTGGGAACGGAAGGCGAATATCTTGGACTCCAAGAGCCTGATCTCGCTAATAGCTCCCTATGGTACAAAGGAAATGCAGTACCAGTCAATCATAGCCTGATATGGTACAAGGTGTGTCGAACAGATATTTCAAAGAAAATCTGATTCTTGGCTTTTTTTGAACTAAGAAATGTAATCAATTAGAAATGTCAGCTTTACATTTGAGGAGGGAATCTATGCTCAACAGTATGCTTAGTTTGATTCAATTTCTTGCAGACAATATTTGTAGCTCCCGAGGGAAGTGGTCCGTTATCTTTGAACCTCGCTACCATGGGAAAGGGTCAAGCCTGGGTGAATGGACAGAGTATAGGAAGATACTGGCCTGCCTATATCTCTCCAACAACAGGTTGCACTGACAATTGTGACTACAGAGGAAGCTACAATGCCTGGAAGTGTCTGAAGAAATGCGGACAGCCTGCTCAAACATTGTAAGTAACAAAAATAAAAACTATCCAAGGGATTTGATTAATATTTATGTCTCACATATGACAACTACTCAGACTTTTGATTATTTGTGGATTGGTAAATGAAATGGCTGATCCTGGAAAAACTAATCATGGTAAGGTACCATATACCTCGCACTTGGTTAAATGCTGGTAAGAATCTGTTAGTGCTGCATGAAGAGCTGGGTGGAGACCCGTCAAAGATCTCCATAATCACAAGAGCTGGGCAAGAGATCTGCACAACTCTGTCAGAGGATGATCTTCCGCCAGCTGATACATGGGAACCAGAAATAGGGTTCACATCCGAGGTTCCTCATGCTCGGCTGACCTGTGATGAAGGTTGGCACATAGCTTCAATTTCCTTCGCCATCTTTGGAGATTTTAAAGGTGAATGTGGAGCATTCACTCCAGGGAGCTGCTATTTCAATGTTGCATCAAAATTCGAAAAGGTTACAAATCTGAATTTTCTATCTGCACTTTCCCTACTCTCTTGAACTTACATACATGTGACATGCTTGAATGTTACACTGCAGGCTTGTGTGGGAAAACAGGGATGTTCAGTTCCTATTTCTACTACTAACCTTGGTGACCCATGTCCCGGTATGCTGAAAAGTTTAGCAGTTCAAGCTCTTTGTAACAGTTGATTTGCCCTTTCCTACAAGAAAAAGCAGCATGCTTGATGTGTTTTATGTGCGAGAACATGTAATGCATGTAATGCTGTGTCAGTTCTTTCATCTTCAGTCTCACATGATTGAACGAAGCATTGCAAGATTTTTTTGGGTTTTACCTCAGAGAGAAACTAGATTCACTTCCAAGATATAGTGCTCAATTATCTGCGAGGAAGCTCATTACATAATGTCGAAAGTAAACATCAATATTCTTCTTTCTCTGACACTTCTTTTTCTGCTATAAAACACCAAGCAGGTTCAGATAAACCTAAATCTGGTGTATTGGTAATTAGCAGAATGAATGCCTGCTGCCCTTACAGAATTATAAGGTTAATATCGCAAATTACAGTTGATGCACTGTAATCAATGTCTTATTTCAGTCTTTTTCAATGCTCCTTTACTATTTAGGTACCAACAAGCCATAAGAACTATGTGAAAATTAGGAAAAATGGTGCCATTTCTTTTTTGAAAATGTAGATTAATGGCCAAGTTGAACCTGTGCATATTCTCTAAATTTACCAAAGTTCGAAAAGCTGAAGGACCTACCAATAAGTAATGCCGAAGGTTCCCACCCACTGTACAAAGAGGAGAACTTTAAAATGTAGATATTGCATCGGAAAGCAACCATCATTATCTTACAAGTCATCAAGAAACAGGATATGTTCACCACTGCCGGTAAAACGGCAAATGATCTACGACAACACAAATCATACAGTAAGGATTATCTTCCCGATATGTTGGCTGCTTTCCATCAGCTTGTGAGCTTCTGCTGCTTCTCCAAGAGGAAGGTATTTATAAACTACAGGTTTCACCTTCCCTGCAGTGATTGCAGGCCAGACTTTCTTCTCCACTTCACTGACAATTTCAGCTTTGTTTTCCTTGGTTCTACTCCTCAATCCAGCAGCTGCACCAACATTAAACATGGATTATATTTGGAAAGCTTTCTAACTATCTACAAGGCATACCACATAAAACAGAGCAGCATTTACAATGGTTTCAGGAACCCAAGAAGCTTCCATAATCGACAATGTATATTACATAAATAAGAGAATGTTAATATGATGATACGAGATGCTGTTGGCATAACATTTGAGGAATATTTCGGGTAAAAGGTTCAGCAATCTTTCATTGTAAACTTAAATTTTTTTTATCAATAGTCATCCTCTGCGTGCCGTATATTCAAATAGAAGAGAAGCGGAGAAAGGATTGATTAAATGCGTGTAAAGGCACTTACCCTGCACTGTGAGCCTTCTAGCAAGTAAAGCTGAAAGATTCACTTGGGTTTGAGTCCCACCCATGAAGCCGATAATGAACAGCCTCCCACCAATGTTTAGGCAGTCTAGATTTCGCTGGAAATATGGCCCTCCAATATTGTCAAGTATAACATCCACCCCTGTTGCATACACGACGCATCAAATCCCACCCAGATAACATCTGACAGAGAGTACATAAGCACCAAGTTGGCGACAATCACGCACTAGGCAAAACAGCAACGATAGTCAGTTATGCAGTCCTTACCTTTACCCCCTGTTTCTGCCTTGACACGTGATACGAAATCCTCCGACTTATAGTTGATACCAACTTCTGCCCCAAGATCCTTGCAAGCAGCCAGTTTTTCCTCACTGCCTAATGAATGCCAACAGTTTCTTAAGTTTAATTTTAGGGTTTGCTTGATAAACATTTTCACGGAAAAAGGTAGATACTTAACCTGCTGTAACAAAAACCCGGGCCCCATAATATTTTGCAATTTGAATAGCAAATGTACCGATTCCACTTGAACCTCCATGAACCTGAGTGAAGCTCACATACATTGCATCAAATTAAAGAAATAGGACTTAAAAGGGATCAAAGCCTAAGTTAGAACATCAAAGATCACAGAAACATATACATGTCTCTCTAACGGTTCATCATCTTACACATTCACTTCCTCTACTATTTCATCTTCTTAATTTAACATTACCTATACAATGATTTAACAATGAGAAAGTTTGAAGTTGAGAACTCGAAAAGAATCATTTCCCATCTCATGATTTACTGCGGCGAAAGCAAAAATGGAAGTATAGAGCCCTAGAAAAAGTATAGGGCCTTCCAACACAACAAAGGTGAACTAGGAAGTAATTGAAGCTAGTTCATCACATACATTTATTCACTCTCCCAAAAAGAAATAAATGATCACTTAAAAACATGTTCAAGAGTTTCATTGCAAGGGTATTGCAAAAGGTAGAACTGTCGTATACCAGGAGAGTTTCCCCAGATGATAAGTGGCTCATCATGAAGATGGTAGACCAAACAGTACAAGCAACCTCAGGAAAACTAGCAGCATCTTGCAAAGAAACACCAGGTGGAACAGGTAGTACTTGTCCTTCAGGCACAGCTACTTTTTCAGCATACCCCCCTCCACCAATAAGAGCACATACCTGCATAACGTCCCTACTGTATCAGTTTATTACTCACTCCAATCTTTTGCAAAAGCAGCAGGTTTCTTCAACTAGGAGGAAAACATCCTCCCTAATGCTACATTCCTGGTATCTTCAATCTCGCCATGTTTAAGCAGCAGAAGGTAGAAAAAAATTCACAATCAAACTCTTTGATTTAAGACCATGAATTGGCCAACTGTCTTTTTTTACATTGCACCTTAGATTATGGCAATCAATCCACACAATTAAACCTCACACTTCTGACCATCTTCCTTACGTAGAGGTCTTAGTTTCAGATTCCTTCATTTCATAAAATGAAAACCACAAAATGACTTTTAACCAGTCTTCTAATCTTTTAGTTTATATCAAGAATGCACCATGTGAGGATTTCAATATTTACCATGAGAATATAGAAACTTCAAACCCAACCAATTAGCATACATACTATCCACAATTCACTAAACTAGGGAACAAATAACCCACCAATTTTTTACTTCCAAGATTACAAATTCTCAACAAAATAAAACCGACCCAGTCAATTATTCATCAATAGAATTCAAGAAATGCTTCAGTAATCAAACTTAAATCAAAATTTTAAAGCATACTCCTAACCTCATCACCAATTTTCCACCTTTTGACGTCTTTCCCCACAGCTTCGACGGTTCCAGAGCATTCAAGACCAGGATACTCACTGTCACCCTTAGGAGGTGGATATTTACCCTGCCGTTGAAGTGTATCTGCTCTGTTGATAGCAGCAGCCGCAACTTTAATCAAAACTTGGTCATCTTTGATTTCTGGGTCTTCCACTTCTTTCAACTGCAACACTTCTGGAGCACCTGGGCTTGTGATCACTATAGCCTTCATTTTTCTGAGTTGATTATGGGAAAAGGTTTCAGTTTTGATGGGATTATTGGATGTTCTTCGCGACGATTTTGTCGAACACTTAGGTGTAGAAATGAATTAGGACAATCCAGCTCTGATGTGTCAGCAGTACGTTAAACACAAATAGTTACGGTAAATTACAGGTTTGGTGCTAATTGTTGTCTCGGCGTCACAAGAGATCCTTTTGTTTGTAACATATCGAGATTTTGGCAGTTGTTGTTTTATAAACTGAACCTTTTGGTCCGAACAGTTGTATTCTGAACTGTAAGAATTTGGATTTTAGTATTTTTGTGTATTACTCTTCAACAATCAGAAAATGAAGAACTTGTGCACTTAATTGTCAATACAATCATACCAACCAAATATAAAAAAGAAGATAAAGTAAAACCTGAAAGGACCATTACGTTCAAAGATAATCAATCCAGCAAAAAAATTTGTGGAATTGTCTTCCGTTTGTTTTTTAGAAGAATAAGTCATTTATGTGGTTAATTGTCAATATTTTATAAGGATTCATTAATGATGGAAGACACTTCAACTCTAGCAACTTTGTAAAAATTCTTTCCAGCATAAATTTGTTTGGTTATACTACAAATAATACGCACACCGAACAATTATTTTGAGGAGAGAGTATTACTATAATTTAGTAATGACATGTTTGGGAGAAATGGTGCTCGTGCAACATCTTTGCGAGGAATATAAATTTTATTATTATTATTTTTTTTTTACCTTAAGGATGAGTGGATGACCATCATTTTTTACATTCATTGTTGTGTGAAAAAGTAAATCCGATTATGCATTATATTCGATTATGCATTATACTGTTGTGTGAAAAAGTAATTTAGTTATGCATTATATAACAGTGATATTGATCCATCCTATCTGGGTCTAGTCCTGCTTGGAATAGCTCTTCTCCTGCGGCGCCTACCATGATGCACTTGGGCAAATTCTGCTGCATGAAACCAGCCTGTTAGAAATATGATCAAAATAGTAAGGCAAAATCCAACTGGGAATCCTATCAGAGCTCCTTTCCACGAAAAACTTGATTCTTGGGCGTCGTCGTGTCTTAAACCGGGCGAAGATGGAGTTCCTGCTTGACATGGTAATCGTATTTGCACCCCGCACAACCCACTGTTGTTTGCAAAATCATTTGGATTATTCATACTGTCCATTTGGCCACCTGTGGGAATTGGACCATGAAGATGGTTGTTGCTGACATCCAAAGTTGTGAGTTGCTGCAGATTCTTAAAGGATGATGGGATTTCACCAGAGAGATCATTATGTGATATGTCTATGCCTTCCAGATTCACAGGCCTCCAAAGCTAGATGGTATTTTTCCCGACAAAGCGTTGTAGGACATGTTCATGATTTTCAGGCCTTTGAGGTTATCAATTACTGTTGGTATTTCACCAGAAAGCTTGTTCTTCGACAGGTCCAGCAAGCAATATACATCATCACGGCCTGGAGCTGATGGCAATGCCAGCATTGATCTCTTCCAATCTACGATTAACTCAGAAACGTGAATCGGGGTTTCATCAACTACAAATGGCGCCGTTGAGTATGACTGTAGAATGGAAACATTAGTAGGTACATCAATCATTCCAGTGATATTCCCAAGCTCCTGTGGAATGCTTCCTGTGAGGTTATTGTTGGAAATATCTAGAATTCGAAGATTACTGAGTTTGGCTATGTTACTAGGTAGAGGACCTTGAAGGGATGTGTTTCTTAGACTCAGAATCTGAAGCGTTGAGATTTTGGAAAGAAACTTAGGAAACTCTCCTTCAATTTTAATGTTCCGAAGATCAAGTTGTTCAAGGTTGATCAAGTTGATAAATTTCCGAGGCAGGGCTCCCTCGAATCTGTTGTTACCCAGAAAAAGAACTCTAGTTCTCTTAGAGAATGTCGCTGGAATTTCACCGGAGAACTCATTAGATGAGAAATTAACAAGCTCAAGCCCATCACCAAATACAGGAAATGTGTCACCAGAAAACTTGTTCTTTGATATATCCAACAGTTCCAGAGATTGCATATAAGACATAGAACTGGGAAGGGTCCCAAAAAAGTTATTTTCAGATAACATAAGAACTATGATTTGATTAGCATCTCCTATGTTTTCGGGTAACTCACCTGAAAAATTATTTCTTGACAGATCAAGAAATGTCAAGGTGTCTTTGAAGAGTTGCTGAGGTAGAGCACCAGCGAGGTGGTTATCCGATAGAATCATATACAAAAGTTGCATCTCTGCCAGCCAAAACGGAAATGTCTCCTGGAGCTCGTTCTTACTCAAATCCAAGTAGCTAAGATATTTCTGGGATGAAATCCACTGCGGTACTTTCCCTGTTAAACCACATGATCTTAAAGAGAGCTCAAGAAGGGTAAACTTTGGAGCTATTCTGGAGTTATTATGTTTCCAGGTCAATCTATTCCCTCCAAGATATAAAACATTTAGTGTCTTAATATCGAATAACCAGGATGGAATCTCTCCAGAAAGCGAGTTGTCTTCAAGAACAAGATTCACCAGCTTGCTCAAATTCCATATGGATGGGGGAATTCTCCCAGTGAACTTGTTCTTGCTCAAGTCCAAAGTGGACAAATTAGTCAAGTGCCCGATGTCTTCTGGAATTTGCAGTGACAATTGGTTGTCGCTCAAATCCAGGTCTTGAAGTTGGGTCAAGTTCAAAACTGAAACTGGAATTCCACCAATGAACTTGTTGGAGCTCAAATCCAAAATTGATAGGCTGCGTAAGCGCCCGATAAAAGATGGAATTTGTAGCTCCAACTGATTATAATGCAAATCTAAGTTTTGAAGTTGTGTCAAGTTAAAAAATGATGATGGAATTGGACCAGACAAGCCATTGCTATCTAGGTATAGACTTCTCAACTTGGTGAGGTTTCCAATCTCCTTAGGGATGGTTCCAACAAGATTATTGAAATCCAAATCTAATGTTATGAGGCTTCGCAAGTATCCAACTTCAGGACTCAAAGAACCCGAAAGCCTGTTGTTAGCTGATAAGCTAAGATAGGTGAGGTATCTCAAGTGATAAAGCTGTTTGGGAATGCTGCCATTGAAAAAGTTCTGACTCATATCAAGATAGAGTAATGAGGTAAGATTATCCCAGCCTTGAGCTGGAATTCCACCTTGAAAAAAATTAAAAGATATATCAAGCAACGTTAGAGATGTTATATGAAAAAGGGGAGTCAGGACGTAGGAAGAAACAGTGGAATTCCCTTTGGTGTGTAAAGAATTAAGATGCAGTTCAGTAACCGTAAATGGGCTTGTGGAGGAGCAAATAATTCTTTCCCAATGGCAACACTGAGAAGTGGAATTCCAGTCTTCTAACAAGCTGGAGTTAGTAGCACTGCGCAAGAGGGATCTAAAATGAAGAAGAGATTGTTTTTGGTGATCAAAACAAGAGTAAGAAGAGAAGGACAAAGACAGAAGAAAAAGGATGACAAATCCCAACGAATACAAGAATTTGGCAGCCATGAATAAGGTATGATTTTCTGCTAGGAAGCACTGAGTAGGATCTGTTTAACAAAGAAACATGCCCAAGAACCATAATATATACCGGTAAGGTAGTAAACAGAGCTCCTGCCGTATAGGAAAAATGATAGAAATTGACAAGAATGGACAAGTAAAAGCATTTAATGGTGAAGAAGCATTAGACTAGGTCAATCTTCAACTAGTCTACTAACTGTTCAGTCATTCAGGTCAAGCATTGCCTATTTTTCCTTCACTTAATTAATTGGGGTTTGAAACTAAGGTAAAGTTGGTTTGGGTGCCCATTTATGCATTGACTTGAAAGTCAAGTCTTTTGGCACATTCAGTTTTCTAGTTATGGAATTTCAGGTAATTTGATTAGGCGTACAAGTGCTACAGACAAGCCGTGACACTATCATTATTCTTTCCCCCAGAAGACAAGCTGCTTCAGAAAGATTAAAATTTTATACAAATACTCGATATATACATAGCATCATCATTCGAAGCCTTGAAAAAACTTCACATCTGTGTTGCAAACTGATGGATGATTTAAAACTCGAAGGAGGGGGCTAATTTCAGCCGATTTAATTGGTCCCTCAGTTTAATTGATGCTTGGAAAGTAAAGAAAAAGTACACTAAGTGTCAAGGGATGCAAAGTCATGTACAACAGCAAATAGATTTTAAGTCAATCAAGCAGTTTGAGGTTTTTGCTGTTAGCTTCTTCCTTCATTTCATCCCTATTCTTGAAGAGATGTAATATAAGGATGGGTTGATTTGCTTATTTATGTTTTTTTTATTCCTTCAATTAATTTGATTCCACATGCGTTTAGTATAATATATATAATATAATGAGTAATCCAAAGTTACAGGGTGTGTTGAAATAGAGTTTTATATGTAGCATATATTTCGACCAGAAAAATGTAACATATTGCAGCAAAGACAGCCATTTCTATTTCAAAAGTAAGCAACGAACATAAGCGACAAAAAATGTAACATATTGCAGCAAAGTCTGGGTTCTTAAGAACAATAGTAATATACAATAAGAAAGCACAAATTACACCGTAAGAATTATTTTACCAATATGCTGGCTGCTTTCCATCAGCCGGTGAGCTTCAGCTGCTTGATCAAGTGGAAGGTACTTATAAACTACAGGTTTCACCTTCCCCGCAGCAATTGCAGGCCAGACATTCTTCTCCACTTCACTGACAATTTCAGATTTGTTCTGCTTCGTTCTACTTCGCAATCCAGCAGCTGCACCAAGATCAGACATAAAGTTCAAACATCAGAAATCTCCAACCAGCTAAGACATCGATTGATCAATATGTGCAATCAAATTCAGGAATCCATACTAGATACAACTTTCCACAATTTTAATAAAATGAATATAAATGCTACTATGCACAACCAGGAATGGAGCCTTTTAAGATATTTGAGGCAATAGAGGTTAATCAGCATAGCATTGCAAAGTTTGATTAGTTCAATCCTTATTCTTTGTACCATGTTTATGAACAGAAGATCAGAAACTATACGATTCAAAAAGGATGTCAACAGTACCCTGCACTGTAAGCCGTCTAGCAAGTATACCCGAAAGGTTTACTTCGGTTAAGGTCCCACCCATAAATCCGATAATGAACAGCCTCCCACCAATACTCAAGCTGTCTAGATTTCGCTGGAAATATGGCCCTCCAACATTGTCCAATATAACATCCACACCTGTTGCACCAGCTAGGATCAGGTTTTCCTCCCAGATTATTATCTAGTAATATATGACAGAGAAAATCATATGCATGAACCGAGCTGGCAATGATCATGCACTAGCAAAGATGCAAACATAGTTAGCTGCTTCAAGTATGTATTCCTTACCTTTGCCCCCCGTTTCTTCCTTGACACGTGCCACAAAATCCTCAGTTTTGTAATTGATACCAACATCTGCCCCAAGATCCCTACAAGCAACCAGTTTTTCCAGACTGCCTAATCAATGCAAACAGTTATGAGTTTATATAACGAGTTCACTTCAAAAACACTTTCACAGTCATTAGTAGATAGTTAACCTGCTGTGACAAATACTCTAGCCCCATAATGTTTAGCAATTTGAATGGCAAATGTACCGATTCCACTTGAACCTCCATGCACCTGAAAACTTAAACATTTTGAGTGAAAGGCTCACATTATCAGATGAAAGAATAAGTATGAATTTCCACAAGGACTCGAAGCCTTAGAATATAGAGATCACTGAAACAGATGTATTTCCGTCATCGTCTTCTGGCTCATGTTACAACTGAGCCATTGATGTTGAAACCCAGCAACTAATCATATCCTATCCAAGGCCATACAACTGTAAAGGCAAAACAGAAACACTTTTGTTGCAGGATGATACTAGTCATTTCTGGTACCCATTTGTAGAACAGAAGCCTAAGAAAAAGTACCCCGGGGCCTGGGTTCCTTGACAAGAAAGGTGCACCTAACTAGGCCATCACATACCATTATTGCTCTAGCTCCCGATGAAAACTCATTCAGGAAAATAATTGGAGGACATTGCAAAAGCATTTAACTGGCATTTTACCAGGAGAGTTTCCCCAGATGATAAGTGGCTCATCATGAAGATAGTTGACCAAACAGTACAAGTAACCTCAGGAAAACTAGCTGCATCTTGCAAAGACACGCCTGGTGGAACTGGTAGTACTTGTCCTTCAGGCACAGCTACTTTTTCAGCATAACCCCCTCCACCAATAAGAGCACAGACCTGCATAATTTCTCTTCATGAATCAGCTTAATAATCAAAACCATTCTTTTGCAAAATCAAGAGAAATACAATTCCAGAAGCCATAAAGTAGGAAAGAACCTCCTACTTAATGCTACATTTCAGGTTTCTTCGATCTCGTCATGTGCAAGCACTAGAATGGATTGAAAAAAAAAAAGAAAAAAAAAAAGCAACATCAACAACAACAACAATCTACATTGGAACTCTTCGACTCTTTAATTTAAGACCATAAATTGGTGAGCCTTCCCTTTAACATTAGACCTCCAGTTATGCCGCATTCCACCACACAATCAAAGCTGGGATTTGCCTTCAGATCCTTGATCAATAATCACAAAAGAATGAAGGTTTAATTTGTCATCTACTCTCTTATCTTAAGCCACACAGTTGCAACAGTCGAAGAGATTCAGTCAACTAGGGGAAAAAGTACCCACCATATTTCCATCAAAGATTACATTTTTCTTTTTGAAGAAAAGGAACCCAACTCAGTTAAACCATTCACCAATACAAGACAAGAAACACTTCAATAACCAGAGTCCAATTTAAATGAGCAGTTTGTTAAATATAACCTAACCTGATCACCAAGTTTCCACCTTGTGACATCTTTCCCCACAGCTTCAACAGTTCCGGAGCATTCCAGACCCGGATACTCACTGTCGCCCTTAGCAGGAGGGTGTTTCCCCTGGCGTTGAAGTGTATCTGCCCTGCTCACAGCAGCGGCTGAAACTTTGATCAAAACTTCGTCATCTTTGATTTCTGGGTCTTCCACTTCCTTCAACTGCAACACCTCCGGCCCACCTGGGCTTGTGATTACTATAGCCTTCATTCTTCAAAATCTTTGTGAAATATGTTCTTCGGAAAGGTTTAATTAGGAATTTTTGGATATTTGCCCCCAAAACGAATTTTGTCAAAATACTTGGTGCAGAAATTTACAGTGTACTAGACCAGACTTTGATGTAACATTTTCTTATTTGGTTTGGCCAATAATTCAATTCAATAAACCACCATTAAAAAAACTAATGCAACTTTTGCATCATTGAGTGATCGATATACATCCAACAGAAAATTTGTCTCTTTTTTTTGTTGGGTCGATTTGATGTATGATGTGATCATCATACATTACTTTCCGGTATAATAATGAAGCTCAAAAGTATTGTCGCCTAGCTAATAATTCAGAAACGTGCTAAATAGTACATTTACTTCACATGTTAGGGGTAACAAAACGACGACAAAAATGGTCCTTCGCTTTTCAAATTTACCGCTAATCACAAAAATCTCATCTTGTATCCCCTTCAGTACCATCGCAAGTAGCCAAAACTTACACGAATAAGATCATGAGGATCGCTTTCAATTGCTTTCAATCAAATTACGATTATCCTTACCCAATCCTAACTGGCCCATTTCCTCTATCCCCCAATAGTTTTTGATCTATAAATTAGGCACCTTCTGCTGCAGGGGATGTTGCCCCTAAGGTTGAAAATAATTGAGATCCAACATGATTGGATCAAATTTTTGGTGGTTCGGGAGATTGTTGGTTCTTCTGGTTTTGATTCCACAAATTTATGGTTGGGGGAAAGAAGGCCATATTGCTACCTGCAAAATTGCTGAGGTGAATTTTGCTTTTTCCTTATGTTTCTGAGGGGAAACATTTGGTTTTTAACAATTTTGAAAGAAATGTTGTTGTTTAGAGTGGTTTATGTTCTGTTTTACTTTTGTTGGTTTATCTTTTATTTTGTTGTTGTTGAATTTATTTATGAGTCAGGAAATTGTAATGAGGGAGATGAGCTCTCAAGTTCTTGCATTTATTGTCCATTTACATGAATGAATTAATGTTACTGATCATTTCAAGGAGGAAAAGATTTTTCCTTTCAAAACACCCTTTTCGGCTTGATGATCTAGGATTTCTGGATTTGAACCTATGCTAATGCTTTAGGTGATCAGTGTTAGTACTTACAGAACTGCTTTTCTGATAATCTTTCTTGAGAGGGATAAAAATTTTCACAAGGCTGCTTTTGTTGATGTTGGTCTTATTCTTGTTGATGTAAGTAAATGTAAAGACTTCAATTTGATGAAGTTACCCATATCCATTGTATTGTAATTTTATTTCTGAACTTGAATTAAGCATCCGTACTGTGACAGTTAACCTGATCACCATTAAGTGATGGCATGATGATGATAAACTCCACTTTCTTGAGGTGAACTCGATTTTCAACTAGTCGTTGAGGGAAGGTGAAGGGTGCAACACTTGAATTTCCTAAATTTCTTGTCTGGTGAGCTAAACATTAATTTGTTTGAATTACATCAGGGATTGCTAACCGAAGAAGCTGCAGCAGGAGTACAGAGCTTGCTTCCTGAAAGTGCCGAAGGAGATTTTTCATCTGTTTGCCCCTGGGCTGATACAATGAGATTCCACTACTACTGGAGTAGGGCTCTACATTATGCTGACACGCCAGATTTTAGGTGTAACTACAGTTACTGCAGTAAGTTCCATAGATTGCTTGTTAGTTTTGCAGCCTCCTCATTGTTTGAATTTGCATTACCTGCACAATAAGAAGCTAATAAAATAAGAGCAACTTATTTCAAGGTATAATAAGTCTTTACTGTTTAATGTTGCTATTCAGTGTTTATCTTTTTGATTAATGGAAGCCATGGGTTCCTCTCCACTATCCTTTAGCTTGCATTCTCTGCCAAGATCATGCTGTTTCTTGTCTTTTAGAATGAATTTTTCACATATCACTATAACAACTTGAGGTGAACTTCTGGACAGCATCCTAACAGATTCTGGTCATAGTAATAAGGGGAGAGGGTCGAGGCTTTAGGGTTTAGGGTTCAAATGGACTATTGTTTTGAGAGAGGAGGTGAATAAATGATTTGCTAAAGAATCAACCCACAGAAGAATTGACCAAATGTTTTTGACTCTGAGGAAAGAGGCCACTTACTATCTGTATATTTGCACAATTAGGTCTTTCCTCTCTCTAATGTTGTTCTCTGATGGTTAGACTTGTGTTATGTGCTTCAGATTATTGTCTTTTCATAGCGTCATTGAACTCCTAAAACCTGAAAGAAAAGAAAATGTTGGCACAAGTCTGATACACATTTGATTTCTTGGGAAATAAAACTCTCTTGCCTCTCACAAAATTAACTTACTTTTGGTTACTGAAGGGGACTGCCATGATAACAAAAATCGTAAAGACAGATGCGTGACTGGTGCAATATTCAACTATACAAATCAACTCATGTCGCGTTCAGATCCACAAAATACACGTCAGTGGCTTTCCATTCTTTTTTTTTTTCCCCTTTCTTTTTGGATTTTGGTATAACTGAATACATCGTAAGCAATAATTTCCCCATCACAGACAACTTGACAGAAGCACTCATGTTTTTGGGACATTTCATGGGTGATGCACATCAGGTTAGCTAATCTTTCCTTGTCTCTGAGATATGTAGGAGGCAAAAATCTTGTAATTGATGAAAAGTACTGCTCTTTGCTACTGCATCTAAGTAATGCAATTATATTCTCCTTTCCCGGGTATGTAGTTATCATTCAAAATGCTGCATGAAAGTGCATTCAACTTTGTCTAAAAATATAATTATTGCAGCCTCTCCATTGTGGCTTTATTGGAGATGAAGGTGGAAACTCTATAAATCTCCGTTGGTTCAAACGGAAGGCCAATTTGCACCATGTAAGTCCTGGATTGTCCATCTTAGTTTCCTTTCATCCACCTTTCAGCTATTAATGATTGAAGCTATTATGGGCATAGACACACACTTTTCAGTTATGGTGTTAGGTTTATACCTGGAAGAAACTGCCTGATGAATCAGGAACTTGTCAAAATGATATTAATCAGATATTAGAGTCTATTCTTTTGACTCATGGAAAATAACATTCAATAAACATTCTGTATCTTTTTATGAGAAAATGCAAATAAAAGTAAACGGAAATTATTTGTATGTGAAAGCCTCTATCCTTATTCCATCTTACTTCCTTCTATTTCAGGTGTGGGATACATTGATGATTGAAACGGCTATGAAGACATATTATAACAGGGATCTCGACACCATGATAGAATCAATTCAACGAAATATTTCGGTAAGCCCATCTTATGCAGAAGATTTTTCACATTAGCTTTTCAAGTTTCTCCTGGAACGTTTAGCTTTCATAATTGTAAATTCCGAACATGTATATATTCCTTCTGTTACTTGTGGACAGAAAAGCCTATTGGACTAAGATTTATATGCTGCCTGGTTCACTTCTCCAAGAAAGATGTCATTGATAATCCATGTATTTCTTTCCTAACATTGAACAGAATGGTGGTTTTGATGATATCTCGTCCTGGGATAAGTGCAATGCCACAGTTTGCCCTAATCAGTATGTCCTTCAACTCCTGCCTCTACTTTTTTTGTGGGCCAAGAATGTCTATACTTAATTTTGTACATAAATAATGTTTGAAAAGCTTGGTTGGTTCTATTATAAGTGATCACTGAATCAAAACAATTTCTCGGCAATGGTTTACGTCCATACAGTTGTTCTGTTTCTTTATGCCAAAATGAAACTAATATGAGCAGTACTTTCTCTGGTGGGATATAAAACTACAAGTCAGATGTCTGTTATCTTTTCAACATTTTTTGTTCATAATAAGTTTTGTATGCTGGTCCAGTTCTTAACTTGTTGTAAGAAAGTCTTTCTACATGTCATTTCCTGCCCAGAATGCTCTTAAAGATCTGCAAATTGAGTGTACTTGTATCAATATACCCTATATTTGAAATTAAATTATAGTAGTCATGAAGGAAGGTGATCGTAATCTAAATCTCCCCTCTTTAGTGAAATTTAAAAAAGTTGATGTTATGATTTTTCCAGTTAATAAAGCGTGATGGCATAAATATTTTGCAGATATGCTTCTGAAAGCGTAAACTTGGCATGCAGATATGCCTACAGAAATGCTACCCCAGGAGTCACTCTCGGAGGTAAGTCCATGTTGAAATTTCTGTAGCTTCTCCACATGGTTTCCTCTTAATTCATTTGTTTTGCCCATGAAATCGTGTAATCACTTCCTGGAAATAACATACCCAAATACGTACAAATTACTCATCTTTCATCGCCAAGTAAAAAACTGGGATTAGTTTTGCCTAGTCTTGATAATTAAAGCCCCTAGTTCTACAACAATGGTGGGCAGTTTCAGCCACGGCCTCACAGAAGTTCTAACTTGGAATTGTTTGGGAGGCTAGAAAACTCAAGTGGTGTGCAACCAATCATCGTGGTCAAAATCATTATCTTTGAGTTAGATAAAACGAGAAATTTGATTTATTACCAGAACTCATGATTAATATAGTCTTACTGGTTGAACCCATGACTTAGGAATAGGCTAAAGTTTGTGCATCATTCTGCAAGTTATTATCATGTTTGTCTGAATTCTTTCAGGATATCTGTAGCTCCTGTGCATATTCTATTCTTGACTCGTTTGCCTTACAAAGAGATGAATTATGCTCTTGAGCCATGATAACTGGTTGAACTTTGGTCAGTTGCTTTCAGCCTGAATTTACTTCTTAACTGTATTCATTGGTCGTACAGATGAATACTTCGACTCTCGGTTGCCCGTTATGGAGAAGAGACTGGCTCAAGGTGGCATTCGCTTGGCTGCTGTTCTCAACCGTATCTTCTCTACAAGCCTTCCACTTGCTGCAGAGTGAAAGATGTTGAAAAGGTGTACACTGTCCAATGCTAGTCTCTTCATGAGCTTCATTCAAAGAACACAACATTGTCCTATCCATTGAACGTCCTATTCAGATAGCTCTCTCAATATTTTGTCAGTCTTGTGATTATGTTATAACATAGTATTGAAAGCAATAATGTCTTGACGACTAGACTTTTTACGAAAGATCAACATTGTTGAATTGTTTATTCAATAAAATATTAGCACTTAGCATGTGCTTTTTTCTTTTTTTACCATTTTTTCCAGTTAATTTTATACATGGCAAAGCATTATGAGAAGAATGTGAGCAAAAACTAAGACATCTGAACTGAACTGATGGGATTTTCCATCTGGGATTCTGGCTGCTGTTAACACATTTGATGGAAGTGACTGGATAAGGATGCAGCTTTTTTAAGGAGACTTTACTTTTAAAAGGGGGAATTTGGTTCAGTGTTCCTCATGACACAGCAAGGAGAATTGTTTACGTTAAGAACAGAAAACTCCCTGATTAAACAACTAACATTAATTCCTTTTAAAGTCAACTAACCAAGCTGATGATGGCAACTTTCTGCCTGTAACGATCCACTGCCCTCTAAGTCACATTTTCCTGATGGGCTGATATGCTTCAGCATATTCTCATCTTTGCTTATTTTTCATTAACTTGCAGTATACGTAAGAAGTTTTGAGTTTTTAGCTTGCACTCAACAGAAACTTTGAAAAGAATAATGCATTTCAAAGAAAAAGAAGGATGCTTACACGATGACTTGAGATGCGTATGTTTATAAATTGAAAAAACTACTATATGGTGGGTCTTTCTTTTTTAGATCAAAATTTTCAAGAAACAATTGAACACAAGCAAAAAATGGCAAGTTTCTTAGGATTGTACTCCAAATCGTCTTCTTCATTTCTGCTTCTTTGCTTCATTTGTTTTGCTTTGATGAAGCTATCAAATGTTAGAGCATGGAGCAAAGAAGGTCACACTATGACATGCCAAATTGCACAGGTAAATTTATCAACTGTTTAAAGCTTTTAAGCACCAAACAGTCGCGTTTAAACTCATCGAAAAACTACCTTGTTTTGATCGTATTCTGTGACAAACAGAGTCTCCTGAGTCCTGATGCTGCCCATGCTGTAAAAATGTTGTTACCGGACTACGTGAATGGAGATTTGTCAGCGCTGTGTGTATGGCCTGATCAAGTAAGGCATTGGCACAAGTATAGCTGGACAAGCCCACTTCACTTCATTGACACCCCGGATAAAGCCTGCAACTTTAAGTATGAAAGTAAGCATAAATAACAAGTTGAGTTTGTGGAACTTCTTGGTTTTTACCTAATACTATATGTAATTGACTGAAACAAAACATAAATGATGCTGATCGATTTGAGTTTATAGGGGATTGCCATGATCAACATGGAGTTGAAGATATGTGTATTGCCGGTGCCATCACAAATTTCACCACTCAGCTTTCGCATTACCGCCATGGATCTTCAGATCGCCGGCGTAAGAAATTCAGCTATATTTCACGCAATCCTACTTATTTGATGCTCTTTTATGTTAAAGGATAGTTCAATTTTACCCCATCCTAACTTTTTTTTTCTTTTCTTCTTTCAAATTTAAATGAACACAGACAATATGACAGAGGCCTTATTATTCCTTTCCCACTTCATGGGGGATATACATCAGGTAAAACAGGCCTAATTGAAACATCCATGTGAATCTTTGCCATTTTCTTGGTGCTGCTGGTTTTTGACATTTTAATTTGGTTCATCCATCTTTGTTGATCAGCCAATGCATGTGGGTTTTACAACTGATGAAGGAGGGAACACCATAAACTTGCGCTGGTTTAGGCATAAATCAAATCTGCATCATGTGAGTTACAACAATTTTCTAACTAGGCTTAGGCTTCAAGGAAAGTCAAAAGGGGACCAGCAATATTCATCTGTTCAACTTGTCTATATATAGGTGTGGGATAGAGAGATCATTCTCACAGCAGCAGCGGATTACTACGGCAAGGAAATCGACCTCCTCGAAAAAGACATAGAGAGTAACTTCACAGATGTAAGTACATACATACAAGGATATCTTGATAGAACACAACTAGTATATGGGGCCAAATTTAGATCAACCATTTGATATAACAGGGAATCTGGTCTGATGATGTCGAAAACTGGAGGGACTGCAGTGATATATCTGCTTGTGTAAACAAGTGAGCCCCTTTGATCTTTCCCCATCAAGAAAGCTTTTTTCTTTACATTCATTTGGATACTCATACATTAAGTTTTCCCTCCAAGCGCAGATATGCGACAGAAAGTATAAACATAGCCTGCAAATGGGGTTATAAGGGAGTTAAGTCTGGAGAGACTTTGTCTGGTAAATATCATCATTTTTTCTTTGGTTTCTTTTCCTCCAGAAATTACAACATTAATATTAATGATTACAAAATGATGGGTTTTGAGCTTGTTTGTTGCAGATGATTACTTCAATTCAAGACTGCCTTTTGTGATGAAGCGAATAGCTCAAGGCGGAGTTCGACTGGCCATGATCCTAAACCATGTTTTTGGTGACTCCCAACAAGAGTTTCTAGCAGCAACTTGATCTTGTAATCTAATCAGATTAAGTTTCCTTTCAGAGATTCTTTTGGAAATCAATCCTTAGATTTTGATTATAGATGAATGTAGTACTACATTATGTAGCACAAAAACTCTAAGTCACTGATTTTGAGTTTTGTTGTATGACAATAACAAGTTTATTCCGCTCAGTTTCATTTCACTTAATCACTACAATATATCAGTACATTTTTTTTTTTTTTTGAAGAAACACTTTATAAATGAGCTGGAATCAGCCAGCACTGAAAGATAACCAATCCTGAGGAGACGACCAAAGTGTGTCCCTCACATTACAAGATTTTGCAAAATCAGCAACTTCATGAGCAACATAATTTTCTAACCGACTAATCCAACAAAGATTAAGATTAGGAAACGAATTCAGAAGATTCTTGATATCGTGAATGACCATGTTGGCTGCATATGGCCCTTCAACTTCTCCTCGACCAATCATTATGGCATTGATGGAGTCTCCAACTATCTGAAAATCCGTTAGCTTCAACTCTTTGGCTGTACGTAACGCTTCCCGTAATGCCATGAGTTCCGCTAGTTCCGGATCAACGACATTATCAGCAGTAGATGCGTAAGCGTTCATAAATTCACCATCAGAATTTGCAATATAAACCCCAAAGCCAGCTAATCGCTTTCCTGTTGATAATCCGGCATCGAAATGGACCGTTGTTTTACCAGTTACAGGCCTGAAAACAGAATCCACAGCAAAGCGAGCCATTTCCGGATTTTCCATTCGCGACTGCTTCCAATTTTTCAACATTGTAATGGCAGAGAGAACTATTCCCCAGGCTGTGCAAGCTTTTTGGGAGAACAATTTGTCATTCCTAGCTTGCCAAAGTGAGTTGCAGAGAAAGCCAAAAAAAACTGAGATTTCTCCTTATCGAGAGCCTGGAAGAGATCGCTACTCCACTGCTTGAAGAGTTGATGCTGGAAGCGCATAATGACATCTCGAATCCCTGAGTAATACCACATCTGTTGCACAAAAGGACAGAGAAAGAACAAGTGAACAGAACTGTGATCCACCTGACCGCAGAAGCAACATTGAGGGTCATAGTGCATGCTTAACTGCCATATTTTCAGATTTGTTCCACCACCTCTCTTCCACCGTGATCAGCATGAGGCTAAAGTTGCAGACGACGGTCGCCGGAAACAGGGAACAAATTTGGCTTTCACACCGGTTTCCCAAATACGGCAGAACCTCATAAAGTAAAGCGAAACAAGTAAATTTAATCGTTAAGCAAACTAAACCAAATTTACCTGATGTCCTTTGAAAGAGCCGGCAGTGTATAGGCGATCATAAATATTTTGCTACGCTAGGGCTTTGCAATTCTTTGCTGGGTAAATCACCATTTGAATCAGATTGAAGCCGACTTCTCTCCCTTCAAACTCTCCCAATACATCAGCCGCATGAGCAATCCTGATTGAAAATCTATCGCTATACTTTCTCTCCTACATAAATTCCATTTGGTGGAGGAGGTAGAGCCAGATTTGGATTCTGGGCGGAGCAGGCAACAAAAAAAAATCGATGGTGCGAAAACATGAAAGGGGCAAATTCAGCACAAGACGCCGTCGTTTTGTACGCCTGGGACTTGGGCTACAATAAGATTGAACCCAGGAGCAATCGTTGATTAAGGCCCAAAAAAACAAAACAAAAAAAAAAAAAAAAAAACGGGGCAGACGCATTGAATCGCCGTTTTGACGCTAAGGTTGCAATAGGATTAACCCCACTTAAGTCAGTCGTAGCGGTGAAATTGATTTAGACCCTTGGATTGAATTCTATCAACGGTCGTAATTTAATTCAAAAACCTATTGATCGATGAGATCATTTAATTTTTTTATGAGCCAATCACATCGTTCAAATTGAATTTAAAGAGCTTCTGACCAATCAGATTCGAAATTCTAAACTTAACAGAGGCTTTTATTTTAAGTAGAGAAGATAAGGATTAGGTTATTTTTGTCGCGCGTTACACGACCAGTTTGTATTTTTAATGTGTTTTATTATTATAAAAACCTATATAGATTGAAGCACGAAAGGCATGGAAATATTTATTAAATGGAGTTAGGGTTAATGAGTTGGATTGAGAAAAAAAAAAAAAGAAAAGAAGAAAGAAGGTAAAGTTCGAAAGTTAATAACAAATTTGCTTGAAATTTGAAAATGAGTTACAATTAGAAACTAGATGCTTGCCCCGAACAAATGTTTGGGGGCGTCCCACATAATAAATTGATATGTAAATAATTAAAATTGATTAGGAATGAATTTAGTATTTTATGAAGATAATTGATTGACCGAAAATTAATTTTTTCGAAAGTCCTAAATAAGTGGAGAAGAAAAGTTCTATTCACTGTCAAATTCAAAAATTTGAATGAACATGGCCATCTGATCTCTTAGTTAATATTGTAAATTATATTTTTTGTTTTTAAAAGGAGGTGAAACGTGGCAAAATGATTTATGCAATATGGTGCATTTGGAGTCAAAACATTTTAATAAAAAATTGTCACACCAGTATCTTATTTTCTGCTTTAATAGGGTAAAAGGGATATTAGTTGAAAGTTAAAATTATTTATATTTTGAAATGGAGGAATCTTTTGACTAGAGCTTCTTGTTATAGCATGAAACTTTTAGTTCATCTGTCCCCAAAACATACCTGTAGCTTATTTGACGAAATCACATTCCTAAACTTATTTCGTATTTTGGTGCACATTTATATATAGTGGCGATTTGCATCTGTTTGCCCTAAAACAAATATAATATACTCTTTCCGTCTCATAATTATTGTCCAGTTTGGGTATTCCTTTTTAGTTTAAATTGTACTAAAAGTGAAATTTTAAATTGGACAATAATTTTGGGACAGATGGAGTATTTCTTTTCAGCAAAAAAGAGCTGCATGACCCGTATCTCACCAAATGCCACAATTACGCTCTGTTTAATAACCAGATGAGTAGGTCTCTTGCTTTTTGAGAAGCAAAGCAAAGATTACCTAATTTTTCCAGGATGTAAATACATTATTTCTTCTTCCAGGTTAAAGAAAAAAAAAAGTAGGAAAATATTTTGAGCCTGAATCTAAAAGGTATTTGAATTCATTCACCATATATACATAACATATCCGTCTAACACATATCTAAGGTTTATAACAAAAAGACGTGCAAGTTCACCAGCTTCACAGCTTTCAATACTGATGCAATTTGCTTCACCATAAAAGTCTGAAGCCACCAGTGACATCATCCACCATATCAGCCGGCCTGCTCAACCCAAAACAACCTAAATTCAGGGCTGTTTGAACAACAAAGATAGAGAGAAAGGCATATTTCTTCACAACCAGATGGGAAACATTCGACACGTCATTGAATGTGTACCAATCAATATCAAGTATATGATTCCTTCCATGAAATGTGTACAAAAGAAGAATCCTATCCCCAAATCCTATAATCCTTGTACCTTTAATAAACTTACTAACAACAGCCAAAGAAGGGGATACAATCTCTTGAGTTTTTCACCAACAACAACAAATAGAAAGTACAAAAAAAAAAACCAAAAACAAAAAAGAGGTAATAATCTACTACCACTACCCCTACGCCTGCCTACTTAGGCCACCATGATCGGCACAAGAATCGAAAAACTTTCCACACATAGTAACCATGCAACTCCTTCAACCAGGCTAAGCAAATACATGACAGAGAAATGGATATTCGGGCTCAAATCAGAAATGTTATTGAGAAGAACAAAGAGATGAGCAACGCAGAAACTGAGTTGGATGATGGTAGAATCATGGTGACGGAAGTGGATATACAGCATTTTGTCGCTTTGTGGACTGGAATACCTGTTGATAAGGTCTCTAGTGATGAATCTAATCGGCTTCTGAAGATGGAAGAGACACTTCACCATCGAGTCATTGGGCAGGATCAAGCTGTCAAAGCCATTAGCCGTGCCATTCGCCGTGCTCGTGTTGCACTCAAGAATCCCGACAGGCCTATTGCGAGCTTTATTTTCTCCGGTCCAACTGGAGTGGGGAAGTCGGAACTAGCAAAAGCGCTCACTGCTTACTACTTTGGTTCTGAGGAAGCTATGGCTAGGCTAGATATGAGTGAATTCATGGAGAGACATACTGTCTCGAAGCTCATGGGTTCGCCTCCAGGTTATGTTGGTTATACTGAGGGTGGTCAGCTGACAGAAGCTGTTCGCCGTCGGCCTTATACTGTTGTGCTGTTTGATGAGATTGAGAAGGCTCATCCAGATGTTTTCAACATGATGCTTCAGATTCTTGAAGATGAGCGCTTGAGTGACATTAAAGGTCGGACTGTTGACTTCAAAAACACACTCTTGATCGTGACCTCAAATGTGGGAAGTAGCATCATCGAGAAAGGTGGGGGACAGATGGGTTCTGATGTAGATTATGATGAGAAGGATAGTAGTTACAACAGGATTAAAACCATGGTGGCCGAGGAATGGAAACAGTATTTCAAGCCCGAATTCTTGAACAGATTGGATGAGATGATCGTATTCAGACAACTTACTAAGCTGAAGGTGAAGGACATTGCTGACATTATGCTCAAGGAAGTGTTTGAGAGGTTGAAGAAGAAGGAAATACAACTCTAGGTGACAGAGAGGTTCAGGGACAGAGTTGTTAATGAGGTTACAATCCAAGATATGGTGCGCGACCTCTACGAAGAGCCATAAACAGACTGTTGGAGGATAGTTTGGCTGAGAAGATGCTCAGCCGGGAGATCAAGGAAGGCGATTCAGTCCTTGTGGACGTCAATTCAAAGGGCAATGTAACCGTCCTCATTGGCAGTGCTGCCGCTCTAGTATAAACTGAATCCTGTTTGGGCCGTGTCTTCTTGCGAAGTATATTGATACATAGTCATTGTGGTATGAGTTTCTAAAAGATTTGGCCGAAAAAAGAAAGAGAAAAAAACTAGGGTTTTGAATAAAACCTAGCTCTCGATACCAACAAATACACAAGGATGACTCCTTGATGCAAATCTATCTCGAGAATGAGACAAAACATGAGCATAACAGAGGCATCCAAAACTACGGAGATGGGTATAAGATGGTTTGCATCCAAACAAAATCTCATAAGGTGTCCGATTGTTCAATACAGATAGAGGGATGCGATTAATCAGATAAGTAGCAGTAAGAACACATTATCCTCATAAACTAATTGGCAAGTTTGCTTGAAAGCGCAGGGCTCTAGCTACTTCTAAAATGTGTCGATGCTTTCGCTCTACTACACCGTTTTGTTGTGGAGTGTATGGACAACTGGTTTGCCTTTCAATACCATTATCCCAAAAATGAGTTAACAAGGTAGCATGACTAAATTCAAGACCATTATCATTTCGAAATAATTTGACCTTAGTTTTAAACTGTGTATGCAATCAATTGAAAAACATCAGCAAATATCGCTTAGTCTCTGATTTATGACGCATGAGAAACACCCAAGTTACCCTACTCCAATCATCCACAATCGTAAGAAAATATTTTGTCCCAGACTTTGATGGCGTTTGATAAGGACCCCAAACATCACAATGCACTAAATCAAAAACATTCAATGATTTATTTTGATGTAAAGGAAATAGCAATCGAGTGTGTCTTGCTCTACAACATGCATCACAGAGAAAACCACTAGAAGAATCAAATTTAACAGAAATATCTGGCACCAAATTAAGACGGCTTATTGGCAAATGTCCTAAGCGCCTATGCCACAAAGATGCTGTATCGCTCTTCTGGATAACCAACGCTCGGTTCACTTGTTTCCCATCACCACCCCTTATTGGTTCCAAATAGTAAAGCCCATCGCGCATCCTATCCACTCCAATCAGCTTCCTCGAGGCTAAGTCCTGTGTGAGACAAAAATTAGGCCCAAACGTGAAAAAAATAATTCAAATCTCGCGTCAGTTTATTGACGGATAATAAATTAAAATGGAAATCTGGCACTCCTAAAACATCATTAAGCGTTAGATTTTTATCCAATTGAATTGTCCCAATGGTCTGAACGGGCATTTGATCACTGTTTGGAATCTGGATATAGCTATTATCACAAGGCATGAGATTAGTCATCAATCGAATTTCAGATGAAGCATCGTTTGTGGCGCCGGAATCAGCAGTCTAAGCCTTCGTCTTACCAGAATTGACTTGCCCAGCCGAAGCTTGTCCAGCAGTGTTGGTCGACCAAGCAACCTGTCGACCACCAAGGAGCGAGAGTAGCTGTTGAATCTGCGCCTGGGAAAGAGATTGAACAGGTACATTCTGTTCGCCAACAGCAGCAAAAGCTGAAGTATCAGACGCGGCTGCAACTGGTTTGGAAGTCACAGATTTCGATCGCGGCTGCCTCCAATTGGCTGGATATCCAACAAGTTCAAAGCAGGCTTCTCTGTTATGATTGCTCTTTTTACAGTGCATGCAAAACCTGGTTCCACCGCCTTTCTGTGCTCCATTATCGCGACGGCCAGAACTCAAGTTAGCCATTGGACCTTGCTGCTGATCGTGAATCAAGGTCGCCGTTGAACTCATGTTAGCCAGCAAGGTCGCCGCTTCAACAGCTGGAGATCGGGAATCAGCAACATTGCGTTGCTTTTCATCTGACGCCACCATTGAGTATGCCTTTCCCAACGTCGACAAGGGTTCCATGCTAAGGATCTGCGATCTCACAGTCTTGTAATTATCATCTAAGCCCATTAGAAAATCAAATATCTTTTTTTCTTCTTGCATTGATTTCAGACGCTTGCTGGCATCGCAGGTACATCCGCCACATGAACACGTCGAAGGAGGCCTCAGGTTCTGCAGTTCATTGAGAAGTTCTTTGAGTTTGCCATAGTAAATTGGCGTTTGCATCAGTTCCTGCTGAAGCAAGGCAACATAACGCTTCAACTCGTACGCCCTGGCAGTAATACCCTAAGTAAATCTCTCCTCCAAATCACGCCATATTTCCACTGCGGTCTCAGTGTGAGCAACGGCTGTTTGCAGCTCCATACAGATGAAGTTCGTCAGCCAAGATTTTATCAGTGCGTTGCACTGGATCCATTGCTGGTAGTCACCGGAATTGACAGACGAGCTATACTGCCATCCACAAAACCAGCCTTGTTTTTGGATTGAAGGGCAGTGAGAAGGTTGTTTATCCAAGTGAAGTAGTTATCTTCGTTTTCAACAAGCGGAGTGGTAAAAAGGTGGCCAGGATGATCCGCCGGATGAACATAGAACGGCGATTTCGTATCAACAGCCGAACCGACTTGATTCGAGTTCTGGCCTTGAGAAGAATCTGTTTCCTCAATAGAGATCGAGGTGACTGGGATCTTATCTCCCATGGTTATGATTTTTAGCAGCTGAAAAACGAAGCAACAGGAAGAAGGGGCCGGAAAGCTTTGATATCCAATAGTTTCAACTTTTGAACTTTTAACTTTTGTTTCATAATCCAATAGTTGTCTTTTTCATCCCTTCATTTTAGAGATGGGCAGGTCGGCATGTGACTGATCAGGGAAAGACCACACCTTCAATTCGAACGAAGAAAATAACAAAACAGTAAAACACAAAATCGATTTATTTAATAGGGTATTTGCCCCAATTATTCAGGCTAATACCGAAAAGCAGTACGAGACGTAATTCAAAGACGGGAAAGAGAAAAGAAAGCAACGATTATATTACCTGTTCCGTCTTCGAAATTAGAGTGCTCATAGTTCCAAACTTCAATTCGAGGAAATCAAACAAAATCAACCCAAGATAAGCAAATATCCTGTAATTGACGTCGAATCGAATATCAGTTGAGGAATTTAACAGGGAGGAAATCACCGACTCTCGATTCGATACAACCAACGTTACATATATTATCAAACCGAGATGCGTACTTGGTCAAAAGTCGTTTTGGGCTTTATCGCTCAGGGCCAATCCAGAAAAAATAATATAAACGCAGCCCACATCCGAATTTTTGCTTTTTTTTTTTTGTCTATAATTTTATTATCTTCAACCCTTTAACAATTTCTTTAAGCAGTATTTGGACGATTAACATTAAACATCGTGGAGAATAGCCCAAGAAAAGAGAAAAAAAAAAGCGTTCCAACATTGCATGTGTGTATGTATGTTTTTTTATTCAGTAGGTTAGAGGTTATGGTTAAAAAAAAAAAATTGTAACCGACGGAGCGCTTCCCGCCAGCACAAAGCTCGACGACAACACATGCACAGAGAACGCGCGTGGCCGGCGGGCTGTGTGTTGGCGGCAAGCGAGCGTGTGGCCGCCGTCTATATGAACACACTAGACGGGTGTTTTTTTTTGAATAGTTTTTAAAAAGGTTTTAATCTTATGTAATTATTTTATTTTTATTTTCATAGTTAATTTTATTAATTCTAATTTGAGCAATAAGAATTCTGGTTCTAATAGTTAAATAGTATATCATTTTATCACTTTCTTTTTGATGTTCCCTTTAGGTGTAAATAGATATAGGTTCAGGTCCACCAGGTACCACATACTCTCTCTGTTCTATAATTATTGTCCAATTTGAATTTTCAGTTTTAGTTCAAATTATACTAAAAGTGAAATTTCAAACTGGACAATAATTTTAGAACAGAGGAGTACTTCATTCTCACCTTCAATTCGAACAAACCAAAGTTGAATTGTATCCACAACGTTATTTCCACATCGATCCTTCGGTTGCTGACATTTTACTGCTTTATCATTGTTTATTGTTGTTCAACCAACTGGATAGTGCAGTAATTATCCTCAGCGTCTGCACTTTCTTTTCTTAACCTCACACGATTTTGCTTGTTGATAGCTTGTAATATGCTTAGTTACCACATGAGATGCGTGAAAATGGGCTCTGATGTTGCAGTTGATGTAGTGATTAAACTGCCTTGTGTATGGATAGTTAGCATGGAATCCTTTTATCCTCCCGAACGGAAGTTAGAATACTTTCTGGTAGTTTAATACGACCACTTGTATAAGAGATTTGCTGGTGTTAACTATAGTTCCTCAGTCGAATCGAAGTCCAAGTTTTTAACAGATGATAAATGGTGATGATGATGATAATATTGACCTGTATATTCAAACTTGCAAATATAGCAATCCTCATTGCCGTATCTCTTGCTTCAACTATAGACATATTGTCATGCAACCTATCAAAACAGCCAGAAATTCTCACTCATTTTAATATTCAGCCAAGGTTAGAAAAACCTTACAGAAAAATAGGACCCCACACAATAAAGCAGAATAAAACAGAAAACTAAAATACACCCAACAAGCTCCTTCACATAGAAACAATGCATGCAACAGCCAGTGACTAATAGCAATCATGTGCTCTATGATGATACATACACATTTTCCAGATATACATGAGCAGCTGCTGCAGCGGATCCAGTGGCCCAACCTTTCCAGCTAAATGGTCTCCCATAACAGTTTCTTTTGTCTTCAACATCTTCCACTGTCCCCAAACAGTTCACGTGGTACAGGACAGCAGTCCCCTACAGAGAACATAAACCACCCAAGGCTCAAGAAAAATCCTTGCAATTGAATATGCCCAAACTAAAGAGTATTCTAACACTTACCTTTTCATCCCACCCTCCGATCAGCAGACCTCCAGTTGCCATACAATCACAGACAGCCAGCAACTTTGCTGTATCAGCAACAGAATTTCTTCTCCCCTCCTCACCTTTGTATTCATTGCACTAACATACATATGAACAAAGAAACTAATCACCTATCTTCCTTAGACAGCAGCTAGAAGGAAAAACCATGCTCATAATGTACACCATCAAGTACCTTTGTTTTCATATGTTTGAGCAAATTTTCGCTCCCTCCCGAAATAGTGACAACTATGCGGGAGTCAACTATAATAACATTTGGGACAGGCGACTTCTGGGCTAAAATCCAACAAAAAAGTAACAGTGTTAGATAGATCAGATTGTTGAAAGACATGCATAGGCTTAAGATAGTAAACCAACTCACAATGATTCAACGCTAGCATAACCCCGTGTTCAAAAAGAAAAGCTAAAGATGTGGTTCCCTTCTCTCTCCTAGGGTATAAATCAGCATCCTGACAACATAAGTTAATAGTAAATCAGACCAGGAAGAAGAAAAAGAAAAATCATAAAAATTAAGCTTAGAAGTACATTTTATCGAGAGGACAACACTTACATCTCCACAATCGGCAAGAAAGAAATCCATGTCCCCAGGAAGGGCAACAGGGCGTTTAGATCTATCGCAGTCCTCTCCTGTCATTTTCTCCTTCAATTCGAGCAAAGAAAACATAGCATTAACATCAAGACGTTAATTTAACTGATGAGGACTCTGGCCCTCAATGTTTGGGCGACAATTGCGCTAGATACCTTGGCTAAAAGTATCTATCTTCAGAATTGCGGAAGTAACCAAACAGCAGAACCATCTTAACTCGACGAGAAAAAGAGAACGACAGCAACAGACTTATTACCTTCTCACCGAGTTCAGGGGAATATTCATATACATTGAAGACGACATTGTCCCTGAATTCCACCACCTGTTCAAGCAAAACAAACATAAGATCAGAAACAAAGTTGATTCTACTGATATTAACAATAGTCCTCATTTTTCTTTTCTTTTTTGTGGCATCTAAAATCGCACTAAGTATGTCAGGTAAAAGCATATATCCTCAGAGATGGACATATAAACGAACAAGAAAACTAGCCTAATCCAAAGAAGAAAAAAGGAAATAAAGAAATGAAGTTATTACCCCACAGAGGCTTCTAGATAAGGGTTCACCATAGGCATCCAACTCTATCGCCTTCAGTTCGAGCAAAACATCAGAGACAAAGTAGTTAAATTGATATGAATTCCCCTCAGCTATCAGAATTCAACTTGTAACTGACAAGATGAACGAGCTCAAATTCAAAGAGAATATACAAAGAACAGCAACTAAGCCATTTACCTTTTTGCCAGTTTGAGATGAGGGTTCCCCATGCTCCGCTATCAACTTCAATACGAGGGAAACAAAGATAGCACAAGAAACAAAGTTAATTTAATTGATAGGGGTACATGCCCTTTGCTCAAAAAATTCGATAACTGCCAGAAGGGCAGAACGAGCCCTAATTTGAGGAAGAAAAGAGAAATTAAATAGAAAAATATAAGCTCTCCCGATATATCTCAGATACACAATCAGGCAGAATAACAATCATTCTCTCCATAAACAAAATTGATCGCATTGATAAGGATACTTTCCCTCACTGTTCAGGCAAAGATTGTGTTAAGTACCGAGGCTGAAAATATACAGCATATACATTTTTGGAACTCAACAAATAACCGAAAAGCAAAACGAGCCCTAATCCAAAGAAGGAAACCGACATTGAAACAGTGAAGATATTGCCTTTTTGAAGGCATCAGAACGGGTTCATGTCCCTTCGGCATGGTATATCCATAATTCCAAACCTCCAATTCGAAGAAAACAGACTAACAACCAGACGTAAGCAAAGACAGCCTAATTGACATGAAATTCCTCCCTAAGTGTTCAGGCTAAGATTGCATCATACATCAGCTAAAATTACATGCCGGGAATTTGACATCCACTAAACATATGTCAGGAATTTGTTTGGAGAATGAACAGCAAAAGCACTAATATAAGGAACATATTGATTTCGGACAAAAACAAAATAACACAGAAAATACAATACAGCACGAACTTCTCGGCAAAAAATAAACATGAGGAAAATCGAAACGATAAAATAAGCCAAATTTCAAAAAAGAAGCAGACCACCCAACCCCCTCTTTCCTCTAGCTAAGATGGCAACACAGATGTAGTCTACTGCAGGTATGTATGTTAGCTGCTGGAGTAATTTATATTCATCCTTTGAATATTAATATGCGGGATTGTAGATACACAAATGCAAGAACCTCAGTAAAAAAGCAGAAGGAGAACGACAAACATTTATAAAACTACATGAAACAGTGCTACCTCGTCACGTTTTGCTTGGGAAACTTCCAGCTGAGTCTTTTCACAAACATCTTGCTCAGGTTTCAAGCCATCCTCATCAATAGCCACACCGACCTGAAGCAAATACAAATGTTATACATCATATTAGTTAAAAATCTGTCTTTGGAATCCGACCAATAAGTGGAGCAAAACGACTCCAAGATGAAAAATTAAGTAAAGCAATTACCTTTTTGCATATTTCAGATGAGGGTTGTCCGGGTCCACCAGATACCACAACCTTCGTTCTCACCTTTTCAATACAAGGAAAACAAACAGAACATCAGACAAAGTTAATTTAATTGATACGGATACTTTCCCATGCGCAGATTAGGCAAGAAACTGAATAGCAGAACGAGCCCTAATTCGAAGAAGAAAGGAGAAATTAAAGCAACCATAACGTTACCTCTTCTAGGTCGGCATGTGACCGATCAGGGAAAGACCCCACCTTCAATTCGAACGAAGAAAACAACAAAACAGTAAAACACAAAATCGATTTATTTAATAGGGTATTTGCCCCAATTATTCAGGCAAATCCATCGCTGAACACATTCTCATCTTTAAGGGTCTGTGTGACAGCCTCACTGCCATCGGCAAACCAATTCCGGAACAAGAGAAAGTGTATTGTCTTCTTAATAGTCTCGGACCACAATATGAGACGTTTGTTACAACTATATTGAAGCCGCCACGCCCCACTTACAAGGAATTAATCTATCAATTGCAAAATCTGGATCAAAAGCGAACCTGGTTTTCCACTTAGTTTGAAACATCTTCTGTTCAGCATCTGGCGTTTTATGGACAACATCAGAAGTGTGCTCATGCCTCTCCGTCCAAGAATGTCCAGTTTACTTCTCAGGGGCGTGGTTTCCCTGCACAGCAAGTTCGTCCTTCATCTTACCAGCCCAATTCAGCACCGCCTCAGGGATCACAGAATGGATACACTCGCAAACCTGCTCCCTCTGGTGAACGGCGAATGACAAGGGCTGAGAGAGAGTTGTACCGCAACGAAACATGTCAATATTGCTGTCGTCCAGGTCATGTTGCGAAGATCTGTTGGTGGATTCCCAAAGGCTCTCATCCGGGTTCTTCAACGGATAACATTCCTCAAGCATTGACGGCTTTGACGCTGGATAATTCGGTCACAGATCATGATTGTTCTTCGGATTCAGCAGCTACCAATCACATGACCGGAAATGCAGGTAGGGTTTCAAATGTCCGTAAATACAATGGTTTTGATTCTGTCATAATAGGGAATGGATCATCAATTCCCATAACCGGCATTGGAGAATCAGTACTTACTCAAAATAATCAATCAATATCATTGCCTAATGTTCTTTTTGTTCCCAAACTGAAAAAAAAAAGATTTGTTGTCGGTTGGCTAACTTACATCTCAATCTCCTGTCAAACGTGAATTTTCTAACGTTGATTTTTTTATTAAGTCCTGAAAAACAGGTCAGGTACTCATGAAGGGGCACAAGACGGGTGATCTCTACACTATTTCTAGTAATCCGCAAGCTCATTTTTCATATCATTTTAAATCCGGTAGTGCTGAACTGTGGCATCAAAGATTAGGGCATCCCCAAGTCTCTGCTGTCTAACGGTTGAAGAGTAAAGGCTTGATTAGTGTTTCCAATTCCATTTGTTTAGATCACATATGTGATAGTTGTCAATTTGGAAAAATTAGTAAATTTCCTTTTACACTTTCTAAGCATAGGTCAACTTCTATCTTTGATAAGATCCATTGTGACCTTTGGGGGCCAGCTCCAGTGACTTCTTTTAATAAATTTCGTTACTATGCTTGTTTGGTTGATGATTATTCAAAGTATATTTGGTTTTTTCCTTTGCGCAATAAATCCGATTTTGCTTCAGCATACTTTGCTTTTGAAAAATATGTTAATCGTCAGTTTAAAAAGTGTATTAAAGGTTTTCATTCCGACGGCGGTGGTGAGTTTGTTAATTCTCAACTTTCATCTCATTTCCTTACCACAGGTACCATTCATCAAATTTCTTGTCCTCATACACCTGAACAAACCGGCTCTGTTGAACGACGTCATCGAATTATTCGGGAGCTTGGGATGACCATGATGTTCCACAGTCATACTCCACTTTACCTATGGGTTTGAAGCATTCGCTACAGCCGTGTTTCTTATTAGTCGACTTCCGTCATCGGCTATCAATTTTTCTAGTCCTTATTTTATGCATCATAAAGTTCAGATTATTCCTCTTTACGAGTTTTTGGTTCCAAATGTTTTCCCTATACTTGGGATACAAAAAAACATAAATTTGATCCAAAGTCGGTTTTGTGTGTTTTTGCAGGCTATAGTGAAAAATACAAGGGTTACAAATATTTTGATCCAACTTCAAAGAGATTATTTATCTCTCGGCATGTCGTGTTTGATGAAGCTATGTTCCCCTTTAAGACAAATTCTCGACCACCTTCTCAGAATCTTATCCAGGGTCTCTTTGACTCCTGGCTGCCTTCAACTTCATCTAAATCCTCCCCCGGCGAAACTCCTTCTGTCACACCCGTATCTCCTGTTGTTGATATTCCTCTTCCCTGTATCGTACCTCTGTTATCTCCAGCTGCAACCACTATACCGTCTCCTTCGACTGAATCTGTTACCTTAACCGTTGAACCATTCTCTCCTTCATCTTTTTTACCGTCCCCATCATCCTCTGATCCTGCCTTTGGTACTTCCCCACATACGGCTTCCTCTTCGCCATCATCATCTTCTACCTCTCCTGCTACTTTCACAGTTGATCAGCCGCAACCTTCCCATCCCATGCTGACTTGTTCCAAACATGGCATCACCAAACCTAACCCTAAGTATACTTTAACTGTTGCTGTCTTTTCTACCATTCCCTCTGAACCAAAAACTATCAAATCTTCCATTAAACATCCTGGTTGGCTTTCTACAATGCAAGAGGAGCTGACTGCATTACACACAAATCAGACTTGGACTCTTGTACCCCGGTTGCCTCACATGAATGTTATTGGCTCCAAATGGATCTTTTAAGTCGAAGCTCAAGCCTGATGACTCGCCTCAAGGCTCGTCTTGTCACAAAACATCAGGTTGATGGAATCGACTATAATGAAACTTTCTCCCCGGTTATTAAGCTAGGTACCATTCGTTTAGTTCTTTCAGTTGCCTTGATTAATAAATGGTCGATTCACCAGCTTGATGTCAAAAACGCTTTCCTTCAGGTTATATTACCGAAGATCTCTACATGGAACAACCTCCAGGTCTATCTAATCCTCAGCTCCCTACTCATGTTTGTAAACTTCAACATTCTCTTTATGGTCTCAAACAAGCTTCCCGGGCTTGGTTTGATCGCCTTAGTACGTTTTTACTGCATTATTGCTTTACTTGTAGTCAGGCTGATCCTTCATTGTTTATCTTTCATTCTGGTCAAGGCATGCTTGTCCTTTTAGTTTATGTTGATGATATGTTGCTCAACTGTTCGTCTTCTACTCTTCTTTCTGATCTTCTTACTCTCTTACATAATGAGTTTTCCATGAAATATTTAGGTGTCATTCATCATTTTCTTGGCATTAAAGTCTCACCTACGACTAATGGTTTGTTCTTGTCTCAGGCTCATTATGCATACAATCTGCTTGATCGGGCTAACATGCTTGATTGTAAGCCCATGCCAACTCCGCTTGACTCTCGGTTCACCATTCCCGACTCCTCGTCTCTTCTCGACCCTCACTGGTTTCGGAGCATAGTTGGCGCACTTCAATATCTTACGTTAACTCGCCCGACCTTGCTTATAGTGTTAATTATGTCTCTCAATTTATGCATTCTCCCACTGATGCACATCTTAGGGGGTGCCTGGTTCATTGGGAGGGAATGAAACCATGGAATGCACTGGAATGCATTGGAATACTTTGAATGATCTTGGATTGATTAATCGTGCTTGGTTATAGAAAATTTTGAGATGGGAATACACATTAATGTCAATTATGCCCTCGTCTTCAACCTCTTTTTAGTTTTAAAAGAAGAAGAAGAAGAAAGCAATGGAGTCAAATCCAAAATTTCAGATCCATTGACTACATAAAAGAAAAATAAAAAAAAGAAATCAAGAGAGAATAGGAGAAGAACATAAATAAAAGAAGAAGAAGAAAGCAGATCCGGAATTCAGATCCATTGACTATATAAAAAAAAATCAAGAGAGGAGAAAAAGCACGGAGATATAAAAGAAGAAGAAGAAGCAACGGAGTCATGGTTCTTTTTCGTTCTTCGTACCGACGGCGACAGGGCTGGAGAAAACGATTGGAAGTGAGGAATTGGGATTGGGCTCTTTTGTGTTTCTATTAAAGGGTTGGGCCCACAAGAAGACATTGTTGATGATGGTGTAGACTGGAAAAATGAAAAGGAAAATTCAGACCAAAAGAGGGGCAAGAAGGAGATAAAAGAAATGACAAATCATTCCCATCAATTAGGTGAGGAATGAAGCTATGTCTTTGAAACCCAATTTTGTGGACCCAATATTTGAACCAAGCAATTAAAAATGGGTGTCAAATCTAAAATTTCATTCTATGGCATTTGATACCCATGAACCAAGCACCTTCTTAAACTTGTTCATCCTATTCTTCGATATGTCAAGGGTACTCTTCACCTTGGTCTTGATCTTACTGCAGCTACAGATTTTAACCTTCATGCTTTTTCAGACGCGGATTGGGCAGGTTGTCCAACTACACGGCACTCTACCACATGTTTTTGCACTTTTCTTGGCCGCAATATCATCTCGTAGTGTGCCAAGAAACAACACTTCGTGTCTCGCTCTAGTACCGAAGTTGAATATAGGACCATGGCTAATGCCGCAGCAGAGTTAACTTGGCTTACTTATATTCTTAAAGATCTCAGGATTCCATTGGTCTCACCCCCTGTCTTGTACTGTGATAATCTTAGTGCTTTGTACTTAACCATCGATCCCATGTTTCATGCTCGCAGTAAACATATTGAGCTGGATTATCACTTTGTACGAGAAGAGTTGCTCTTGGCTTGCTTGTCACCAAACATGTCTCCTCTAGTCATCAACTTGCCGACATATTCACCAAACCGGCAACAAAGTCTGCTCTCCCCTTTGTTCTTCACAAACTGTGCCTCCAACCCCGGCTCAGTTTGAGGAGTGATGTTAAAGACAGAGATTTATAGTCCGAGTCTACTACGAATTCACTGAGTAAGGGGTATGATAAGGTAGTTCGGAGAGATAAGGACGAACTTACTCAAGTAAATCAAAGATAAAAATGTATAGTAACAAGTCTGCTGAAGATCAACTCAGTCCCGTAAAGTTGTTACTCTCCCTCCAATCGGTTAGACATTAAAATTACAGGATGATTTCTCTCATGAAAAATAGAGAACATCCTCTTCATCAGTTTAAGGAAAACAGCAACACTTTATCATTATCAGAACCCTAGATTGTAAGATTAGTTGTTCCTGTGTGCTAGCCTATAAATATTATGCGTCTGTATTCTTAAGTTTTGAGGTGAATAACAAAACAAAGTATCTTCCAGTTTTTTTTTAAAAGCTTGCTGCGTCTTTTTTCTCTATTTATTTATTTTTTTTCATGTTTTAGGGTTTCTGGAAAAAACCTTCAATTTCCGCTATCCTTGGTAGCAAGATACTCCACATTGTTTGACAGTGTGTTTAAGTGCTCTAATCTGGTGATCTGTACTCCACATTGCATTGGATAGCCCAGAAACTTGTGCCCTGAAACACTCCCGCTTCCAGTAGGCTTCTTGAATGAAAGTTTTGGGGCATGTTTGATGAATGGCATCATCATTCAAAATAAAGCTCCATCGCAATGGATATAAAACCTGTGTTGAGAGAACCCTGACTCTTCAAGGATTTCTATGACACGATCAAGATCGTCAACAGCACACTTCGCTGCCGCATAGTCAACCAAAAACACCCAAAATCCATTGGCTTTCAGAGAGCGACTTGGTGGAAAGATCATTCTTCTTTGGCGCTGCCGAAATCTCCGCCCTACGGACTAATCTCTGTTCCTCAATTGCTCCGATTTTGATGTCCTCATCGCCTGCCACAGAAATGTCTGAAAGCTCAGTAAAAGCAAGAAAATTAATTCCTCTTTGAAATTGGGGAGAGACAATAACTTGATCAGACTAAAAATATCAGAAAATTACTTGTAACCTTAGTTGAATCTCGAGCGTACAACTGATACAACACATTCCAGCTTCAAAACTACAAGAACTAACCAAAGAGGAAAAACAAAAACACTCCTATGAATTTATCATCCCACAGTTGGAAAGCATTGGCAATGTGCATGCTGTCCTTTCTTATTGAGCCCCAATGATCAGAAACATGAAAGGCCCTTTTCATAGCTGATGAAGAGGGCATAAACAGTTTTGAATCCCCACATTCCCTGCAAGACAGGGAGGCTGGACTCTTTCCTCTCCATACCATAACGATCGTCCCTTGACGAATTCATCTAAGAAGTTATCCAGCTTCTCGACGTTGATATGTGGCATCACGACGATATGCGCTATATTTCCTTCGCAAGAAAGTTGCCATCGACGGATAAACTCATCATTGCGCGGTCGCTCGAACACTACCGTATTACTCAGCTCATTCAGCATGGCACTGATCCCAGCCTTTCGAAGTCGGTCCTTCAAGTAGCGAGCATTTGCTAGACACTTTTGAACTTCATTCTCCAATCCCTTGTACCCTTTCCGGTTAAGGGCGTACCACAGAAAGATGGGAGCATGTCCATTCCTGCTTCCCGTGATTGTGGCATCCTTTGTTGCAAGATACTCCACATTGTTTGAAAGCGTGTTTATGTGCTCTAATCTGGTGATCTGTACTCCACATGGCATTGGACAACCAAGAAATTTGTGGCCTGAAATACTTACACTTCCAATAGGCTTCTTGAATGAAACTTTTGGTACCGCATGTTTGATGAACGGCAGCATCATTCCAAATAAAGCTCCATCGCAATGGATATAAAACCTGTCTTCAGAGAACCCGAACTCTTCAAGGATTTTTATGACACGATCAAGATCGTCAACAGCACATTTGACTGTTGTTCCTATGTTTACATTGACAATGGCTGGTTTGTGTTTATTCACGGATAGTTTCCTCTTGAAATCAGCACAGTCTATCTCCCCAGTGGCTAAAGTTTCCACCTTTACACACTCCACTCTGCATATTCTTGCGGCCTTAAAAACAGAGTAATGAGATTCTCTGGATGCATACAGAATTCCGTCTGGAAAGAGTTCTCTTCCGACCAGGATTCCGTGAAGATTTCCCTCAGTCCCACCGCCGGTGACATAACCCCAGTATCTATCCTTCTCGATTTCCCACAGCCCGGCGAACCAATCCAAGACGCCAACTTCAAACTGCCTCGAATGGATACCTAAATTCCCCTCAACAAATGGATCACCCGCATTGTTAATGTGGAAATGCAGCAATTGATTGAGATCCCCGTAATCCAAATCCAAATTAAGTTGATACCCTAACTGGTGACGGGTTCTTTCAGCGAGGCTCTCTACATAACGAGCTAAAACACTGGCCATGAAAGCATTCTTATCGCCGGTAGACTTTTCGTCGGCTTCCGGTTCAGTCACAGCCAAGTATGTGGTATGGACATTATACCTCCCGACAATGATGTCCAGCTTCTCCTCCTCTCCATTAGCCTCAAAATCTACACTAATCGAAGGGAATTCCACCACCTCCATGAGTTTCACATCCTCCTGAAATTTCCCAAAAAGAAAAGGGAAAAAAAAAAAAAAGAAATTAAATGAACCATATAATTTAATCAACGCGGTACTTTAAATCCTATCAATTTGAAGAGTTCATAATGTCGGTCCAAACACGAAAGTTGTACAAATATAGAAAGTACCTCGACATTTTCATGATGAGGAACGGCATCTTCGTTGTATGGTTGAATTAAATCTGCCAAATTGCAATAAAATTCTGTAAACAATCCGATCCATATAATTACTTAGAGAAATCTCGTAATCATTTATCACCTTTTCTTTCTGGGGATTATTAATTGCAAGCAATCGATGAACCAACAACTATATAGGAATATCGCACAAAAATAATATTAACCACGAAAATTGTAATGTAAACTGTCCGTACTGTGGGGTTGGTATTCTCTTTTGATTTCATTGCGTGGTCTTTTTCTTTTGGGAGAGGGAATGCTCTAAGGCTCAAAATGGAAAGTCTCACAAAAATAGCATGAACTGTGAACTATTAGCAAAGGGACCTTTGGTTCGATTTCCATCAACGGCAATATCGCAGGTTTACAGTTAGGAAGTCTTTCAAACATCACATAGACGAGAGAAAATGCGTGAATGCTAGGAGTATGCATCCCTTTCTGCGTAGAATCCACTAATGTATTAATTTAGGTGTTTCTATCGAGTGTTTAAAAAAGTATGAACGTTTTAAATGGTTTGGAGGGAGTATTATTCGTCTATATATATATATATATATATATATATTCCATAGTTGATGACACAATGATTTCAAAGTCGGCTTGTTTAAAGAACATAATAATCATATATTCTCTCCATTCTGAAATTATTGTCTAGTTTACATAAATTAAATTAGAAGTAAAAATCAAAACTGGACAATAATTTTGAGACAGAGGTAATAATGTCTTTGTGTGACTCTGTGTTTTAGAGAGTATACCATTGCATTTGGCTAAGTTATCCCTTATGAAATCCACCCCTCCACCGTTGTCAAGAGCACCTTCAATCTGGGGGAAAAAAAAAAAAAAAAAACAAAGAAAAAAAAAAAGGTAGTCAACGAAATTTCCATTGATGTACGTATGATAGCAACTTATTGCATGCCTTCGTAAGTGGAAAGAATGAGAAATGCAGTAATAAATGAAAATAATTATGGAGCTAACGAAAATGTATAGATAACAATGTCACATTGTCACTCAAAGGATAATGCATTGAGAATGAACCTGGCAAGCAGCAGTTGCGGAACCAAACACGAGATCTTTGCCGGAATTAGGTCCTTGCCGGATGAGAGCCACGGGACCTCCCGTCAAGACGTTATTAGCAAACATCACCATGATAAACTTGTAGAAAATAGAGTGAAGGAAAAAGGCTTACACAGAATGATGCAAGGGGATCGGATATGATGCTTTGGTGTGGTTTGCTAGCTTGGGATGCATACTCTATTTATAAGCATTGAGATGACGTGGCAAACCGACTGAATTCATATCTTAAATATTTGAATTTATTCGGTCCTGGGAGATAGGTTCATGCGGGAAAATAAATTTTCTTTTTTGGTTTTTTTTTCTTATAGCCATATATACATACATGCTCATAATTTTTTTCTTTTATTCCCTTTTAGTGTAATGTCGAGAATCTTACTAGAAATGAGTAAACTCACGTCCACATAGTTCAATAGTATATAAACTACAATAGGGTATAAACAATCTTGTACAAATCATGAGTGACCGGCTCGCGTGTAAAATCTCTAAATGAATAAGCATATCCAATATATTGACAACAGTACCCTTTTCGTTTGAATAAGACTGTTTTACAGATAATCAAATCTCGGGCATTCAACATTAATTGTCACTTTGAGAACATCCGCGATGGTGATAAATAATAAATAGATAACCATCTTATTATACTATTTTTTTATGTGGAGTGTAATAATTAATGTGTAACGATGTACGAGTTTTTACACGGCATAATACACTATTTTAGGGTCAATTATAATTGATGTGGGGTCATGATCATACATAGTTATTTTATTATATACTCTTTTATATTGTATATAAATCTATGTAAGAAAAAGTTGAATAAAAGTATAATATTAAAAATTTATGACATTATTATAGTATAAACCTTATTATAGTATAAACCGTTATGTCATGATCATACGAAAGGCTTTGACGTATACTAGAGTAAACATTGCCACATACACTAATTAATACATAGTATATCACACCGCTCTTAGAAAAGTAATCACTGCCACGTACACTAATTATATTACACCGCTCTTAGAAAAGATGTAACAGAAGCAATCATGAAATTGGTATATGCATGTATGTAACCGACGGTATTTCAGGTATCTAAGTGATGTTAGAACTTAGAATGCACACAATTCTCATTGTAATCGACAATTCAATGAAAAAGCAGCAAAACATTGTTTCGTACGTATGTACTGAAAAATATATACTCACGTACATAAGTCTATTTTTTATTTTATTTTTGCAGAAACGGGTCCTTTATTCCGAAAGCTCTTTTTAGCGCTCACAATCGACAGATGTAGGTGAAAGGTGTGGCGAAGAATGAAGACCAAAGGCGTCCACAAACAATACGTCCAAAAAGATTATCCTCGTTAAGAATGTGGGGAAATACAGTATACTATAATTTAATGCAGTGGACCTTCATTCTTGCTGGAAATTGGCGCATGATTCTCACTTGAACGGGACTAAACCGTTTAACGTTTATTAGAGCCTGTTATGGCTTATGGGATGCCAAGTCATATTACTTCACTCAAGGCTTATGTATGTTAAGACCGAGCAATGCACGTTTTAACCCCAACAAAATGTTACCGACATTGAAGCAATATTCTTGAATATTAATACATACGCGGTTGAGTTGAATCATGTATTTTTAGAGGCCAACTTCGTACCAATTTATCTAATTTCTTTAGCTGCGCTAGGACCTATACTATAAATTATTTATTGGTTAGAACATGATATTATTCGAGTTACACGTCACTAGCTTTTTGCCTCAATTTGAAACCTGATATAATATATGTTATACGTAGGTTATCGGGTTACATTCACGGTTAAATATGAGATATGTCGGGGTCATCTCAACCAAGTCGGATTCGAATATGATGAGATCTCTAAATTGCATGTTATAGTATTTCAATTTGTTAGGATTTTGCCTTTTAAGGTTATTTATTGTTGCACATTCATGTGTGCTACCTTAGTAATTTAGGCCTTTTGGCAAAAATTAATACCAGCCAAGTATCCAAAAAAATAATGTTATTGCAGAAAAAAGATAAGTATGTTGTGGGGCTGCCATTATGATGCAGGTTTCAGAAAAAAAAAAAAAATCCACATTACGACGTGAAGCCCATCCCCGATTTAACCCGCCTTTGCCGGTGGCGCTGACCACGGTGAACCAGGTGATGAATCACAAGTGATGGAGTATATGAAGTCGGATGCCGATTTGATGTTACTGCAAGGGCGGCGGCCGAGATTTATGATGGCGTCGACTTTTTTGGTGTCCGACTTGAGAAGCCTTGGATTAGATCATGTAGATTTCGGGTGGGGGAATTCTATTTACTCTACGGTACGTAGTGAAACCCCCCACAGAAATGTCTGAAAGCTCATCTCAGTAAAAGCAAGAAAATTAATTCCTCTTTGAAATTGGGGAGAGACAATAACTTGATCAGACTAAAAATATCAGAAAATTACTTGTAACCTTAGTTGAATCTCGAGCGTACAACTGATACAACACATTCCAGCTTCAAAACTACAAGAACTAACCAAAGAGGAAAAACAAAAACACTCCTATGAATTTATCATCCCACAGTTGGAAAGCATTGGCAATGTGTATGCTGTCCTTTCTTATTGAGACCCAATGATGAGAAACATGAAAGGCCCTTTTCATAGCTGATGAAGAGGGCATAAACAGTTTTGACTCCCCACATCCCTTGCAAGACAGGGAGGCATCAGGACCCTTTCCTTTCCATACCACAACGATCGTCCCTCGACGAATTCATCTAAGAAGTTATCCAGCTTCTCGACGTTGATATGTGGCATCACGACAATATGCGCTATATTTCCTTCACAAGAAAGTTGCCATCGACGAATAAACTCATCATTGCGCGGTCGCTCGAACACTACTGTATTACTCAGCTCATTCAGCATGGCACTGATCCCAGCTTTTCGAAGTCGGTCCTTCAAGTAGCGAGCATTTTCTAGACACTTTACAACTTCATTCTCCAATCCCCTGTACCCTTTTCGGTTAATTTTATACCACAGAAAGATGGGAGCATGTCCATTTCTGCTTCCCGTGATTGTGGCATCCTTTGTAGCAAGATACTCCACATTGTTTGACAGTGTGTTTATGTGCTTTAATCTGGTGATCTGTACTCCACACGGCATTGGACAACCCAGAAACTTGTGGCCTGAAACACTTACACTTCCAATAGGCTTCTTGAATGAAACTCTTGCTGCCGCATGTTTGATGAACGGCAGCATCATTCCAAACAAAGCTCCATCACAGTGGATATAGAACCTGTCTTCAGAGAATCCTGACTCTTCAAGGATTTTTATGACGCGATCAAGATCGTCAACAGCGCACTTGACTGTTGTTCCTATGTTTACATTGACAATGGCTGGTTTGTCTCTGTTCATAGCTAGTTTTTTCTTGAAATCAGCAGTGTCTATCTTCCCGGTGACTAAAGTTTCCACCTTTACGCATTCCACTCTGCATATTCGGGCAGCCTTAAAAACAGAGTAATGAGATTCTCTGGATGCATACAGAATTCCCTCCGGAAAGAGTTCTCTTCCGACCAGGATTCCGTGAAGATTTCCCTCACTCCCACCGCCGGTGATATAACCCCAGTATTCATCCTTCTCGATTTCCCACATCCCGGCGAACCAATCCAAGACCCCAACTTCAAACTGTCTTGAATGGATACCTAAATTCCCCTCAACAAACGGATCACCAGCATTGTTAATGTGGAAGTTCAGCAATTGATTGAGATCCCCATAATCCAAATCCAAATTCAGTTGATACCCCAACTGGTGCTTGGTTCTTTCAGCAAGAGTCTTTACATAACGAGCCAGAGTGGCGGCCATGTAAGCATTCTTATCCCCGGTAGATTTTTTGTCGGCTTCCGGTTCAGTCACAGCCAAGTATGTGGCATTTCTGCTCCTTCCGACAATGATGTCCCGCTTCTCCTCCTCAGAATCCTTATACGTCGAGAGCTGAGACTCCGCCGTAGATCTCCCATTGCCATTGGGTAATTTGGGAGACGATGGGTTACCGTTTGCGCTGAGTCTGCTTATATGTTTCTCATGATTGTCAATCCCTTCTTTATAAAATTCCGACTCTCTTTCTCCAGCTGAAAGTACAAATGCAAAATAATGATACTTCTGTTCTTTACTGTTTAGAGAATCCAAATTGGAAATTGAGTACAGAGAATAGTCAGAAAAAGCAAGTACATTAATGCTAAAACCATATTGAAAAGTCTTTCTCACCAAATCGGGGCCATTTGAGTGTGTAAGTGGGTCTTCCACATTATAATTAGTCGGGTTTAGGGAAATTTGTGAATTAATAACTTCGATTGGACCGCTTATAAATCTGTCCTAATTAATGATTTTAAACTCGTCTTTGTGTATTGAACATGGCCATGCATTCGTGTTTGTGCATGTTGTGTGACTCTGTGTGTGTGTGTGAGAGAAAGAAAGAGTACCATTGTCTTTGGCAAAGAATAAGATATCCCTAGTGGTCATGGAATCTCCTATTCCTCCTCCGTTGTCAACACCTCCTTCAATCTTTAAAAATAAAAATTAATAAAATAAAATAAACAATCAACCAGATTTCAATGATTGCATCTTAATAATTCAACAGCAATATCCATAATAACTATAATGAAGTTAATTGAGGGACAAGCGATCTGTATGGTAACAGTATTAAGGGGCTAACTAATGCATTGAAACTGAAACCTGGAAAGCAGCAGTTGCTGAACCAAAGACACAATCTTGGTCGGAATTTGATCGCCGGAGGAAATCCATAGGACCTCCCGGTAAGATTTTACTCTATGTATATCAAACTAGTAGAAAATGTAAATAGGTCGCCGGGGGCTTACAAATTATTAATTTAACAGAAAGATGGAAGAGAGGATATGATGATGGATGCTGTGTAATTCAGCTTTGGTGTGGTTAGCTAGCTTGAGATGCATACTCAATTTATAGACAAAGAGAAGGCGAGGGAAATGGCCTGGATTCATCTTTGAAAATTGAAGGAACACCACGTAATTCACGTTACATTTGTGTCTAGTTATACTTGAATTTGATTTACATAATCTTATTCTAGTGTATTCTTAGACAGTATTAATCTTAATTAGTAGTTGACTTGAAGAGTAAATATTCCAGGTAGCCGTTGGATTTGCATTGTGATTCACTAAATGTAGTGCAACAAAAAACAGCGATACAATAACTACCTAACACATTACCATTTTGGATGATCCAAAGAAGGGAGCTTGAGTCTTTATTGTTTTAACTGTTTTGAGTTAATTATATTAAAAACATATGACCAAAATATTTTGTCGTTGCTTTTTCTACACAAGATGTGATTTTACATTCGTATATACAGTATTTATCTCTAATTCTATTACATCACAATAATCAAAATTAAATTCCATCCAAGTTAGTTACACATATTTGTAAAAAGCTCAGCGGAGTTAATTGTACTCCTCCATTCGTTAATCCATTGAAGTTTGAAGATGTATTGTTAAGAACTCCTAGACTGTGACGATATTTTTCTTCTTCTTCCAGTTGCGTACATTTATTTTGTGAGTTGTCGGGTCCTCAGCTAATTATTAATATGAACTACTACTACCCTATGAATTTAAATTTATGATCCTCTCCATTATCAAACAGTTGTACCAAGCTGTGTCAATTAATCTAGAGAGAGGGAAAAAAAAAAGAAAAAAGAAAGAACATATAAAGGGAAAATAAAAACCTAACACAACGCAAATGAGTAGTTGGTTCAGTAGTAAAATCACTCTTGCCCCAAGAATAGATCATGAGTTCAATCTCCCACTCCAACAAAAAGTGAGGGATTGGCTCTCACCTTACCTATTGGCACCTTTACGGGTTTATCTCCTGATTTCGAATGAGGGATTGGTTCTCACATTACCTATTGGCACCTCTAGGGGTTTATCTCCTGATTTCGTATCCGAACTTGTCATCCCGTCTTGCCCAGGTGGTTTACCTCCCACTGCAGTTTGCAGGCTATTGCAGTGGGCGTCCTCCACTCTAACAAAAAGTGAGGGATTGACTCTTACCTTACCTATTGGCACCTCTAGGGGTTTGTTATGACTAACTCACTAATAAAACCCTGATTTTACATCCGAAATTGTCACGTTGGCGCATCTGAACTTGTTACCACGAGCATGTTTATGGTGGTTTACCTCCCACTGTAGTTTGCAAGTTATTGCAGTGGGCGTGAGTTTACTCATCTCTAATGGGATTTTCGGCGTTATAAAAAAAGTTGCATCTGAACTTATCACCACGGGCATGCCTATAGTGATTTACCTCCCACTGTAATTTGCAATATCTATAATTTGCAAGCTATTGCAGTGGGCGTGTGTTTACCCATCTCTGGTGGGATTTCCGGCGTTATAAAAAGAAAAAAAAAAAAAAAAAAAACTAACACAACTAGCATACAGATATTCCTAAAGTATTACTCGTATTTATTGTGAGATAAACTAGACTTTAATCCACATTTCAAGTTGAATCCCTTTTTTTTTTTTTTATGAACTCTAACAGGTACGTATACGGAAGTCAAGATATTACTGTATGTTGGTTTATGGGCGTGGCTTCCTAAGTAGTAGCGGTACAATCTCCACATAATAATCAATGAAGTTAATTAAGGAGCAAACAAGAATGTTATGGTAATAATAATATTAGTGGGAAATATAATGCATTGAAAATGGAACGGAACCTGGAAAGCAGCCGTTGCTGAACCAAAGACAAAATCTTGGCCGGTGTTTGAAGAAGGGATGACGGCCACCGGACCTCCCGTTAAGATTTTACTATCACACATCGCCAAGGTCAAATAGTCGTATATATTTAAGATAGATCGGTACAAATAAACAATGGTATGACAGGAAGAGGCGATGCGATCGATTATGTGAATAATTTTTAAGCAAATTGAGAAGACGAGGGAAATGGACTGCGTATTCATCTTTGAAATGGAAGGATGATTTAATCACCTAAAAGAAATAATAATAATAATAATAACAATGAAGGGTTAACTATAATCACAACGTACTTGCACGTTACATATTTGGTGTTGGACCTCTTAGTTACAATTGACTTTGATTTATAGTATTATCTTATATTATGTATATAACAAGATATACCTGCCGCATGAAATTCAGATGAAGAATGTATTTAAGCATCTTCAACGCACTTATAAAGGAAGTATTCAACTACATCTCCTAATTAACCAATACAAGTAATTTGATTTTCCCAAGTGGAAGAGCATAAATAATCATAGGTTGACACAAATTAATCAAGTAAGCTTCCTTGTCACCATCACCTCTATCATCAAAATTCCATTTTAAATATGGGAAGATAGACTTGGATGGTAAAGAAATCAAAGAATTGAAACATGAATTGAAATATATTGAATCATTCAAGAAAAAATCACAGATCTACAAGAAAGAGAGAGAAGAGGAGAACGGTTTTCTTTTTTGGAATGTTCTGATTCAACCTCCAGGAAAAAATGTAATTACAATGCCTTTTATATTAAACTACCTAACAAACTTTCTACTATTTATAACCAAGTGACTAAACTTCCTATCATTTGCAATTAAAGACAAAATTGTAAAACACAAACACAGTAAAAATAAAATTAATCAAGTGATTCCAGGATCAAATCCTGTTTGTTGAATCACCACATATGCTGATTCCTGTTGCTGCTGTTGATCATTCTTTATCCCCCCCTCAAGATGAGCATTCCACATGCTCATCTTGGACAAGAGAAAGCTAAAAACAGAAGTGGCAAGAGACTTAGTGAAGAAATCGGCAAGCTGAAGAGAAGTAGGAACATGAAGAGGAATCAACACGCCAGCCTTGTATTGGTCACGAACAACGTGGCAATCGATCTCGATATGCTTCGTGCGTTCGTGAAAAACAGGGTTGGCAGCAATCTCAAGAGCAGCTTTACTGTCACAGTATAGGGGAACAGGCAAGGAAGGTTGAACACAGAAAATTTTCAGAATGTACAAAATCCACTGAAGCTCCCTGGTGGCAACAGCCATAGGTCGGTACTCCGCTTCATCGGAGGAACAGGAGATGGTGCCTTGTTTTTTTGTTTTCCAACTGATTAAACTACTGCCTAAGAAAACACAATACACGGTCAAAGAATGACGACTAGTACGACAAGAGCCCCAGTTGGAATCACAATAGACTTGCAGATCAAGAGCAGCATTGGAAGCATAATAAAGACCGCGATGAACACAACCAGAAAGATAACGTAGAACATGAAGAGCAGCTGTCCAGTGAGAAGAATGCGGTTTCTGGACATGTTGACTCAACTGCTGTATAGCATAAGTAATGTCTGGTCGAGTATAATTCAAATATAAAAGACGGCCAACTAACCGTCGAAACTGAGCAGGATCGGGATGAAGAGGAGTGGGATCTTGATCTTTAGAGACAAACTGTAATCCGGGTGGAAGAGGAGTACCAACTGCCTTGCAATCCAACAAACCAACTAAACCAAGAAGATCAGTAATATACTTGCCCTGACTAATAAAAATTCCAGAATTAGAACGTGCGATTTCCATGCCAAGAAAATACTTCGCATGTCCCAGATCCTTAATAGTGAAAAGAGCATGAAGGTAAGCTTTGACACGAGCTATTTCAGGCTCACTAGTCCCAGTGACTAGCACATCATCAACATACACTAAAAGAAAAATTTGAGACTGAGCAGTAATATTGAAGAACAAACAGGGATCATGATATGATTGCTGAAAACCAAAAGTTATGAACCTGGTGGAGAATTCTAAATTCCATTGGCGGGAGGCTTGCTTTAAACCATAGAAGGACTTCTTCAACCTGCAAACCTGCCCAGGTTGAGCCTTAGTATAACCCAGAGGCGGCAGCATGTATACTTCCTCCTCCAAGGAACCGTGAAGAAAAGCGTTGTTGATATCAAGCTGGTGAATCGGCCATTCCTTACAAGCAGCAATAGCAAATAATATACGAACTGTGACTACTTTAGCCACAGGGGAAAACACTTCACAAAAATCCTCCCCTTCGATCTGTGTGTAACCCTTAGCAACAAGCCGAGCCTTGTACCGTTCCACAGTCTCATCAGGATGACGCTTAATTTTGTAGACCCACTTTGACCCAACTGCCTTCTTACCAATAGGAAGCTGAGTCAATTCCCAGGTAGCATTAAGCTCAAGAGCCTCAAGTTCTTTGTTTATGGCCTCTACCCACTTTAGATTAGTTCGGGCCTGATTAAAGGTACTAGGTTTTGAACTATCAGACACATTAGCAACAAACATTTTATATGCACTAGAAGGAATAAAGGAAGAATCAGAGGATGGGGTTAAGCTAACAAAGCTGGTTTCATAATCTTGTAACCAAACAGGGCGTCTCCTATCTCGAGTACTGATCCGAAGAGGAAGGGGATTAGGATCAGGAGAAACAAAAGAAGAAGAGGTAAGAGAGACAGAGGGTGAAGGAGAGGAGGAAGATTCAGAGAGGTGATCAGTAAAAGGAGGGGTAAATGGTGAGGAATTTGAGATATCCGGAAACTGTGATTGTGAAGAAGAGATGGTAGAGGAAATAGGATCAGAAGGAATATGATAAGAAGGCTGAATGATAGAGGAATCAGAAACAAATATAGAAGGGAATATTTGTTCATGAAAGAGGACAACCCTGGAAACTAAAATCTTACGTAGAGAGGGAACATAGATCTTGTAACCTTTTTGGGCATGGGGATAACCAACAAAGATACCTTCAAAAGATTTGGGATCAAATTTATCACGACAGGGACCTTTATTGAGTGTAAATGCTCTACAACCAAAGGTGCGGAGAATGGTGTAATCAGGAGGTTATTGATAAAGAATTTCATAGGGAGACTTCCATTGTAAAAGATGGGATGGAAGCCGATTGATTAAAA